TTCATCATAATAAACAGTACTTTTTATTCGGATTTAATTTATATTTTGTCTTTGATAAGTCACCCACATAATAAGTTTGATCCATTCCTCACATAAAACTGGTTAATGGATACCAGACCAAATTATTGCACTTTTATTTTACTTTTGAAAAGAAAAAGAATTTATATTGGATTCATTTCGTTACCTTTTTATTACAATTACAAAATCATGATAATTGACAGCTCAATAGGAGATCAACTAGCTGGAACCCTTCGGTTCCTGAATCTCTGAGCCAATCAGATTGCTTGAAAACTCCGCTGACCTAAAAAAAATTTGCGAGGGTTTCCCCCTGTTTTATTGTGAGGCAAAATTTTAAGCTCCGCTATATAGCAATATAGCTGTAACTATCATCAAATTTCCCTCAGGTGCTAGAGCATGCCTTACTTACACCACCTAGCTTTACATTCAGGCATTGAGACCCTCAATCATCACTAAAGTAAGTAGCGATAACCAAGTAGAGGCAGCCTATCTACCTCCTAGCCTCGGATAAAGTCTTGTTGAGCTTCAGGGATAGGCACATCCACACAACGTAAAAAAAAGTATGCTTCAAAGAAACAAAATAAAAGAAAGAAAAGGAAGAACAGAACATAATAATAATGTACTATAGAAGTATAGTAGTATGTAAGCAAAAAAGGAACACTCACACAAAAAAGTGAGACAAAAGAAAGGTATAACAAAGACAACATCAAAGATGTTCAGAACAGCTCGCTGTTGTTGCAACGAAAATGCATACATGAGCAACGTGCATGATAATAGTCAGATGTCAAGCAAAACAAACACGCACAATTGCAGGAGCAACAGCAGTATTATAAGTGCGCAATACAACATAATGACTAATGTTGTTTCATGTGAAGCGACAGCGGCAACACAAACAACAATTCACGACCATATAACAAAGTAGTATTACAACGGCAATACAGATATATAGTAGCACATCATGCTCGTTGTTCATACAACATAAGAAGCAACAACATTGCAAGCATCCATTGAGCTGATCATATCACAGTCAACAAAAGAAAAAAAAGCGCAACAAAGCAAACATTACGAATGCATTATCACGAGAAAGGAAGCAATAATACAAACGCCCAGAGAAGCTTTATATCATTGCGACCACAAGAAAAAAAGATACTTACCACTTACCACACCCACGGATAGACCAGAAGAGAATAGGCAATTACCAGGGATAGAACAAAGAACAACCATACAACAGAGACAGCAGATCAAGAAAGACCTGACTAGCAGCAACACCAGCAGCAATAACATCAGCAGCAGTAGTACCAGCAGCAACACCATTAAGCAACACCAGCAGCAGCAACGCCAGTAGTAACACCAGCAGCAACACCATAGAAAAACCGACGAACGAGCGTCACCAGGATCCAGACAAAGACTAAAGAAGCAACCACCAGAGATAGAGACCAAACAAGAAACAACCAGACATGGTAAACCAAAGAAGAAACAACCAGGCATGGTAAACCAAAGAAGCAGACAGTCGCTATAGCAGACAAGTAATGATGACAGCACCGACGTCAAACAGGCAAAAAAAGTATCAAAACCTGATAAACAAATTCAATTAGTGCTGATTTTACGTATGCCAGTGCTTGTTATGGAATGGTACCTATCATATTCCACTTCAAAGTAGTAGTATCAAGTACCTCTAACAGTACAAGGCTGTGCTATTAGAAGCTAGAGTATTATTATCATTCCAACGGTTTCCAAAACCACCATGGTCTGATACTAAACGCGTTTTGCAAAAGGAAAAAAAAGAGGATGCGGAAAAATGAGAGAGCGCCATACCCGACGTCACATCCAGTAGATTTGGCCTCACTTTTCTGCCACAGCAGCTACCGCTGCGACACTCAAATTTGGATTTGAGCAGTTGTCGTTTTTGTGTGCAAATTTGACTTGATCTGACATTCTTTAAACGTTTTTGCTAAATTTGACTATGAAAATTGTCGTTGTCACACCCAACTTTCTAATGCATTTATAAAGAGTCAATAAAGGCGCATCGAATGATGTTGGTTACATTGACCTTTCAAACTAAAAATAATGAACAATTTGTAAAAATATGAAAACAAGTTTTCTGTGGATATGTCAATATTCAACATATAAGAGCTTTATAAAGATAGTTTTCAATGTTGCATTTCATCTTTATCATCAATTTGATCTGATATGTGTCATAGAGAAAGTCTTAATTTTTGAGGTGAAAAACGAGATCGTTTAATTTTCAAGTATTTTCCTTTGCTAATACTCATGAAAAAATGAGGATTTTCATGAATTTACAGCGACCCAAAAAATTTGAGATAAAGCATTGGGAAGTAAAGCGTGGCCAAGAGGAGACGTTTGGCCTTATTCTAAGCGTCCACAACACTCTATAGCACGAGTTATTCGTGCTTCATAATGGCCAAGTTTGGACAGAATTTGGCCTAAAAATAAGGAGTAGTATGTTGTGCCGCCAAAGAAGTAGGTAAATTACAGTTCTGTCTAATGTCCCTGATGTTCTGCATTGTACGAAACTCAATTCCTAAGTTATCGATGCTTTTATCCTAACTCTAACGATCATATCTTTTAGTGATGCTCGAATAAACAGTGATTTTAAAACTTGAGCGTCAGTGATACTGTGCAAATTTGAATTTAACCACTTGCTCGGATTGACCAAGGTGCTTGTCAGGTCAGCAGGACACATTTGATAATCATTCACCACAGAGATTTTATGTCTAGCCATGAAACTAAGCTTAAAATTTATTCACAACAACGTTGGACAATTATAATCAAGGAAAAAAGGTTGATACGAGGCATGCTGGGCCGGTGTCAGCATCATTGGGAGGGGGGATGGGATCAAACAACGAGATCTTATATCAAAATTGAGCCGAATAGAGATTCATGATACCTACAGACTTTTTGATACAAGAATTGACAAGAATACGGAACTACCACTGTGACTAAAAAAGATCTGAATATTGCTGAATATTTCTGAATCCATTTTTCGGAAAACTACCACTTTACAAAAAATTTGTCGAAATTTTTTTGAATGGCATTCAGAGAAGTTCGGAAAAGTGCTCACTTAATTCAGAAAAATTCATGTAGTTTAGGGTGGTTTGCAAAAGATTCAAAAAAAAATAAATCAGAAATATAATAGCATTTAGTGCTATTATATTAGAAACCATTGTTTATTTCTTGGCATATAATAATTGCGCTACTACTACAGAGAAACATGATGATATTACATTACGGACAATAACAACAAAGCGTAGCCTAATCAGAATAAGCATAGAGATCAGAATTCCTTACGACTTGCTCACTCTCTTATTGTTGGGTCCCTAATACACAAGGATAAGTAGCTTCATCTATGGTATCAATGCCTTACGATTACTTTCATGTTTCTACAATTTAAAGGATAGAGAGAATATCAGCATAAAATGGCTAACTCCAGGTGATGATGAGAGACTTACTGTCTTTGCAAATCTTGCGTTTCTGGTGATGAAGATCTTCTGTGCTTTTCATGTTCCTTTGCCTTTGATTTGTTTGATGCAGATACATTTTTTGATACTGAAAATGGCTGCATTGGCTATAGTGGTAGTGCACATTATAAAATGGAAAAGAAATGTGAGTTACTGCGCTATATCTATGAAAACTCAGTTACTTGTTCTACTAGAGGCATATGTTGCGTGCTGATTCTTCTATAATATTACGATTAGTATCAAAGAGTACTTTTCTCTATGCAGCATTTACTTTTGTGGTCCAGTATTTCGAGAAACATAAAAATTGATCTTGTCTACAATCGAATTTTCGTCATCGTCGACAGAATCTTCTTCGGATTGCGCTTGGGATCCCTCAGAAAATACCAGATCATCATCGAATTGGGTTTCGTGAATTACCGTGTCATTGCTTGGCCTGGCATTGTATTTGTAATCGATTATGCCAGGCAATGATTTGGAGACAGCAAACTGCGGCAACCAATCTTTGAAGAACCCAGAGATGTCAACGCCCTTTTTGGCTACATCGTTAATGACGGTCTTGACCAACAAGGCTTGAAACCTGTCGTCCAGCTTGCTGAAAGTGATATTCGGAAACTGTCTGTCAGGTTTCTTTGCCTGGTTGTATGTTGCATCTTTGACAAGCTCCCAGACCTTCTTGCCATCAAGGTTTTCCCCACCTAATCGATGCTTCTCCAGGACGTTGATGCATAGCTCAACAGAAAGCTCCTCCAGATGTTTGTTGTCTGCTTTGCTTGGACGGCATATCACTCCATCTAGTCTCGCAACATTGGCCGTGCTCGAAGAGGTAGATTGTGGAACAATGTGCTGCAGCATAGCTTTTACTTCGATTTGGTTGTCATTACATTCCTTGACCTGTTTGCTAAGATTGGACAACTCCTGTTCAATGTTCTCCAATCTTTGTAAGAATAGTTGCTGTGCTTGATCCATTTTTGAATAAGTGAATAGTGTAAAGTGTAAAATAGAGCAGTGCTTTGAGATGGTTGTATCAATTGCGATAAATGCGTAACAATCTATGAAAGGCAGAGAAAAACTGGTCTAGTAATGTTTCCAATAATTAATAGCACCCGCTATCACAGACATTGATGTTTCAATCATGCAGATTGAAACGCATGCAATATAAGAAGCATAAAAGACAATTCAGACAGAGTTGTGTTTAACCTTTATTTCCAATATTACTTACGATGCCATTTTTTTTGTGCTCAGTGTTGTCAAAGAATTCGCAATAGACATGAAAAACAGCATAAACTTTGGCACTCTTCAAATGACACAACAACTGTAGACTTGCACAACCTGGAGACTAATCAGTATCAAAGAAAGAAAGCAAGAACTGAACATGATACTCAGGCTGGATCTTACACTGAAAGAAATAGTCAGCAAGAAAACAGCGATGGTGAACCTGGTAGCGATGGCGGATATGACTTTGGAGACTCTGATGGACTCGGCGCTAACTATAGTGACAATCAGATGTCTGACAGTTGCGAGGCATTACCACCACTGGATGCTAAAAATACTGAAATCCACAAGATCTTCAGGGAAGAAAACTTGACAAACTCAAGCATCCGAAGACTTGTTCAATGGCACAACCAAACGTATCCTTGTAAGTAACCATAACAAAGTTGGTTGTTTCAAAGCGCTAACATCTACTATGATAAGTTGCAACGCCTATAGTCTCAACATTCAAGGCCAGCTCTGCTAGGAAAAGGGCAACTTCTTTTGCACCTTATACAGTCGATGTGTGCATCAGGTATTGCTATGCCTTTCAACCAGAGGATGGGGACGAATGTCCAGTGTGCTTTGAAAAGAGATTCGATATTGATGGTAGCCCCAGAAGAACCATCAAGATGCTGCCAATCGGTCCACAACTTGCCACGTTGTTCGAAAATCCAAACTTTATCAGAGTGCTTGATGACGAGAATTCATCCATCAGAGCAAGGTTCAAGGGCGATATAATGCAAAATTTAGTGAACAACAAGCATCTATTCAACAATAGATACGACATTGGCCTGTCCCTGTACGTAGATGGATTCCAATCACACAAAAAAGGTGGTGCAAAGTTGAACTTGGTCATGCTACAAATCTTGAGCCTTCCTTCTGCCTATAGATACAAAATGGAGTTCCTGATCACTACGGCCCAACTGATGTTCTCACAGAACATGGATGTGCTCTTTTGGGAACATCGATGTTCTCATGAGCACATTGATGTTCTCATTTGAGAAGGTATAGTTTTCCACATGAATAAAATGGTTTAATAGCTAAACTATAATATTGCAGGCAACAGAGAGACTTTTATTATCTGTAAGATTCATAAAATTACTAAACGTATTATAAATTGCACGAGAAAATGACAATTTAAAATTACCTATTAATTACTTATTAGAGTTAAGAATATATTTCAATAAGATATTCGAGTAGTTTAGTGGGAAGAACGTCAGATCCACAACCGATAGGTTGTGGGTTCGACCCCGATAGGAGCATTCTTTTTTCAAATTTTTGAAAATCGATGTGCTCATATAAGAATATGGATGTGCTCACATGGGAACATTTCGGATGTTCCCATGAGAACATCGGCCGACTTATAATAGATCTTTAGGAACGCCGATGTTCCCATATGAGAGCATTTTTCACCTTTCGGGAACATCGATGTGCTCATTTGAGAACATCAAATAGATTCTCATATGAGCACATCGATGTTCTCATGAGAACATCAGTTGGGCCGTAGTGGATTGATTTCGCCATTATCCCAAACACCAAGAGATTAGACAGTTACCTTCAATACCTTGTCAGCGAATTGGAAAAATTGGCTCGTGATGGACTACAAGTGCAGAGAAACAACTCAACAAGTATCTCGCTCAAAGTCCACCTCATGGGATCCTTTGGTGATATCCTTAGCGTCAGCGAACTCAATTTCCTCGCATCCCATACGTCGCTTCAAGGCTGCCGTTTTTGTACGATCATTGGCATCAGCAAAAATGGTGTTATTTCTTTTCAATTAGCAGCTAATGATGAAGATTGACCACTACGATTGCTAACAATTGAAGAATACAAATCCAGTGCACTAGAACTTGGTATCGAAAGGCCTTCTTTGTTTCGAAAACTGCCATCATTCATTGATCCAACGTTTGTGGGCTTGGATGAATTTCATTTGTTTGGACAAAACATGGGACCAAGAATCAAGAAAATGTTTACGGACAAGGAATCGATTCTTCGCTTGAAGCCGCGACAAATAGAGAAGATCAGCATTTGCTTGAACCAACTTGCAAGCACATCACCTTTGATCTTCGAAGGCAATTTCATGGATGTCTTCAGCAAGGGAGGGACAGCTCGAGGAGTAGATTGGTTGGTGTTCCTGAAGTACTTTGTGCCCACAGTTCTTATCGACTACGTTGATTTATGCCATTTGGATCCTACTGTCTCTGAAGCTGCCAAGGAAGCCCTACGTACAATATCTCTGATTTGCTCAGTATGCTTGCAGCAGGATATATCTGAGAGCGAGATACAAAAATTGGAGGAACTAGTCACCAAGTGGCACCAATTTCTTCGTCTTCACATCTCAGCAAAATTCTTTCCAATCAGCAAACATTATTTGGAGCATATCACGATGGTGATTCGAAAGATAGGCCCCATGCCTCAGTACAGTTGCCGTGTTTTGGAGAGAAGGATCCAAATGATCAAGAAGAGAATCCATGGCTGTAGTCAAGTCGCAAAACAAGCGGAAAATATCATGCTGGATATTGCATGTAACAGCAATGAAAAAAGAAGGACAATTGCATTTGACAATTCGACGGATACTGCCATCACCTTCTCAAAATCATTGAATATGGGCGACATCAAGCTGTCACCGTCTATTGCTTCTATATTGTGCAAATATTACAACACTGCTCGTGTCAATCCGCAGATCAAGTGCGCTCCTTCACTACGACTTGGCAACAACATCACGATCGACTCTACTTTCAATCCATCAAGTAGAAAGAAGAAGCTGTCAGACCATGCCCTGGTCAATTGTGCTCGCCGCAGTTCGCTACCATTGCTAGTAAAGGTGTTGCTCATCTTTGAGCACAACTTCTCTGGTGCAACACATGCTCTAGCCGTTTGCCAAGTCTGTCAGAACGTAACGGTATCAACGTCCGGCATCCCTGAATGTTTCCTTGACAATGCCAACTCGGATACTTCCAATGGTGCATGATGGGATCTGGATATAATTGTGGAATTTGAGGCTTGATAGACTAAAATTCACGGAAAAAAAAGAATAAAAAAACAGTAATGTCAACTTGATAAAGGTATATTTTATTATCAAACTTACAGGTGTAAAGTAAACTTGAAGTCTCTCTACTGGCCAGGTAGATGATCCTTCTTATATACTATAACAATGGATAAAAGTTCTATTAATTAGATTGACAAATAAATCAATTCAGATCAACTAAAAGACAACTCCAGCAAGCTAATCATGATTTAGCTCTGTCTGGATGAATAATTAGACTCTCATCCCAAGTACCCTGATCTATCCTTTCCATAAGGATAATTAATATCGATCTAGTAGCATGTATCCGATAGGTACAATCTACTTAGTCTATATTAATAGTACATATCTGAGTGTATATCGCTGAGCATACATCTTTAGCATGTATCTGGATATATGGCATGTCTATAGCATATCGTATGCATGTCTATAGCATGTCTCATATATAGTACAAGTCTGTAGTACATAAAGTATCTATAGCTAGTATCACGGATATAAGCATGTGTCTTATAGCGTGGATCATAAAGTGCATATGCACATCTGAAACAACAAGCACATAGTGCATTAATCTTGGTGCTTATTCAGATATGGCAAACATCCGTAGTCAATGTCGGAATACAAGTATAAGTCTATAGCGCCATCCATGTCCGTGGTGCCATCTATAGCCTATATCTTATATAGTATGAATCTTATAGTACTAGCGTATCTGAAGTCCATATCTTCTTATAGTATAAATCGATATCGTACATCTAATCCAGCGTACATACAGTTTATATCTAAATCTGGTAACTGGATGAACTGTCGGAATGCAGATCATAGTGGATGTATTCCACAATAATAGCTGTCGATGATATTTTGTCTTCAGTTGCAGTTCTGAAGTCTGCCATATCTGGCAAGCTCTTCTTTGTTTGGCCTGATATGAAAAGAATTGGTTTGAAAGTATACAACGATGATTCTATATTTGACTATGCATAAAATAAATATACGCCAACACCATGGTCCTCTTTCTCTCAAACTTACTGATGTTTGTACATCCTTCTAAACTACTAGCCATCATCCCACTGTTCTATATCTTAATGCTCGTTCTTTTGCCCGGTCGCATGCAAAGCTGAAAATCCATTCCTAATAATAATAACTAGTTAATATTGTTTCCTTTCTATTGTTGCTCCGTAATAATATATCTTCTTTCTTTCTTCTTCCTATCCTATTATGACATTCAGAGAACTCTAAATAAAAAATGGAGCACGACTCCCTTACAAGAAAGAATCTCAAGCAGTTGACAAATAAGAAATAAAAATGGCGTAGCGATGACTACTCGCTTTTCTGATGAAGATCATTTCGTGGTAAAAAAAATCGCTGGATAATATCTTAATTTTTCTAAATTTCTCCAAATTTCTCTAAGCTTAATTTATTAATTTTCATCTGCATAAATTTATCTGAATACTTCCAAAGGGATTTGGACAAATTCAGAGTGATTAAGACATTTTTAGGGTATTTCAGAAAAAATTGGTCAAATTCTAATATATTCAAATAAATTTGAATCTTTTTTAGTCACAGTGTACACTGCCAAAAAGGTCATCCCCCGCCAGATTGTCAAAAAATGATTGCTCAAGGCTAACTTTTGCTATAGTGGCGCATAATATAAGTTTTTTTTTTTTGTTCATTGATACTAGTCATACCACGCCCTGTATTTATTTTATAAACTTGAGCACCGTATGGATGCTTCTGTGCTGTTGTTATTAAAGGAAAACGTGTTTTGCGGCTGTGAACTTCACTTTGAGGGTTAAACCCCGATTATTTTTAAAAATATCGCAGTATTATGTGCCCAAATGGGGTCTTATCTAGTAGAGAAAATACATGGGAGCAAAATTTAGTTAAAGGAGAAGAAGCTTGGTTGAATTGGGAGTTGTACATATAATAGTAGTGCGTGTCGAAACACTGGTTTTTTATATAAATATTGGTTCCTTTACATTTTCCTCTCAATTATTTGACAACGACGAGTGTAGCGACTCAAAATCTCTCTATGTGTTTAGCAACTCCTCAAAGGGGATATATAGTGGCCTTGATATAAAGGCTTTTGCATCAGTATAAAGATTGAAATAGTTGTTTCTCCTTTTTTTCGTAAAATGCGCAGCAAAGTTTTAAACCTTTTGTTGTGCCAGAAGGGCTACAACTGTCTATAAAGATTAAGGTATTCTTGATGGGTAGATATGTCTGTGTTGTGCAACAACATGGACAAGCTATGATAAGTGAAGTGCATCTCAGCTATCTAAATACTGAGGTTCACCAGATGTGATAAGCGTTGTACAAGATAAATTGCTACTTTGGCATTCAGAACTTAGTATAAATAGAATAACTCTTGTCTTCATCAATAAATCATTAGTTTTTGTGTCTGATCTTATTCAAATAAGTCTTTTCTTGTTTTTATAATATTGAACATTTTTTATAAGCTACAAATAATAATCCTTTTATTCTTTGTGCTTAACATTTTTTAAGATCGTGTAAATCAGAATCTTCCAGATTTTAACCTACCTATCTAATTTAAACCGAAATATGACTATGAATGATTCTACTGTGTCTCCTGCAGAACAGAACAAGAGTTCAGATGTTCAAGCTGTTGGAAGCGAGCTTTCGTACGGAGGAGCTGTAGAGCGACTTCGTCAGGAGGTTCATGGGTTGATCGCTGAAGTTGCGAACAGTGGGGACAAGTCGGACGAAGAGGTCGACGCTTTGAAGGCTGCCCTGTCGAAGAAGTGCTCTAACTTGGAGGCTATAGAGAAAGCTCTCTCTATGGTCACACCTAACCAGAGTCCTTCTCAAGTAACAGTGGTTAGTCAAGGTGCGGCTAATAGTTCAACTGTACCTGATGATCTTCCTTTGTTCCAATGGTTTGGACGTGTCAAAGATGAAAAAAAGGAAGTTTTTGCCAACATTGAGGAGTGTTGTCGCCGGTTTTCCGATAAGTTGAGCAGTTGCACGCTTGATCTTGACGAACACTGGTATCGTTTGCTTCCTCCTTGTCTTCCCGGCGATCTTCGCAATTGGCTTGATGAGTTTGTGAAAGCATCTGGCTCCACTGTGTCTTGGGCTACCTTGAAGGGAGCTATCATCGGTCGTTTTGGTACACCAAAAGAACAGCTCAGATTCGAAAGAATTAGGGAGTTTCTTCGTTGTACTAAAGGAAACGAAGAATCCGTTGATGGTTTCGTAGAGCGGTTTAAGACGTTGAGAAATAGAGCTGACATCAGTGATAAGGGTGTCGTAGCGATGGTGTTTTTTGACGCTTTCCCCAAGGTTACCGCTAGGTTGCTAATGGTTGCTATGAGTCAGGCACCAGAATCGTCATTTTATGACATTGATTATGTGTCCTCTCTCGTGCGCAAGATGGATATGATGGCTATTGAGACGGGTCAAGAATCTTTGGGCTCTGTTTTTGATGGAAGAAAACGCGCTGCTGACATACCTGTTTCGAACGAAGCAAAGAAGTCTCGGTACGCACCTTCTTCTAGTGGAAACGCTCTGCAAAGTAGCTCTTCGTCGAGATCCAATGGTCCCTCGTCCAACTCTCCACGTTCTAGTGCTAATCGTTTTGGCAAAACATTTGCTGAACATGTTGCTGAAGGGACTTGCTCCAAATGTAACGGTCCTCGACCAAAGGGGCAGATGCATCACTGCAACACTGCTATTCGTACTGGTGGTGGTAACACCCATCAGGGCAATGGTGGTAAAAAAGTTTTGCGTGCCATGACTAAGAAACGTGGTGGCAAACATTCGATGGATGCTGCAATCCAAGCTGCTTTTCTCTCTGCTCGTGTTGATCGTGCGTTAGCTGAGAAAGGTGCTTCTTCCCCTGCTGTCTCCTCTGCTGAACAATCGGTGGATGATGTTGTCCTTGCTCCTTCTTCTGGTGATAGTGACAATGTTGATGTTGACCAAGATGCTGTGATGAGTGAAGCTCATGGTATCTTTGAGGATACTGACCTGGTGAATCGTGCCCAGTCTATTCTTCTTGAAAAAGAGATGAGTAGCATGTCTGTGGACGACGATACGCTACAAAATATATTTGCTCAGCAATGTAAGTTCGATGCTAGATTTAGTGCTCCACCTACTATGACCACCAATGCTATTTGTGTTCCTATTGTGGTTCAAAATGTCATTTGCTTTGGCTTAGTGGATACGGGTGCTACGTTTTCGTGCGTCACTGACAAGTTCTTTCAATTCTTAGGAGGAACCTCTCTTGCTGGATTTGAGGCTAATGATGATGATGAGAGCTTTGTTCAAATGGCTCATGAAGTAACGACTGTGCCTAGAATAGGTGCGGTACGTTTGCACATTAGCTACAATAAATCAAATAAAAACCATTTGTTTGAAGTATTTCCATTCTATTCTGAGGAAAACGTACCTGTATTGCTTGGTATGGATATTTTGTCCAAGCTTGGCATTGGTCTTACGGGCTTGGTGAGTCAACATGGCTTTCAATCAGGTCCTCGTGTACCAGATCCTATTGATGATGGTATTACTCCAAACGCACATCCTTTTGGTAGTGAGGAAGAGAGACAACCGTTTCTACTTGCACTAAAGGGGTTATTAGAAGAGAATTCGCGCATTGATATGAAGAATACTCAGTGTAATCTGCCGGATTCGATTATTAAGCTTGATACTAAACCAGGTGCTGTCGCTTGGCGAGCTCAATATCCTTTGCCTGAAGCTTATCGTGATGCTGTTGCCAAACAAATTCAGATATGGCTTGATGAGGGTGTTGTTGAAAGATCTGCTAGTCATACACGTTTCAATCATCCATTGTTGGTTGTAAAGAAAAAGGACGCTGATGGTAATTACACAATGTCTAAGCCTAGAGTGGTGTGTGACGTTCGTAAGTTGAATGCTATCTTGGAAGTGGATGACAAACAACAGTTACCTTTGATCTCTCATATCCATCAGAGCATTGGTACAAAAATGATTCATACTTGTCTCGATATCCATGCTTGCTTTACTAGCTTTGGTTTGGATCCAGAGCAAGCTCATAAAGTGTCATTTACTTGTCCCTTCACGAATATCCAATACACCCATAAAAAGGCTGCTTATGGAATTCGCCATGTCGGATCGGTGGTTGTACGCACATTGCAAACACTGCTCTCTGATTTGAATACAAGCTCTAGTTCTACTTCGTTTCCTACTGATGGTGATCACTCGGTTTCCTGCTATGTGGATGACATCTTATGCAGTAGTAATGGGAGCCTACAAGATCACTATGCGTTGGTTGCTGAGGTAATTCGTCGTTTAACCGATGCTAATTTGGTGCTCAATCCTGAGAAAGTCGTCTTCGCTCAGCGTAGTATTTATCTCTTGGGATGGAGCGTTATTAATGGTAAATTACTGCCTGACGGTAGAAAACTTACCAACATTGCAGATTGGCCGGCTATTACCACTAGTCGTCAATTGGCATCTTTCTTGGGTTTAATGTCGTACTTTCGTGCTGCCATTCCATGTTATTCTCGTCTGACTCGAGATCTTGATAGCTTGAAACAGTACAAAGATCTAACAGATGTTTGGAATGAGTCTCATACAAAAGCGATTGCCGACTTGAAGGATGCACTTACGATGGCACTTGTGCTGTCACCTCCTGATTTTTCGATTCGATTTCACTTGGCTACTGATGCTAGTTTAACTGCTCTTGGCGCGGTTTTATATCAAGTGGTCAACGATGAAATTCGATATGTAGGTCTCGTATCTCGTAAATTGTCTGTTTCTGAGCGTAACTACAGTACTACGAAAAGGGAATTGCTAGGGATTTGCTATGCCTTGGTTAAGTTTCATCGTTTTCTGTATATGCGAGAGTTTACCTTACATACGGACCATAAGAGTCTGATCTACTTGAATACACAGGAAGTCCCCAATGCACTCATGCTTGGATGGTGGGAGACCATTTTTTCTTATACTTTCGATATTGTGCATTTGCCCGGTGTCCTTAACGTAATTCCTGATGCTTTATCTCGACTTTACGAAGATTCGGATGTTGATGCTTCAGCACGACATCTTCTGGGGGGCAGGTACTATGCTGATGGTGGTGAAAGTGTAAAGAGAAAGAAAAAGGGTTCCAAAAACAAACTCAAGGTTGTCACACCTTCGCCTCCAATGAAACGTACTTTGGTCAAGACAACTAAGGCGTTACGATCTAATTCTTCTAGCAACTATGCACGCACTGCGGTAAACGCTACTCTTATCAAAGATGGCACCACCACAGCTGTCTCGCAAAAGCAAAAGGAATTCATATTGCGTACGCTTAGGTTTGCTGACTATGTCACTCCTCCTGCTAATGAAAGAGACAATATGATCATTGCTCAGCATCTGGTTGGACATTTTGGGATCAAACATGTTGAAACTGCAATTCATCATGAAGGGTTTCACTGGGTGAACATTCGGAAAGACATAGAAAGAATATTAGCTGATTGTGACGAGTGTAACAGGTACAATATCGCTAGAGAGGGATATCATCCTTTCCGTAGTGTCAATGCAGCCCAACCTTTGGATCATTGGTGCATGGATCTCGGTGATATGGGTGTTACTAGCTCTTTCGGCAGCAACTTTCTGTTTGTCCTTACTGATTACTTTACGAGATTTACTGTGATAAGATGCATTCCAGACAAGAAGGCTACGACAATTGCCAGGGAAATGCTTCAAGTTTTCTCACTTTTTGGATGGCCAATCAAGTTGACTTCAGACAGAGGCCTGGAATGAATAAATGAGGTGGTCCGTGCTATGATGGACATCAGTGGGATAGACCATCGCCTGTCATTAGGGTACAATCCATTGGGTAACTCGGTTTCTGAGTCATTTATCAAAATATGTAAGTTAACGACTATCAAGTTGTTAAAAGGTAAGAGGGATCAATGGGAGCACTTCATTCCGTGGGTGAATTACTGCATCAATGTCAAGTATGCTCGGCTACATAAATCTCGTCCGTATACGCTTTTGTTTAATCGTCAACCAAATGGGCTGGCTGATTACTCAAAGGTGGACTATTCCAAACGTTTGGAGAAAGCTGATAATAGACTCATTGACAAACGATACCGTTTTGTACAAGATGTTCTTATCCCGGCTATTTCTAAGCGTATTGTGGATACACAAAATGCTGATCATGCTAACTTTGCGAAGAAACATAAGGTCATTGCCGAACCCTATCCTATTGGTAGTAAAGTTATGATTAAAAATGTTCATCGTCAAAATAAGTTAGATGAACGGTATGAAGGACCTTATTTGATTCATAGTATAACCGATAAAGGTTCCTATGTGCTGGCTGACAAGACGGGTGCACTCCTTAGTCGAGATGTGCCTACCCATCATATCAAGTACCAAGTCGCTGCGAATCCTCAGCCAATCACAATTGATGAATTCTCTGCAGAGCATTACGAAATTCAAGCTGTGATTGATCATAGAGGATCTCCTGGTAACTATGAGTATAAGGTAAAATGGAAAGGGTTCGATGATCCTAGTGAAGATACTTGGGAGCCTGTGAAAAACTTTGATTCGGCCAAACACATTGAGCTGTATTGGGCTCGAAGAGAAGGTGCAAAGGCTGCTGGTAAACGTAGGTTAGCTCCTCAAACAGTTAACTGGCGAACTACTACTACTCGCGAAATTGGTCAGAGCGGTAGATCAAACAGGTCTTAAATGGCTACTAGCATGATGGGATCAAGTCTTTTCCTTACATTTTTGTCCTATGAAAGGTTTTTACACAAGGTTTTTACTGACTGATCTCGGATGCAGTGTCATTTGGTAATTATTTATTGGAAAGTGCTTTATGTGCTATATTGTCATGATGTTTTGTAATCTGGGATTACGAAATGTCCACAAGAAGTACCTGAATCTGGGGGGGCAATGTTGTGCCAGAAGGGCTACAACTGTCTATAAAGATTAAGGTATTCTTGATGGGTAGATATGTCTGTGTTGTGCAACAACATGGACAAGCTATGATAAGTGAAGTGCATCTCAGCTATCTAAATACTGAGGTTCACCAGATGTGATAAGCGTTGTACAAGATAAATTGCTACTTTGGCATTCAGAACTTAGTATAAATAGAATAACTCTTGTCTTCATCAATAAATCATTAGTTTTTGTGTCTGATCTTATTCAAATAAGTCTTTTCTTGTTTTTATAATATTGAACATTTTTTATAAGCTACAAATAATAATCCTTTTATTCTTTGTGCTTAACACCTTTGCCACACCACAACGAAGAAGGAAGCTATTACCAAATGGTTTTGAATACAGCGCTTTCCATCATCTGTTATCTCTTATTTGGCAGTAGTTCAGTAGCTGCCAGTGATTTCATTATTATTTTGTACGAGAGTTTATGCTTTGGATGGCTCTCTACCTTTGTTTCGCTACGGTGAGAGCCAACGTGTGCAGAGGTAGCTCGCACTACCGATTGTTCTTGTTGCGTATCTTATTAAAAAATACTGCAACCTTTATTTTGGCCTTCTACTTTCACATGAAAATCCTTCATATTATCTATGGATCTGATTCTTATGCGATGCTCTACATCTATATACACCTAACTACTTCATATACGGGCAAGCAGCATACTAGCATTTCCCCTTTTTAGTTCTTAGTGTTCGTAATAATACAGCAAAACTTGGGTGCATTTGAGCTGCGTTTTCTTACGTTCAAGGCCGTTTTAGATCGTCAGAATAGCACCAAACAATTGCTTTCATCTAGGAGTTACTTCCTGACGCCTTTGCTCAACTTTTTGGGGACCAAAAAAACATGGCCAAAAATCGACCAAAAAGCATGAGGTACCCCTCATGATTTTCATCGAAAATCAAACGATTGCATTTTTTACCTTGATAATGAAGACTTTTACTATGGTATATATTAATTCAATATGTTTCTATCGATCCAAAGTAGCCCCTAAAATCATCTTTGTGGGACCTTGATATGTAAAATTTCGACATTTTGGCCAGAAACCTCTTTTCATATTTTCGTAAATTACCCAATAGGTTTATTCAAAACATCCATCTTACTTGGTACTATTGGATGCGCCTTGAAAAGCACTCCAAGAGAGCTTAAAGAGCCATTTTTTTTTGTAGGGAAGTCGAGCTCCAGGTTTTATTTAAAGTCCTTTAAATGTCATGCTGAGGGATAGAAAAGACTGTTGGTGGACCCAATGTCTGCAAAGAAGGGGAATAAGATATTTTTTGAACTAAGTTGGGAAAGAAATCTACTACTAATAAGGTGCGACTCCTAGAGCCAGTACAGTCTTGCGGAAATCGTCAAAATATAGATCATGGATAAGAGCACAAAACACCAAACGAGGACATCAGTACTACGTCAAAAAAATCAAACAACTTGCGTTCACCAGGATTTGAACCGGGATCCTCCCGTTGGCATACGGGAGTTCTACCACTTCGCCCTACCACCAGGGACAGCTTAAAGAGCCATACGATGATCATCACATTTTACTTAGTCGAACCTGCAAAAACGGTTCGATCGAGTCGAAAACCACTAAGATTTGGCCAATCTGGAACAGACTATGAGTCTGAGCTGGAATTAATATTGGCGGTTGGTGGCGCCGGCTGGCAAACTCAACGTTCTTCTAATTGTGAAAGGAATCATAGATGCTTTTGAAGCCAATGAAAAGTAGGTGGATAATTAAATAGCTCTATTGTTATCCATGCATTCTATATTTAATAACGGCAGTTCATCGAAATGCTTACAAGGTCAACTTGTTTTCTCTTTGAGGCTTCGAAAGTATGTAGGGACAATGAATTTATTATGTTATGCAATGTAAAGAGCCTCAGGGCAAATACAAATAAATTGTTGAAAACATTATTGAGCATAGTTGCTACCACAAACGTGTGGTGAGGGCTTGGTACGGGTTTGTCCTGAATTCTTCCTTCGGCGCATGAGTGAAGAGGGAGTCTTTCATGTACTTGCATGAATATTGCCATTAATAAGCACAAGTTTTAGAACCAATTCTGAAATTGTTGTTTGACATTACAAAAACTAAAAAAGAACACGGAATTACCATGTAAAAAAAGATCATATTAGCAACCCCAAAACGCAAACTTGCTATCATTACATAGATCAAAAAGATAGCAATTATCTGATAATCTTTCGTTCTGTAAATAAGCAGGTTTGAGAGGTTTTGTAGCAAAATTTAATTTTATAGCAGTTACCATGTGCAACGGACGTTTGCTATTTTTATCAGGTGTTTTTTTGCCAAGTTCAAGTTGCTATTCTGCCAATTAAAATCTGGTAGCAATGTACCAACTTTATTTCAATTATGTGTAATAGTGTTAAAAAAAGCATGTATTTATCGCAGCGGCATAGTATCATGCTCAGTAATAGGCGTCAAATCATTGGTTGGAATAGTAGGAACTGCAGGAATTTCATGTCCTTCTGAATCCACTGCTGTACCTGTGCCTGCTGCTGCTGTAGCATTGTTGATGTATGCTGTAGGATTATTACGCTTTTCGAATTCATTGTGTAGGAAATCACGCACTTGTCTGCCAGATCTCATACGAAGAATACGAAGAATAGTGTCGCTATTGGGAAGCTCGATAGAAGCAGATTTACGAGCGCTTGATTTTCTCTTTCTAACAGTGTTTTTAGAATGGTATACTGATTTACTTCTGTCTACTTTTCTTCCTCCACGTAGCTTCAACTCGAGTTGATTCTTAACAGTGGTGTTGTACCCCTCGATCAATTTCTCGGTTTCCAAATTGTAGGCTGCGTTGATGGCTAAAAGAGCGTAGTATTGAGAGTTCTCTAGTTTATCCAGTGGAACAGCATCGCCATCTTCACCACCATTGAACAATACTTTGAGAAGCTGATAGGCAAACGACAGGTGTCAGTGCACCTTATTGAATGGCAATGTTATTGCATTGATTGCTTACCTCTAGCCATTTATAAACAACATGGAACTCATAGTCATCCAAAGGTTTCCATTCCGACAGTTGCTCTGAAAGTGGTGGTAACAAGACGCTTTCCAATGAAATAAGAATCTCTCTCCAAATTCTCAATACAACAAGTTGCATGTTGGTTTCCGACAAGTTATCGTTCAAAATCTTGAGGTTCTTTTCCAAATAATCCAACAAGGGCGCAAGAGAGTTTTCACAATCCTGTAGTGTGGGATCAACGTGTTTACTGCTTCTAGAGAATGACGAAAAGAAACTGCGATCACGCCCCAGTAATTTATCCAAAGACTTGCGATTCAAAACTTGACGGAAATAGCTTCCCATCTACATGGAGGTACTGTTAGTGTATTTTGCTCCAAAAAACCATGGCAACTTGCTTTACCTTATCTACAATGAGGCCCGCAGCATCATTCTCTGCTCTCTTCAATACACGGAAAGCTTTACCGAACCAGAACTGAATATCGTCCTTTTCACCTTCCATACTGATACGCAAAACAAGTTTTCCCTGAGGATTGAAGTTCAAGACCAATTCATGCGTTTGGAAATCGCCATAATAAGAGGGGCCTAATTTAAACCAGACACCACCACATTCTTCGTCAGCACCGATCACATCCTCATCATAGACCAGAGCCAACACATCCATGGTCTCGTCTGTGAGCCAGATATCAAACACTTGGTCCCAGCGAGGATTCAAGGTCTCATACACGGTTCTTGTTCTTGCAATAGGCTTCGAGTCGATTTCAAGCACAATATAAGGATCACTTAATCCATTGTTATCAGCAGGGGGTAAGTTTTCTGCGCGTACAACCTTGATAGAGTAGAGGTAGTTTGTAGGCTGCTCTTCCTTCTTTTCTGTAATAGGTAGTTGGGATTCGTACTCTCTCATTTCCTGAGCAATCTCATCCACATCCATATTTTGATATAATCTATCCAGTTTGGCACGAGCACCCTCGATATTGTTTATCTTGACACACGTTTGTGCCATAAAGTCATAAGGCTCTTCATTGCCTTTGCCATGTTGGCGATTACCAATGAGCTGATAACGAGCTCTATCAAAAAAGGTGGCACTGGCGTTGGTATCGTCTTCTCTGTAGGCGCGAGGATAGATGTCCATTGTGATCATCTCTTCCAACTCCATGGTATATTGTTCAAGTGCAACGCCAATCACTTTGGAAAGGGCTGTGTTGAATCGACATTCTTGTAGATTGTTTGGCCACTCCAACTTTTGCACAAAATCAACCGCTTGATGGAACATGGTGAACAAGTCAACAATTGAGGATGAATGCAGCGTGGTTTCATTGATGGATTTGAACTAGAGCGCAAGTAAAATGAGTTGTTCTGTTAAGCGTAATGGCGGATTAGACCTACCTCGTCTTGTTTAATGGCATTTCTGACCCATTCAGGCGTTTCACCCGCCGTCGTCTTTAGCCAGCGACGCACATGCAACAAGAACCACGATTCCACTTTAAACAAGGCAGATTTCTGTCGAGGACCGTACTGATCGTATAATCTCTTCAACGTGAGCACCTTGTCATACAACTGAAATGTGAGATCAATAGGTGCATTCCTTGCTTCAGGGAGGAATGCCCAGTTTTCCATTTCCAGGACAAAAAAAGGCATTTGTCTGGCCATGACTATACCAGGTAAATGCAGTGTGCTACCATGGAAATAGGGTTAATTGTAGGTAATGTGTACGTGTGTGCGCACCATGCATGCTTACTTTTTGAGCGGCTTCTTAAACTTTTTGGCAACACTAACGAGCTCCTTGATCAGCTTATCAGCCATATTCATCAAATTGGTCATATCATCATTTTTAGGGTTCAACACGGATTTCTCCAGCACTCGCCAACGAGACACAGCTGCGCCCTGTTTAAGTTGTAAGCAATGTAGCGTAGTGAAAACAGACGACATTCATATCAAACTTACTGCAATGGTTTCTTCCAATAAACTGAATTGACGGATCGGATCAGGATGGTCTTCCAGATACGCAGGATTTTCGTAGATGCTGTCGAGTAGAGCGATTTGATCTTTGACATAGTTGGGGCTACTGTATGTCAGCGTACGATGCAAAACGTCAGCCGCAAATTTCATTGCTAACTTACTTGACTCTCCAGTATTGACTCAATGAATCTGCAAGAGAATGGAGACAGGTTTCGTTGAGTCCTTCAAAGACTCGGATCAAGTTTTCACGCTATACATCGAGCGGTTAGCTATGAAACGGCATTCAATGTGTTGATTCTTACATCGTTGATAGTCCAATTTCGAATCTCATTTTCCTTCAAACACTTGTCAAGAGCACGCATGGCATCGCTTGCTTCATCAATGTCCACTTCGCCTTGAGATTCATCTGTATCCAAACGATTCTTGATCAGCTCGAGGTAGAGTACGGCTCTGAATGGCGGGGATAAGCGCCATGTCTTCCAACACTCTCTCAAAAGATCCTCTGAGGCTTGCGACAAGACACTTGACTTGGCGCGCTCTGTATCTGGAGCAATGTTTGTATCTAGATCCATGCACATGTTCATCAATAGACGAAAGTAAGATCGTGGATCGTTGGGGATATATGTGTAAGGGCTCTACAGAGGCGTGTCAGTAAAATTACGACATGCATCGCTGTCTGTCTACATACATCATCCGTAGAAGAGAGATTGCCATAGACAGAGCTTCTCTTGGCATCGCTAGGTCGTCTGCCAACATTGTTGGGGCCAGATCCAGCGCTTCCACCGCCGCCTCCCGATAACAGATTTGCAGAACCAACGTCTTGCTCGTTGCTGATGTTGAGCGAGAAGGTTGGGCTTGTTACCATGATGGTCATTAAACCTTGCAGATACTTTTTTTCTCTGGTTACCCATGTATCATATGCCTGCTGACTAGCAAAATCCTCTCTTCTGCCAGGAAACGGCTGGTTTGTGTTGACAGCATTGATACACTGCTTGAGGTCTAAAAAGAAATTCTAGTGCATTGTTGAGCCATTTTGATGATCCTGTCTACTAGTCTCCTTGGCACACACTTACAGATTCCGTACAAACAGCCTTCAGATCACGAATCTTTTGCCTATGGATAGAATCCTCGATTTGAAACAGGTTTTGGACTGTTTTCACCATAGGGAAGTTTTCAATAATGTCGAGAATGTCAGCATTGTTGGTTACTGGATTGCTATTTCTTTGTTCTTGCTGCTGTTGCTGCTTTGATTTGGGAGGCAAGATGGATTTGCGCAACGTGTCAATCAGTTCCTGAGAAGCCGAGTTGGGAGCATCCTCTTTCAGCGTGAGCAGCAGCACCTCTGTGAACAGCACCACATATCGATCCAGGTCTTTAAACCATACGGCTGGATTAGGATCAGACTTTTTAAGTTCAGTTTCGCTGGTTCGAAGAAAGGTAATCACCAAGTCGTTGATAGAGCCTTGAGGACGGAAACGATGCTGCTTTACGACATCCCTTACTTGTCTCACAATGGAGATGAAGCGGCGATCCAGGTACTCTGGTTTGCTGACATCCTTCCCGTCCTTGATATCGTCCAAGCGACGCAACAAACCAACGACCACTGGCTTGGTGAGCTTGTCTTTGTTGGGTTCCTCGCTGCCAAACTTGTCTGCAATGTTACCAAAGACATCACTTACACCGCTCAAATGCACAGAGTGTCTGTTGTTGCTCTTTTGCTCTTTGCTTGTGGGCTGTAGCTTTTGCTTGCTGTTCTCCTCGAGACAGGCGTGAATAGCGCAACGCAGTGTGTAGTCATAAACAAAAGCTGGATTTAATGTTCGCACATTTCTTCTAGAGTTGCCTAAACCACGTCTCAATGTAGACGACTTTGCTTGCATCCTTGTCTTCTATGTGTGAATAAAGAGAGAAGAAGAGAGGTTGAAACGAAAAAAAAAAAAAAGAGAGACTATATTAATAAAGAAGAAAACAGTGTGTGTAAAATGGTTTGGTGCCTGATGCGAGCGAATAAAGGATGGGCTGAGTTGCACCTCATAAATTGCAATCCAAGAAACGGACTCTCAACGCCTGAAAAGCAGCAGAGGCTGGTTTCTCTCTTTTCCTATTTCTAAACACCATGATCAAGTCTGTGCTCATCTTTAACAACCACGGCAAACCTCGATTAATCAAATTCTACCAGCAAATTGTAAGTAAGCAGTGCGCCAATGGCATCCGATATATATACATTAAATCTCGCACTCAAGGACATTGCGACGCAACAAGCGCTAGTGCAAGAAATCTTCTCCCTCGTTTCAAAACGACCAGACACAGCATGCAATTTCTTGGAGGGAAGTAAACTGCTTGGCGGCAAAGATACACGTGTTATCTATAGACATTACGCTACTCTCTACTTTGTGTTTGTCGTGGATGAGAGCGAGAGTGAGTTGGGCATATTGGATCTTATTCAAGTAAGCTGAGCTTGTGAATCTCCAAGAGACGACTATACTAAAGCAGCAGAATAGGTATTTGTGGAGAGCTTGGATAGATGCTTTGAAAATGTGTGCGAGTTGGACCTGGTACGTTGCAAAGAGAACCAGAGAAACTGGATGACACCTGCTAAAATATGCATAGATCTTTCATTTTGATGAAGTGCATGCCATTTTATCCGAGATTATTCAGGGTGGACTAGTGTTAGAGACAAATATGAGCGAGATCGTGGCAGCGATAAACGAGATGAACAAGGCGAAAAAGACGGGAGGAGTAACAGCGAGCAGCTTGAGCTTAAAAGCGACTGAATCGTTGCGAGGATTTCGACATTAATGGTATCAATAATAAACAGTAGCTTTTATTCTAGAAGGATGATTTTATACCAAGGGTACACCTGCTTTGGAATCTACTCTCATCATGTGCTTCACTTTACGATTGGATAATTGTTCTGTGCGGTATTGTTCATAAAATCGCTCAAACGTATCGAATCTCAACATGTCTCTATGGGTTGAAAGCAGTGTCGTCTTTAGCAGTGAAACGTCGCAGTGTGTAGGATTGCAGCATTCAACCACTGCCCAGGGATAACGTCTTCCAAGCACATGCTGTTTGCTGTTCATGCGGCTGTTGGTGCGTCTGGTGCTGGGTGTAGCGGGGGACAACGACTTGTCTTCATCTTGATCCAGGAGGCGGCTGCTGTTGGTGATATTGGCGAGATTGAGTGGACGCCCTGTTTCAGGATCCTCTTCATAGCCGACCAGCGTGAATGGCATGCTGTGCATATAGTCGATCAGAGCGCCTGCGTCTTCGTCCCTGTCCTCTTCAACGCATTCCTGCAGCATGTTAAGCATTCTGTTCATCTGTTGTGGGTGTTGGTGTGCTGGTATGCTGGTCCTCGTCGTCGATATCAATGCAGCCGTAGATTGGAATTTGCAGGATATCAAAGATTTCTCGTCTGAATACTGATTTGATTTGTTCGCGTTGAGCCACTGTCAAAGTATCTGACTTGCCTATAACTGGAATAATATTGGCACGCGTACTCAGCATTTTAAGGATCTATTTATCAGCCTCACTCATCGTCTGGATGTGCTTGATGACAATAAAGTAGAGGCACGAGTGAATGTGAGTGTCCGATGCTTTGGCGTCTCTCTTGACTTTGGATTCCTGGACCATCAGGGTGTTAGCTAGGTGGGCTGTGTTTTTCCTTGTCTTGATCTACTACTTACTTGAGCAAGTGTGCGCTCAAACTGATAGTCAATGTACTTTGCAATGTACCTCAGCTGGTGATCTACTGCGTATCCCGTGGTGAACCCCGGTGTGTCAGTGATGGTGAGTGCTGTTCGCTGGCCGTTCTCTACAATGTGCATTGAGACCGTGTAGAGCTCGTCTGTAAGTCGCAGTGGATCCCTCAGCACCATGGGCTTAGATTCCTGGAAGGAGCCTTGAATCACATCATGCTTCAATGTTTCACAAAAGGTTCTGACAAAGACAGTTTTGCCAGAGCCAACCGAGCCAACCACCATGACATTGAGATAGGAGAGCGTGTTTCTTCTAGACTTTGATAGTTTATGAGAATAAGCGTTATATAGCATAGTATACCAAAGTGTAATGCTCGTTGTTCATGGCTACCGCATATCAAATGTCTCATTTATGCTCTGTTCAAGTTTGAGCTAGGTTTGTTTATCTATAGCTTATAAGCTTTTTTTTTTTTACATGCGTCAAATATCACTCACATCATTTGGATGGTGTGGATCCATTTTGACAACACACGACAGCGATGAACGCTGATGATTTTGAATTTGACCATCTTGATAGCTTGACACTGGGAAAACAAATGTGCATCTATTTTTTTTTTTTTTTTTTTTTTTTTTTTTTTTTTTTTTTACTATATTCGTTCTGAAGGCAAGGTATTTTTAGCACTCTATGCTAGCTCTCACTCAATCACTGGCTGTATACTTTCAAGCCCATGTTCAGGTTGCACACAGCAGCTTTGCCTTTTGAACAAGCCTGTTCATGGAAGCCAAGTGTCCGATGTACCAACAGAAGAAACGGGCTTATGCCTAAAGAGTGCATTGTCAACATTGTTGGCAAATATTGACTGTATATAGAGTTTTTTTTTTTTTTTTTATTTGGTCTGTTTATTTGGATTAGAAACAAAGGAACTGTACAATTTAACCAAACATGTGTAGCTTCGGATGCTGGTTGGGTGATGTGGTGAAGAAAGAGATGTGTATGTAAGTGTGTATTATGTATAGGATTTCATGCTGTAAAGGGAAAAAAGAGGGAAAATAACAGAGTTCGGTGCCTGCCTACTACACGAATCTTCCGATGGCTCTTTGGAAGGGTTTGATGGAGGCGCATTCTTGTCTTAGGTTCTCAGACTTGGGTTGATCCCACTTCTTTTGGGTGATGAATCTGCGAGCCAATCTGATACAGATTTCTTCTCTAAATTGCGTGTATAGTCTGCGGTTGTAGTATCTCTCAACTTGTCTGGCTTCATCAGGATAAGCATGTGTCTGGTGCACGATAAAGTCGTTGGGCAATACATAGTAATCGACGCCAGAAATGTAGAGTTCGTACAAGCAAGCAGCCTTGTTGCTACCATAGCCAGCAAATCTCTCGTCGCACCATGGAGAGCCCTGGTTCTTGAAGATGACATAGGGCTCGTAAGAGTGTTGATAGGTAGTTACTTTGTAGATTTCCTTTTCGTCTGATATCCAGCGCTCGTAATCCGTGGGGGCATGGCCAGGCAGCCAGAAAGAATGAAACATCTCCACCTTGTTATCATTATATTGTTTGACAAGATCGGGCTTGTTGGTAGGGAAATGACGATAGTCCAAGCCTTCTTCCTGCTTGGCGTACTCAAAGGCGGGTATCACCAAAGCAGCCTCGCCTGAACGCAGCAATTCCATGGCCTTGGGGTTGTTCAATACAGACTTGCGGATATCAGTGCATGGAAAAAAGTCGATGTCAAGCTGCATCACGTATTCGGTTCTTGCAAACAGTTTAGCAACGTTTCGCCAGAGATTCAACTCGCGATCAAATTCATCACGGACCACATGAACATCGACGAATTTGCGCATGTTGGGGTTCTTATCCATGGCCTTTTGGAGAAGCTCGAGCGTGTATTCACCTTCAGCGTCATCTGATATATGGATTGTGGTAGAGATAGGGCCTATTAATAGCTACTGTTAGAAGACATCATTTGATAGCTAGTGGTTTCCTTGTATAGTACCTTGATATTGTGTGGCAAGTTTTGCTAGATTGGGAATTCGGTTTCTTGTAACCAGTGTAACAATGGTAATGTCCTCACCCGTCATGTTCATTGCAGATTTGTAGTAGTAGGGGATGATTTGGGATTGTTCAGAGTAAGAAGATAGCGAAAACGACTTTGATAACACTGTTTCGATAGGTAATTGATGCAAGCCGCCTATGCCATGTATCAGCCACTGTATTGCCATTGACAGCCACATGTTGGGTCACTTACCATTGCCATCAGTCCAACTGAAATGGCTGTTGAATTGGCCCTGCTGTACCGAAGAGTCATTTCTATAGAACAATGCTCTTCTAAAGTGGGATGAATTGGGCTCGTATGTGTAGTATTTAGCGAGCAATGCTAGACAGGACAAGAGCAAGACAAGTCCCATGGCCTTGACTCCTCTGCGGCCCATGAATGATTGTAGATCGGCACTCATTGTATGTGTATAGTTGTGTGGTTGAATAAATAAATAAATTAAGGCAGTAAAGAAGTGGGAGAACAAGAAAACCAGACAAGAATAGACAGGCCCTTTATATATCAATTGGTTTGGTTTTTGAATCTATTAATATCTGAATGCATGATCCCATCAACCAGTTACACAGAAATGCCCACATTGCCCTTTTGGCTTTTTTTTTTTTTTTTTTTTTTTTTTTTTTTTTTTTTTTTTTTTTTTTTTTTTTTTCATTCCCTAAGCCCCAGTGAATGGAACACAAAAAATGGCTGTTGTTGTTATTTTATATATTTGGATTGGATGCCATAGTCGAATAAACATCTCCATTTGGACATTTAATACAGTGCAATCTGCCTTTTTGCTTTTTGGCTTGCGGCTCCATATCATTAGTATGAGACAGGGCTATGATCCCAATACCGCCATTTAAGGCAACATGTGGATCCTCCTCAAGCCTATGCTTGCTTGTTTTTCGGTCGTTTATGCATGCTTCTACATACAACAACAAAGTGGTTTCATCATGTATTTGTATATAGCATACACTAGAGTATCTTGACGCAACAAGAACGATCGTCAAAACTAGATCTGGGTATTCCGAACGGGCACATAACCCCGGTTATCTACATCAATGATCTTATTGCGCATCATTGCGATTGCGGAAGACAACCAATACAGCACTTGTACTCTCATTTCAAGCCGTTGGTAAATGATACAGAGTGTGATTACGGTTGCGACTGAATCTGCACATTCAGGATGGACTCGAGCTCCCAGCTTTTGCGAAATCCCAATGGCACATCAAAATCTGGCTGCAGCTCGACATCCAGCATCGTACCCAACAAGCAAGACAGCATGAACTCCATCCCTTGCTCTGCAATTACACAGCACCAATTCTTCTGTCGGCTTGATGCAGCTGCTTTCTAGTAGTGTATCACATCATAACATACCATTATATCCACTCTTGATAGCCATTCATTCACATGATTTGCCTTTGTGTCATTCATAGTGAACAATACACGTTTTCACTTATCTGATCCAGCACAACAACCGTCATCCTATGTATTGATATGTACATAGAACGATCAACACTATTAGCAATTCCTAGAGACTGAAACGCACAGTTTTGAGTAGAGCGAACGATCAGAAGCCTGCTTTGTAGACGTATGATGATTTGGCCGTCAACTGCAGATTACAAGAGTAATCTATCCTGCGTAAACGAGGATATGCCAATAAAATCAAGTTGCTTTTACCAAAAAAAAAATGTCAGCCTCAAATGGCTAAAGAAGGTGCCTGATCATGTCTGGCATGATTTGCACACAATTCAATGTGTGCAAAGGGGGGGGATTGAAACGCTATTAGAAGTAGGAGTTCAACGTTTGTAGACAAAAAAAAGGAGTTTCTGGTTTTCACTCTTCTTTTTTTCTTTTCCCTTTTGATTAAAACATACAACATAAATGACTGAAACTGCTGTATCATCTCATGTACCAAGAAGACTATACCCTGGTAGACGGTTACAAGTAAGAATCAGTTTTTTTTTAAAAAAAAAAAAAAAAGATGAGCGACCGAGTTATTTATAAGTTTTTTTTTTTTTTTTTTTTTTTTTTTACAACAGGATTCGTTTCAATGGCCATTCGAAAACTTGGATTCTTTGGAATCATCCTTTAATGTACAAGAATATCTACAGCAACTGATCCGATTAGATTGCAGCGATGTACAACGTATCATTGAACTGCCTGAAAATGTAGATGATGAAGTGTGGCAATATGAGCATTTACGGTAAAACACAGAAACGCAACCATCATGATCAACACTGTAATAATGTGTGTTGTATAGTCAAGTGTGCTTGGAACTCAGTTTGTTGGTGGTTGCATTGGAAACAGAGTGTACAAAGCAGCATTGCCCAGAGATGAAGGCAGACGGATGGCTGTATTTATGTGCTGCACATCCATCAACTCAATCAGTAAGTCGATAGACACTGCTACATGGACCTACATGATTCTGATTCTCTATAGTGTCCTGCAATCGACTACATCATACACACATTAGATGGTGCAACTATCCTGTTGAATAACTCAAAATACTTTCCTAGCAGGCAAGTCAAGGGTTTTGATTGCCCATCTTACATGTGGTAGATGCATTGTATTCACTCGCTCTCTCTCTCTCTCTCTCTCTCTCTCTCATCAGAATCTCTGTGCCTGAACCCTCTCTCAAACATTTCCAGTCCATTGCAAGACGTCTGTACCGTATATTTGCACATGCTTATTTCCATCACAGAGAGATATACGAATCCTTTGAGGCAAGTCTAGAGGTTGTGTATTGTAGCTGTAATCATAATCCTTGTTTCTTATTAGAACGAAACCTCTCTATATGCACGATTCCTATTATTATCTCAAACATATGGATTAATCCCGCCTAGTTTGGTGAGCATACCCGATAGCGCAGATGCAAACACCAATCAAGATGATGAGGATGATGAGGATGATTACAACAGAAATATACCAAACAACTCGTCTGCTATCCTACTACCTCGCGATTAGTTCATGTTGATAAAAAAAAAGGGGGGGTTATTTTATTCAATATATTGGATCATTGCTGGAATGTTTGTGTTGTGAGTATGTGTATATATATGTGTGTGTGTGCTTGGGTGTATTTTTTCAGAGTGCTTCATCTTCATCCATTACTGGTAATTCAGAGGGCTTGATCATACCAGGAATAGACAATGCCTTGGCCATCTCTGCCTTTCGTTGAGCTTCTAATTCACTCTCCTTTTCTTCCAAATAGAGTTCTGCATTTTCACCTGCAAATTCCTTCAATTGAATCAGGAAATCACGCACTTCCAGCTTGAACTTGGGTGCGTTGTTGTTGAATTCAAACATGGCATGCACAAAGACCTTGACTTGGCCACTATATAAAGTGATAGAATGAGTGAGACTACATGATAATCAGGGGCAGACTGAACCACTTACGGCTGGAGATGGGGGAATGCGTTTTGTAACAGGGTCGATACGTAATCACGTAAAAAGTCGGCATTGCTAGTATTGGGGTCAGAAACTTGAGAAGCGTTATAAAGAGGTACACGGATCATATTATTAGACACCAATTGGAAGAGACGGGCCAACACTTCAGTTTGTCCCTTGAAACCTAAAGATGGTAACCATTTTTTAGTGCCATGTACAGGCTAAAAAAATACTCGACAACTTACCACTCTTGTGATCGCGATCTGTAAGGACAAAGAAGATGTCTTGCAGAATGCTGAGATAGTAGGATTGATAAAAGGCACCAGCGACAGCGGCATCCGTACGACTGATATTGTCAATCAATTCACCACAGATTTCGAGGCCAATATCAGCAATATCACGCATAGTGTGCTTGAAACCCCAGACAATACTGTCGATAAAGAGCTTGAATTGAGCAGGTGCCAATTCTAATAAAGCGGGGAAGCAGTGTCTATTGATAGCTCTCAGCATGGAATAGAATCCGGTTCTATGTTCAGGATATTCAGCAAAGTCTTTGGTGATCATGTTCAAGGTAGGCTCAAAGGTAGCATCAAAGATGACATTGACGCGAGGAGTCATCAAACCCTATATCATAAAAACATCAGTCATCGACTTGGGTGTATATCAACACACATTACTTACATGTAACTTGTTGACGATGGTAGCAATCACATTCAAGACTTCGGCATCTCTAGCAGTGTCAACACTGGAGTTGTAGTCTGTTAACACGGCTTCCAAGAAAGGCTCGACCATGTTGTTGTTCACAGTGTCAATATCAGTGGTGCATTCAACATAGGTGTCGATCAATTTCAAGATTTCCTTCTTGATGGTTCTCCAACCACGGACCTTGGGCGTCTTGGTGGCAATCACGCCCTGAGTAGCAACACTTTGAGACACCAACTCACCAACAATACGATAGAGAGCCAACAAGTCCATGTAAATCTTACTCAACTGAAGGATAAAAGCAGATCCAACAGATGTACAGGCAGCGACGTTTGTCTTGAGCACGTTGGACAATACCTTGATCTCGGTAGCATTATGCAAGCATTCCGTGTTCTCCTTGGCTTGGTTCATCATGTTCTCCCACTAAGATATAGGGTTAGTTTGCTAGTGGAAAGATGCAGTAAACAGGCATCTAAACTTACAGCGCTGTTGGGGAGCTCCATAAACTTGACCATAAGTCTCTCCTGAGCAGGACCGCTGGTCTGCGCAGCCACCATGTAGCCCAGAGCCTCGTAGAAGGTGTGGATTTGTTGAGGAGCAAGATCAGAGGTGATACGATTGACATTCTCCAGAATTTCCTCGACAAAAGGCTTGACTTCACCTTGCTGTTGAACAACGAAATGGCGCTTACACTGCTGGGCAATCTTGATGAAGGTATCACAAGCCATGTCCTGAACACCTTCGTGCGATTCATGCATGAATTCAAACAGCTTGTTCACGACAGTCTTGAGGAACTTCCAGTGAGCCTTCAAGAAACGTGGGTATTGACCGACACAGTACATGATGTTGGATGCAACCACAGCCTTGTTGTCTTTACCACGCTTCATTTCACACAAGCTCAACAGCTCCTTGATGACAGTGACCAAGAATCGCTTTTCAGTTTCCTCGTTCATGGCACCAGAAATAGAACCGATGGCCCAGCACAGCTTGTTGAGGTTGTTCCAGGACCATTCACTGCCGTCCATCTGTCTAGCTAATTTGGTGGTCATGATTTCCTCCGTGTCATTGACGTCCAAGTTGGTCAAATAGACAAGAGCCTCCTTCATGCTCTTGTACAGTACAATAGTATCACTCTCCTTTACAAACTCTCGCACGATTTCACCTTCGTCATTCTCCACCACAAGGACCTATACCAATGCGTGTCAATACTGCGTGTTGTCACACCCTCTGCCCACGACTTACTTCTTCAGGCTTCACCATGCATTCAATCATCACTACACGCAAATTGGACAGAACAGTGACATACAAGTTCTTTCTGGAAGCACCATTGAAGCCACCCATATTGTTCAGATCCAACAACTGACCGCTACCTTGACCAGCTCTAGCAGCTTCTTCAAACAAACCTTGCACCAACTTGGCCCAATACTCTAAGCAGATCTTGAAAATCTCACGATCCTCAACACGGGAAATCTTGATGAGGTAAAAGTGAGCATTGATCAAAAGCTCGTGCGTGTTGGGGAAGCGTTCGACAATCTTCAAGTGTTGAGACAGATAGCCTGTGAGGAATAGAGCCAAGTTCTGGACAAACTCTTGATCATCGTCGTTGCTGTTCTCGTATACATCAGCGATATTGGTGCTAGGAGGAATCATGGTATTGGTAGCATTCATGACGCTCGTGAATAAGGCAACCATCTTTTCGTAATAAGGCTCGCCAATTTCGAGACCACTGATTTCGGTGAAGCATTTGAGAGTGACATTTCTATAAGGAGGTTGTTCAAAGAACTACAATCAAAAAGGTAGGTTAAAGGAGGGGGGCTCATGCCAAGTTGCATGCATTATTACCTTGTTGCGGAGAGTTTCAATCAAATCAGTTTCAAAAATGTAACCAACAGGAACCCAATTGACGAATCTCAGTAGAGTCTCAAGAGTAGCTTTGATAAGGCTGGGCTTTACTGCTTTGTCGAGCACTTCTCTGCACAAGTTGTAGATCTCTGCGAATTCTGATTTCATTTGGGTCTTGAGAGTAGCTGCTTTCAATTGAGTCATCTGTTCAGCAGAAAAGTCGAAAATCTCTTCACTACAGAAAAGAGTAAGTATCCTGGATTGATTTTATGTGTGTCCAGCGCAGTCGCTTACCTCAACAACTTCAAGATGGCCATGTTGTTCTCGCAGAGGGCGAGGTTTGATTTGCTGGAGGCGATGATTTCAGGGATGAAGGAAGGCCAGTTATGAGGCCATTCTTGCTTGAGGATTTGAACAAGAACCATGTTGAGCTTATTGATATAAGTGCGTTCCTTGATCAAGTTGGCATCATCAGATGATTGCTTGACAATGACATTGACAATGAAATAGCGAATAGCTGCAAAAGGAGTGCATGATTAATCGGTCAGCATGCAATGAATGTACAGAAGCCTAATTTACCATTTCTACTGTCGCTTTGCAAGGTGTTCCATCTGGTTTGAACAAACTTTTCAAGAATTTGTAACGCGATAAACTAGGCCAAAAAAATCGCGTTAAAATACGTCCATGTGGATTCGCGCAAAGCCTGGCTATGTTACCTTTGTCTGAGGGACACTGGATTTCTCTAAGATGCCATCCACTCGAGTCCATGCTTCTTCGTGGTCTTGGAATTGAGTCAGGATTTGTTGAGCTAATTGTTGCTGTTATAGATAGGTTTAGTAGTCTACATTTACTGCGTCCAGCAGAAACCAATACTTACCTCGCTTCCAGAACCAGTAAACAAGGTCATCACAACCTGGTCCAACAAACCAACATCCAGTTCTTTGCTAAAATCGAGGATAGCTTCAGCCATGATAGTTTTGGTAATAAAGAAAGTGAGATATATGTATAAAAGAAAAAAGAAGGAAGGAAAGAAAAGAAAAAAAAAGGTCTAAAGTCTATACATTATATACACACCACGCCTTGCAAATGAAAAAATTGCTCATATCGCATTACACAACCCTATTTCTAATCGCATCAGTCACGACGAAGCCTGATGGATACAGCAAGACCATCAGAGACATCCAATCATCTGCGCCTAGTTGTGCTCTACTCTGCCGAGACCATCACTCGAGTGCCTTGATCCTGTCCATGATGACCCTGTGTGTGTGTGTGTGTGTGTGTGTGTGTGTGTGTGTGTGTGTGTGTGTGTGTGTGTCCATGTGTGCAACATGACCACCAAAAACTTTCAAGCTTATCCACATGTTACTCCTTGATTTTTGACATGCAAATCCACACACTTGCCTCTCATTTCATGGAATCAATTGTCACATGTTTCTCTTTTTCTTTTTCCTTCCTTCTTTTTACTTTATATACCACAATCCACCTTACAAGCATCGATATCATCTTGTTATGTCAAGTCAGGAAAAAGGTACAAAAAAAACCAATGGGGTTTTCCGTGATGACGCATCTATAAAGCTTCTCTCTTTTCTTTCCCGTTAGTCAATCCAACAGATAGTAGCATGTTTTCAGAGGAAGAACAGCATCAATTGCAATCCTTTCTGGATAATCTCGAGTCAGTTGATACGGACATAAAAGGTAACTTTGTGTGCTGGTTGGTGATTGCAATCAACTGATGCAGTGACAGAGGGATCGTCCAATGTTGCCACTACCAGTAAATCCAAATCAAAGAAAGCAGACAAGAAGCGGATGACGCCGTACGAGAAAAGAATGCGCTCCCCATCCACAGATGAGCAACGACAGCAAGTTACCTCGCCATCATCGCCAATATCGCTGCCTCAGCAGCAGCAACAGCAGCAGCAGCAAGGACGATCAAAAGCTGGCAGAGCAAGGAAACCAGCGCATGAACTACTGTCTGAGGATCAAAAAAAGGCAAATCATATTGCTTCGGAACAGAAGAGAAGAGCAAATATAAGGATTGGGTTTGATCAATTAGTGGAGATGGTGCCTGCACTTGATAGTTGTCATCGCAGCGAGGCATTGATTTTACAGAAATGTAAGGTTTTTGTGTGGGTGTGCGAGAGAGAGAGAGAGAGAGAGAGAGAGAGAAAAGATGGAATGAATGCTAATCATTTGGTGCCTTCTTATTCATGTATGGTTCCACAGCTGTGAAATATATAAAGGATTTGGTGCAGGACAAGCATAATTTGAGAGAGAGAGTGAGGGAATTGCAGACAGCGCTGGGTGAAATGTAAGTGAATGTCGACTTGGGGTATATAACATCGTATCTAATTGATATTGTTTATAGACCGGATGAAGATGTACGAGTGATTACATGAGCCAGGTTGAATCCTCAATACTGATTTCTTTTTTTTTTTTGTCAATGTAGAGCTCTGACGGAGAAATGAATTATTCGTACAGGTAGCACCTCGTTTGCTTTATATTATCATGTTATAATAAATGTTCAGTCCCTAGATACTTTTACAACCCTAATATAATATGGAAACTGGGTTGCCTGGCATCTGTCTGGCCTGGCTTATATATGATTAATAATATTACAATCAATCAACAAAAATCACTGTTATTTCTACCCTCTTTCCTCTGCTCAATGCTGTCAGCGTTTTCTTTGAACGACGACCTAAAGCCTCAAAGATTTCCTTATTTACTGCAGACATGTTATGCAGCCCATGAATCATCAATGTCCAGATTAACTTTATTAAATATAGAACGCAAAAAAAAATAGCACAGTTAACTATAGCGCTATAACTTGCCACCTACTTTCCATACGCTTCAAGGGCATCTATTACTGTATTGCCTTATGGAAAGGGCATTGAGTTTACCAGTTGACTCCAGTAGCCAAAATTAATTCAACCCCAGACTATTAGTCTGTTCCAGATTGGCCAAATCTTGATAGTTTTCGACTCGATCGAACCATTTTTGCAGGTTCGACTAAGTAAAATGTGATGATCATCGTATGGCTCTTTAAGTCCCTGGTGGTAGGGCGAAGTGGTAGAACTCCCGTATGCCAACGGGAGGATCCCCGGTTCAAATCCTGGTGAACGCAAGTTGTTTGATTTTTTTGACGTAGTACTGATGTCCTCGTTTGGTGTTTTGTGCTCTTATCCATTATCTATATTTTGACGATTTCCGCAAGACTGTATTGGCTCTAGGTGTCGCACCTTATTAGTAGTAGATTTCTTTCCCAACTTAATTCAAAAAATATCTTATTCCCCTTCTTTGCAGACATTGGGTCCACCAACAGTCTTTTCTATCCCTCAGCATGACATTTAAAGGACTTTAAATAAAACCTGGAGCTCGACTCCCCTACAAAAAAAAAAAAAAAAAAAAAAAAAATGGCTCTTTAAGCTCTATTGGAGTGCTTTTCAAGGTGCATCCAATGGTACCAAGCAAGATGGATGTTTTGAATAAACCTATTGGGTAATTTACGAAAATATGAAAAGAGGTTTGTGGCCAAAAAGTCGAAATTTTACATATCATAGTCTCACAAAGATGATTTTAGGGGCTACTTTGGATCGATAGAAACATATTGAATTAATATATACCATAATAAAAGTCTTCATTTTCAAGGTGAAAACCGCGATCGTTTGATTTTCGATGAAAATCATGAGGGGTACCTCATGCTTTTTGGTCGATTTTTGGCCATGTTTTTTTGGTCCCCAAAAAGTTGAGCAAAGGCGTCAGGAAGTAACTCCTAGATGAAAGCAATTGTTTGGTGCTATTCTGACGATCTAAAACGGCCTTGAACGTAAGAAAACGCAGCTCAAATGCACCCAAGTTTTGCTGTATTACGAACACTAAGAACTAAAAAGGGGAAATGCTAGTATGCTGCTTGCCCGTATATGAAGTAGTTAGGTGTATATAGATGTAGAGCATCGCATAAGAATCAGATTCAGAGATAATACAAAGGATTTCATGTGTAAGTAGAGGGTCAAAATGAACGTAGCAGTATTTTGATCAGATATGCAAGGGCAATCGGTAGCGCGAGCTGCCGCTGTGCAGGTTGGCCTTCATCGAAGCGAAGCAAAGGTAAAGAACTATTTGAAGCATAAACTTTTATATGATTAGTGATTTTATATCAATCAACAATCAAGGTTCTTCTAACATTTTAGCTATAAAAATTTTGCGATATTAGCCAAAGGCTCGTATCCATTAATTTTATGTTTGTCCGCATATATCAAGTTTAATAAATCTTACTCACAATAATAGCAGATACGCATTTTTATGCTGAAGCATCGTCCAATGCTATTAAAGGTACAGATGAGATGTCAGATCAAACTTTTCTTAAACACATCATGTTGTGAGTCTCTTAATTACGATTTTTATTTACAATGTTATTTTCATGATTTACTCAAAGAATCACTCTTGGTAGCTCAAGAATCTCTCCCACTTTACACCATACTTTCTATCGATCTGGATTGCACGCGTATATTCATCAAATGCTACTCTAATTTGGTAGATGGCTTCACGCAGTGCTAAAATAAAGAAAAGGTCGCATTAATGGCAATATCCTGGGGCTTTCGCATCATGATTTCACTTACCCAACACAACAGCCTCTGATTCCTCAATCACGGCATTGCTATCCTTCAGCCATTTACTGTATTGAGCGGGTGGTGCTTCAAGATAATGCTCTACTTCCACTAGACATCCCAACAATTGGTTGAGCACAGCAGTAAGGTCGTTTTGCACAAAGCCATAAGGATCTTCTTTCACAGAGGCAGCAGTCAATGTACCAAGCGATTGAATAGCCCAAACTACCAGCTGATATTTGTTAAAGACGGTTTGGACACGACGAGTGGCACTGTCCATGTACAATGCACTGAAATAACCTGCACAGCCCACTTGTAATTCTAACCGCTGCAACATCTCAATGATTTGAGTCTTTTTGAGCTTGAGCCAAACATGGTTGGTGTATACTGAGACGGTATTCATTGAAGGTGGCACAGTTTCCACATGTTCAGCAATGTCAGTGAAAAGTGTGCTTGTTCTGTCGTCCAACAATTCCATTTGCTTTGCTGTGGAGGCAAAGATATTTGCATTCGAAATTTCCAGACGATTGCGCACTTGTTGTGGCTCTACTGGCTTGTTGACAGGAACAGGCGTTTCGACTATCAGGACTCTGTTAGTCTTTTGGACAGGTTGCTCGTATGTCCTTTGACTTACCAGGCTTAACGCCATTGTACTCGACGTCAATGGCTGTTCTCAATTCATTGATGACCTTGAAGCATTGATCCATAATCTTGTACCAAGCATTGTCTTGCAGCTCTTTTCCAACGGTACGGTATAATTCTCCACGTTTTTCTGGGCTTTTGGTGGCGAGTGCAGCGAGCTCTGAAAAGGCGGCTACTTTGGCGTTGATCTTGGTTTCGGAAAGACCATCAACAAGGCCGTCGAATTGGTTTACACATTGATCGCTGACGGGGAGGGTCTACATGCAGACATCAGTGCCACGCAAACGTCAATTTTCTTTTCATCACTTACAAAGGAATAAGCAGCATCATAGATGCGATTGGTAATATTGAATGTGCACATGGTGGCAGTTCCAGCGACAATCAAGCGCAAAAAGAGGTGCAAACTGAACCAACTATAGCCAGCAATAGGCGTATCCAAGACTCTACCCAAAAGCGTTAATACAGGCAAGCATTGGAATTGCGCCGTTAACTACCTATTGTAAATACCAAAGAAACGAGCCAAACAGTAGTAGATGGAGCCCTTAAAGAAGCAATAAGTGATACAGGCTACAATCAAGTAGTTGATGGCTGTCATGGCAGAGGTACAGAGCACAGTTGCAAAGCTTGTCTTGACCTCTTCAAAGAAGGGTTGCTATAGCACAGTTGAGTCAATAGATCAAAAGCAGCAAATGAGGATTTTACCTGAACGTTATTGATCTTGACGACGTTGGATCTTCTGGCAACATAACGGGCAGTGTAGCCAAAGGCGAGAATGATGCAATACACAGTAATGAAAATGTTCTCTTGATTCAACTGACGTGCACCTGAATAATGGCTATATGATGGTGAGTACTGGGCCGCAAGCATGCTATAATAGGTCGTTACCCTGGCGGTTGCAACAGGAGATCATGAGTATACTTCTCATCCATCACCCAAGAAAAGTAATAGCGAACAACAAAGATATTGAGGGCAGAGTGAATGACGAAGAGAAGTATGTTATCCAAAGATGTCCAATTGATAATCATTTCGGCAAGGGCGCTAGGGTATGTGGGCTCGAAGACTAGCAAACACATCAATTTCAAACAATCCAATGTATTCTGCTAGTGTGCTATTTACCTGTATATGTCATATTACGAATGAGAGAAACAACAGAGCCTGTGATAAACAGCACACACGAAAAGAGCAATGTTCTCCAAGAGACGAGATCAATGAGTACCGCTGCGATGGATGTTAGCAAACATGAATGATGGCACATTGCTTGTATCTTACAAGGGGAACCGAATCGCATTTGGAATAGAACAGCAAATGCAATTGACACTACAGAAAGACACTTGTAAAAGCGTCCATTTGATTTGCTTAAAGCGGCAAGGTAAGCTTCCGTGTAGGTGTTGTAAAGCTTTCCGGAGCGCTTGACTACAGCAGCAGTGCTTGCTGGCATCTGTGATGAAGAAGCTGACTGCATTACCAAAGTATGTTTAATAACAAATACAATAAAGAAGCAAAAGAAAAAGACACGTCTTTTGGATGGTTTGTACAATCTTTTTTTTTGTGTCGAGTCACGAAGAAAGTAAGCTTGTAAGGATTTCACTTCAAATGTTGCTCATGCAACTGTGATTTGATGCCTTAAATTTCTAAAAGAGCTTTGTTTCTCGAAACAGCTTACTTCAGTGAACCTTGTGGGTGGAAATCTACGGGTGCCTTAAATCATAGATGAGATTACTTGAAAATGGGCCATAATGCCTTCATGCTGCAATCTGTGCTTGAATGTGTATGATGAAGGCTATATTCTACAGTTGTATTATGAACTTTATCTGCCTCTTTTAGGAGCTCTTTCTGTTATGAGAAAATCAGTCTTTTGCTTTCCAACTAGATTCAAGTACTTTGCTGTGCAAGAAAAGTCTCTATCATCATCCATACTATCTACAGGGTCGCAATTGCATTTCTCTTTGGGCAGCCATGAAGGTTCTGACGGGCAGTGCAAGATGGGGCCATGGTAGTAGCCAATGTCGTAAAAGAAATGCACCTCAGATCGCTTCAAGAATAAAGCAGCAGCAATACTGTGCACTGGAGCATCTCCCCATCGCTCGTAAAAGAATCCGCCTGCCTTGTCAAGATGGTTAAAGTACGCCAAGTACTCTTCAGATCGAAGCCACTTCAATGAGCCAATCTCAAAATTGCTCCAGAAATGACACATGTTGTAAGTTTCACCATGGTCATCAGAGAGCCAGTCGATGAAGCTGTCTGAACTGTTGAATGGTACAATGTAACTGGGATGCCTCTTGATGAAATCTTGTGTAGTGTCCCATAGTGTAGGTATAGTGAGAGCGTACTCGCGAATAGAAATAGTAAAGCCTAGATCAGACTGTGATTAGTATACATCTCTTGGTTCCACGCACTTACACTGCTACTAACCGTATTTCAAATCATGTTCACGCATGTATTTGAACGGGTCATAGTCCACATCGCAACTAAACTGAACATCAGGTTCGACGCGCCTATGCGGAACATGAGCCTTATAGACTGTCATCATACAATTGATATTTACCAGTAGTAATCAAATTGATCCAACAAAGGATGGCGGAAGAAGAATCCACTTTGAAACCTATGTAAAAGAGAGAGTTTATTATGAGGTCTTCTGGCCCACTGTCTTCCCCAACAAAACCCAAAATTACCTGCACATATGACGATAAGACTCTGAATCACCATAGGGAATATCCTCCTCTGCCATAGCCTCACGCCCTTGCCTTGCTTTCTCTTGGTCGATAAAGTCAGGATATCCCCACATGGACTCATCAATCAAACCGTAATAGGTCTCCCCTGAAGCCAAGCCAGACGTATATTCAATGAAATCATCATCAAATGGCTCATCATTCAGAAATACGTAGGGATAATTGTATTTACTGTTGAATCGATCCTCCAACTGTCTCATTGCATTTCGAATACCAACTCTGTCATCATTTCTTGCGAGAACAACAAATGCTGCGTTTTCGCTTTGCTCCTGTTGCAATTGCTGCTGCTGTTTTGCTATCAACGTGGACAGCTTCTGCATCTCTTGGTACGTAAATTCAGCCGATTCAGGTATCTGGCTGTTAAAGTAGGAATGAAAACACCAAATGATGAATCCAATGGCCAGCAAAGGTAGCACCAGTCTTTTCACCTGTCTTCCCGAGGCATTCTTTTGTCTTGGCGCGATCATATTCCTTGTCAAAGATGAGGTATTGACAAGAAAAAGAAAGGTTGTTTTATCCGCTTGAATCTGTTAGTGGGTTATCATACAATGTGCATCAGGTTTTACATTTGAATCTCATATAGATGAATATCTCTTGCCCCACGCTGGCAAATGGAACTCTAAAAAAGACATGCCAAACCTTGATTTGCATTCTTTTTTTATCTAGCTGTATACGAGCCATGCACTCTATGTCTAAATCAGAGGAGCCTTCTCTTGGTAAAAAAAAAATCTCTATTTGTCGAATATTTGGATTCAACCTATAAGCAGAGCATTAATTACACAAACATCTGTGTGAGGTTTCACTTGCTTTCTGACTGATGGTCATACGAAACCTAATATGCCAAGCACTTGTTCAGTACGCTTGCATTCGGTTGCTGCTGATGACAAGCTTTCTAACAAAACAGAGTCGTTACCATGGCTTGGTAAATCTGGTGCTGTTTGTTTCATTAGTAGTGATAGCGTAATGAATGTAACTTTGATCGTGACCTATTCAGACTCTACAAACTCCCAATCCCTGTTAAAAAAAATTGTAGCTGCCATGGCACTTTTGCAACACTGCGCCTATCGTGTAGCCAATTTCGTGAGCCAAGTCAAACTTTCCCCCACGCATGCATTTGGGCAGTCTTCATCATTTCTGATCTTGAGGTAAACTTTGGCAGCACTTGCTCCCTAAAAAGCGGCGAAAGTTGAGAATGACACCCAAATTAACATGTCTGCGAATGAGATTCAGGAGATCCTCGCATATGCCACTGATGATGATGATCGGTTTTACACAGGGCCATGTACTGATGTACAATAACAAAAAATGAAATTGAATCGCGATGCACAGCATGAAAGTGGCCCTGGCTAAAAAATATTAGGCTCGTTCAAATACAGACGACAACACCCCTCTCCCACTCCTACATGACATATAGATCTCTGTATTATACCCATACATAGAAAAAGGGGTGTTTAATATACTATCTATTAAGCAGGCAATACAGAGATACGATCAAACTGCAAAGGTATAAATAGCAAGGACGTTTTTTTTTTCCTGTCATTTCAGTTTACCTGCTGTACAGCTTATTGGCATGCTTGGATACGTCAAAACCTTTCCTAGAAGCCTTCGACGCTGGTTCAGAGGAGAAAAGGCTGATTTGAAAGAAGTTCATATTCGTAAGTAACAGTGTCTGTTCTCTTGGTTCATGTGTAAATCCACCATCCTATAGAGCAAGTACTAAATGGACAGACACAACAGCCCATCAGCTTGGAAGATTTCCGATTGTTTTTGTTAAACAAGGAGCACACCATTCAAAATCTGGAATTTCATGCATGGCTCATGGATTACAGACGAAAATTTGAAGCTTTACCAGAGCATGAGAAAGCCAAATCGCCACCACCAAAGGAAGCTGCATCCGAAGGCTCGATTCACTTGCCACTGGAGAATCTCTTGATCAAAGCCGATGAAGAAACAAAAGACCCTACAGTATTCTCTCCTATCAATGATGTCCTCTACAAGACAACCCCGGGTCAGCCCCTCCGTGCTGAACTAGACTCTGCCTTACAGACATTCTTTTACTCCAACTCCTTTAAAGAATTGAATATTGAACCATGGCGATCCCGATATGTACTTTACAATGCCTGTTACACCACTCATCCTGATGTCTTTCTAAATACTCATGAATACATCTATGGCTATCTCAACGAAAAGAGTCTTCGATATTTCATGCACCATGCCTTACAAAATGTGCGCTACAGTATAGTCATTTTCTTTTACTGTGTCAGCTTCTTTTTGGCATTTCAGTCACCCTTACTTTTATACACAACTTACAGTCTGCATGCACCTCGTATGTGCAGATGGCCTATCATTCTTATTTCATTTTTATCTGCTCTGCTGTTTATATCTGGAAGATCTGGCTTATGTTCCATTCGTGCACTGTTGGGAAATCGAATGGTCCCTCACTTTGAGTTGGCTGAATACAAAAAATTCAAGAAGGGCCAGATTTCCAAGAATAAGTTTCTTCGTCGCTCAAGACAAGTGGAGGTGGAAGATCAAGTGGAACGCAAAAACTGGAAACGTATTGTTGATCCACGCGTCAAGGCATATCATTATGTATGTATGCTTCATGTTGATTTGATTTGCATACTGATAATTTCTGTAGGAGGTCGTTACTCATATTGTGATGTTTACTTTTCTCTTCTGCAGTCTCTGTACCGCACTGGCGATTGGCATCTCGAACGAATACGATCCAGAAACCTTGGCCAGAATGATGGGGGCCATGAAGGCTGCTACTGCTGACAACAACTCCACGACTCTCGCATAATAACATTCAAACTATCAACTTTCCTGCTACTTAATACATCCTATATTCTTTTAATCACTTTATTAATAATAATACAAATTTCGGTGAACTTGAGTACACTTCAATATTGACTCTTCTTCTACATTACCTTCAGCTGTTGAATACAGCATAAGTTTATACTTGGCTTACCATCTCTTAAATTGCTTGAAGAGCAACAATAGATACTACCGCACGCCTTTTTTTTGCAATCATATTGCGAGGACTATGATATGAAGTCATATACTATTAATTAACTCTTACTATTTCTAAACTTTACATGGTGCATCGTAATCTACTCTAAGTGTTGAACTCTGTATCTTTCTCTAAAATAGACACTTTAGCATTTCGAGGAACTACTGAGATTGCATGTCAGGCAATGTTGGCATTTATAATGTTAGTGTGTTCTCTTGCAAACTATCATATGGTCATTAAACTCTTTCAGAGCCTCAAAAAGTAAACAAGTTGGTCTTACAAGTATTTTGGTGGAGGGGCGTTATTAAAAAATAGAGCTTCAGAGAAAAATAGCACGGCTAACGGTAGTACTATTTAAATTCGCCACCTACTTTCCAATGGCTTCAGAAGCATTTATTATTCCCTTCACGATTAAAAAGGGTATTAAGCTTGCCAGCTAGCCAGCCCCACCAGCCAAAAGTAATTTAACCCCAGACTATTAGTCTGTTCCAGATTGGCCAAATCTTGATAGTTTTCGACTCGATCGAACTATTTTTGTAAATTCGACTAAGTATAATGTGGTGATCATCGTATGGCTCTTTAAGCTCTCTTGGAGTGCTTTTCAAGGTGCATCCAATGGTATCAAGTAGGATAGATGTTTTGAATAAACCTAGTGAGTAACTTACGAAAATATGAAAAGATGTTTCTGGTCAAAAAGTCGAAATTTTACATATAAAAGTCCCACAAAGATGATTTCAGAGGTTGCTTTGGATCGATAGAAACATTTTGATTCAAGATATACCATAGTAAAAGTCTTCATTTTCAAGGTCAAAAATGCGATCGTTTGATTTTCGATGAAAGCCATGAGGGGTACCTCATGCTTTTTGGCCAATTTTTGGCCATGTTTTTTTGGTCCCCAAAAAGTTGAGCAAAGGTGTCAGAAAGTAATTCTTAGATGAGAGCAACTGTTGGGTGCTATTCTGACGATCTAAAACGGCCTTGAACGCGAGAAAACGCAGCTCAAATGCACCCAATTTTTGCTGTATTAGGGGCACTAAGGACTAAGAAATGGAAATAGCTGTATTCTACTTCTTGCCCGTATATGAAGTAGTTAGGTGTATATGGATGTAGAGCATCACATAAAAATCAGATCCACACACAATATGAAGGGTTTTCATGTGTAAGTAAAGGGTCAGCTTGAACGTAATAATATTATGATAATAAGATACGCAAGGGCAACCAGTAGCTCAAGCTGTCGCTGTGCAGGTTGATTCTCACCGAAGCGAAGCGAAGGTAGAGAACCATTTGAAGCATAAACACTCATATGATTAGTGATTATATATCAATCAACAATCAGGGTTCCTCTTCTAACATTTTAGCTATAATATTAATTTTGGGATATTAGCCAAAGGCTCGCGGCAGCGCGAGCCGTTTGAACGTAGGTTGGTTTCCACCGAAGCGAAGCGTAGGTCAGGAAACCACCCGAAGTGCTGAAAGGCTCGTCATAACATATTAGATGTTCAGTCCTTAGACACTTTACAACTCTAATACGGAACCTGAGTTTCAAGGCATCATCTGCCTGGCCTGGCTCATATCATAACTTTTATATACTTATAGCTTAGGGCGGCTAATAGGTAGTTTAGTTATGATACGAATAAAAAAGATGCCTGTAAGGAATAACAGATACAAATGTAGTGAGATTAGATTTAAAACAGAAAGAATTTAAATTTGTTGAACAGGATTTATGTGAGCCTTTGATGCTCACAATCAATATTACATTTCACCGCGTTAAGTATGAGCAACCACGCACAGAAATAAAAGAAGATCACGTGATATAAACAAACTACTTGGTATCTATAATAACCAATCTCTAACAAATCATCTGATGCGCGGATAGTTTAAAGGTAGAATCTTGCCCTTCCAAGGCAAGGGTCGGGGTTCGATTCCCCGTCCGCGCATTTAACTTTTTAATCAAAAACGATTTTCGTGAGACGTTACTACGTTTAAATTTGATTTTGGATATTACCTAAATATTTTTTATCTAACTCGCCAGTTATAAACAAGAAATAAGCAATATTTTCACTGCTCTCAAAAGATTAGTCAGTATCTGCCATCAAAACATTTTGTTAAGCATTACTAAACATTGTAGACCAAAAAATTTCCTGTCAAATGAGCTATTGCTTGAAGCTCTGGCATGACTCTATCGTAAAATATTTAAAATATTGTCCTAACCAAAAGATCCTCATCAAATTTTTTGCTTGCTATCACAGGCAGATTTTGAAGAAAAATCCATGACTTTGCATGGTACTCTTTTTGGCCGTATCTCGACAAATACTCTTCGGATTTGCACAAGACAAAAACAATTCGATAGCTCTACGTTATATTTACTATAATGTAAGGGTTTGAAGTACCAGATGTACGTTCCCTTCATAAATTTGCTCAAAATCATATATTTTATGAGTTACAAGCAGGGGATGTTCAACTTTTAATTTATTTATCTATAATAACCATACCATCGTATAGAGAATTCAAAAAGAAACAAAAGCTATCAAGTTTGAAGCTCTCGTTTACTTAGTAAAACTTAGAGATACGGTCCTTTGAAAATCGGTCATTTGGAACATTTTCCGTCATTACTCATTGGCATCACCTTCAATAACCACACATCAAGCATGTTCTAATCAAAAAAGATACCCTCTACAACGTTTACTACACATACATCTCACATTTATATAGTAACTTAAGAAGTTTAATAGGTAGCATCTACTCGAAATTGCTTTCAAAACAACCAGGTTCTTTATAACTGTGCTAGCTATCCGAATTTAGGTTGTATTCTCGTCATCTTGGCAGGAGCGGCTTGTTTACTGAAGCCTAAAGCATTTGATTTTATTCAAAAACTTTTTACAGCTTTAAGATACGGGCGCCTGCCTAGTAATGGTGAAATTCATAGTATATATTTAACCTGATAATGTGTTATCAACTTAGAGCTTTTTATCCTTGAAGTATTATACCGAAATTGTCAAATAAGAAATGACGAATTTGCCTTCAATGAAAAGTATCAACCGAGATCTCTATCGCTTGGCCGACCTAATGACCGATCCATATACTTCATTGCCATCTGCTCTTAGGGGAAGCGAATAACCAGAATAATGCAATTAAATTGATCAAATAAATACATAAAAGGGTCCATTGATGTCACGCTAATAACGAGAAATACATTTAATCTTCGTCTAAAAATGCAATAATAAGCATCCTTTTCCGTTCTTCTTCATTTTCTTTCCCATATAAACATAGGAATAGATCTTTTTATTAATTCAAGAAATGCTAATAAAAGGCCGGCTGCATTCGACCATTCATCCTTTTCTCACACTAAGGAGTGGATTGCGCATTCAAAAATGCAGCTTGATAACAGATGCCTCAGGCTGGAATAGCAACCCAATGCAATTTCCACCTCACATCAACAATCCATCTGAAGCAGTGCCCAGCAGCAAGATAACAATGATAGAAGCAATGGGCACACATAATGAGAGAAGCCGCTGTATAGAATGCAGACGAGTATTCACTGAGAGTCCTCTATCAAAACGATCAAGAAAATTGTGTATTTGCATAGGATGTAAAAGGTACTATATCCGTATCACCATCAATCTGACACTGACAAATCACAGGCTTTATGCTCAAAGCCGTAATGATATGGAGATGCGATTAATCAAATCAATCCAACTTTTCAAGTTTGGTCATGGTATCTACAATCATGACATGATGTCGCGACAGATGATTGCCCGGAATAAAAACTTCTTTACAGTCAACAAGTTCAAACCAAACATGCAAACAAATATCAGAGCATTGACTCAGGCGGCCGAATGTTGGGATCAAGGGGTACCAATGACTGATCTTGAAATTAAGGGTGGCATTAGGAATGATCAGCATCTCGATTTATCAACATTATTGAATGCACGCGCCTCCAGCTTTTTACACCACACTAAAAAACGATACCGTAAGCTCTTCCCTGATGCCAAACCCGTCAATGAAAAGTTCATATTCCCAACTCAGTCTCAGTTGAAAGGACTCATGGAGGCATCTAAAGGAATTTGCTCCTGGAGTGGTTTACAGGGACAGTGGAGACCAGAGAAGTCATCTCATCTATTTTTATTGACCATTGATCATGTCGTGCCGGTCTCCAAGCATGGCTCTCCCACTATAGATAACCTACAAGTGGTAATTTCGATGTATAACTCGGTCAAGAGCGATGAATTCGAAAGCGAATTTCAACGCTGGCTATACTACTCTTAATTGCAATTACAATAAATTGATAAAATGTCAACAAATGTGTGTGTAGGACAAGAGCTGATTCCTCGGAAAGAGGTGCGCCATGTGATTAGTTAGCTTGATGTTTTACATTTTATGTGTTTGTTTACACTACGATACCAACTGATAGATAATAGTGTATAATGGTGTGATGAAACATGTTAGTGTATAATGGTGTGATGAAACATGTTAGTGTATAGCGTACTTGGGTCAACTTCAATCAACGTTTCACGCAGCTGATCTATTACGGTTGCGGGCAATTAAAGCCCTATAAATCAAGGAACAAGAAATGTTTCATCAACCGCTCAAAGCGACACCAAATCCCTGTGCTCGTTATGCAAATCGATGAGGGAATCGAGTCCATGGAATTCATGATATGGGTGTGGTAAAGTTTGATTACGTTGTCAATGTCACACAGTGAACTGTTTAGCCATGGAGATATTGTTATTCATCAAGAGCGTGTGTATGTGTATGTGTGTGGACTTGTTTATGCTTGTACATAAGCAAGACTAACCCTCCATGGGGTGTTTTTTGTGTTAGCGCAGGATTTATCGCAGTTACGATGCTTACAAGAGCGGTTGGTTAGTCAAGTCTATGGTGCACCCTGTTTGACAAAACAATGCATCATGCTTTATTGGAAAACTTAGTGATACCTCTGTATCTGTCGTTATTACACACAAACACAACTATCTTGTACCTGTGTGCGTGTACACTATAGTAATCTACATGGACTTCTAGGCCTCGAACCAATTGTATTTCATATTATACAATTCAAGCTGTATCACGATCAACCTGTGCAATGTACATCTGCTGGGGATTTATTTTATTGCACTCAAGCATTTGATTCACTGACCCAACTGTTTGTGCGAATTGTCTTTTGACCATGGATGCTTTGCCTGTATTTTCGTGTCATGGGCATCGTTAGCAGCAAGTATATTAAGCGAAAAGTATATCGATTATATAATAGAGTTTGCAATATAAGAGAATGTAACATTAATCCTACCTTTAAAAACCCTTTTTTTCCCTGCAGCTTGTATAATGCAGTACATTAGTAGTAGAACAAGCCAGTAAATTGACCCTTACTATATTACATTAGATCACATGAAGTTTGTATGGAGCCCTCAACACATTATTGTCAGCCTTTGGATCCAATCTGTAAGAGATATACACACCAGCCGATCGTTCATATACGCAGAATTATTAAATTCTACTTGCACAATTTCAAGGGATGAAATATACATCATACGTTGCTTAAAACGAGGCGTCTACAGCACCCTCTCGACTGTTTTAGGTGAGTTAGTGTAACTGCAATAGTTCAATCAGGGCAATTTAAATTTCGATCATCCTTGTATTCCCAACCCCCTTTCCTTTTGATAGTGGTTACACTTGATTAAAAATCAAGTAATAACAAAATTGTTACAGTATTGTCAATAGAACAATATTATGCAATGTATTAATATTACAAATTCGAGTTTTCTTGAGTTTCACATGGTTCATAATAGTAAATAGCTCATAAGGTTAGCAGAGAGAGAGAGACAGATGAGATGTTACAGTTTGTGTGTACTGTGGTCAACATGTCAAATAGTATAAATACAGCCCCCCTCGTTGCTTGTTCAAATTAATCCAAACAGCCCTTCCTCTTCTTTTCTTCTCTTACCTTCATTCACCTTTACTGAATCATCATGTTGTTGCGCTCTATCGGAATTACTGCTGCTGCATTACTGTCATCTTGTGGTGTTCAAGCTGCTTTCAGCTCAAACTCGCCCAATGTCATGTATTATTGGGGCCAGAACTCTGCTGGTGGTTCATCTACTCAAGGCTCATTGGCCTCTTACTGTAATTCCGGACAAGCGGACGCTGTGATCTTGTCCTTCCTTAATATTTTCAACGTGGGCAGCCTTCCAGGCATCAATTTGTCTAGTGCTTGCGAGACCAAATTTCCTGGTACTGATTTACTCACTTGTCCCGCTATTGGCAATGGTAAGTTTGATTTCGTCCTATCAAAGATTGCAAATTAACCGCGAAATACAATACAGACATCAAAACTTGTCAAAGCAAAGGTGTCAAGGTTATCCTCTCTCTTGGTGGTGCTGCTGGTTCTTATGGCTTCACCAGCGATGCTCAAGGTCAAACTTTTGCTCAAACTATCTGGTATATGTTTGGTGGCGGATCATCTACTTATAGACCTTTCGGTGATTCCACCATTGATGGTGTTGATCTTGATATCGAAGGTGGTCCATCCACCGGCTACATTGTAAGTTGATTTTTATCGTGAAAACATTTATTAGCAATTGGCTCATGCTTTCATTCGCTAGGCTTTTGTCAATGCCATCCGTTCCAAGTTCTCTTCTGGATTCTTGGTAGGTGCTGCCCCTCAATGCCCCTTCCCTGACGCTATTCTCGGCTCAGTGCTTGATGGTGTTGGACTTGATTTCGTCAATGTTCAGTTCTACAACAACTACTGTTCTGCTGTTGGTAATTCATTCAACTACGACACCTGGGCTAATTGGGCCAAGACAACAGCTCCCAACAAGAATGTCAAGATCTACTTCACCATCCCTGGTGCACCCACCGCCGCTGGAAGTGGCTATGCCCCCATTTCCACTGTTCAAACCATTGTTCCTCAACTCGCTTCTCAATATCCCGGTATTTTTGGTGGTGTTTCTGTTTGGGATGCCTCTCAAGCTTGGAATAACGCTCAATTCGCCTCTCAACTTTACTCTCTTGTCAAGGGCTCCGGAGGTGGAGGTGCTACCACTACCACTACCACTACCACTACCAAGACCACCACTACCGCTACTAATTCTTCCACATCCTCAACCTCCACCAAGACTTCCACCTCTACTTCATCCTCTGCCACTGCCACTGCCACTAGCACTCCTGGTACTTGCGCTGCTGCCGGTCAAGCTTGTTCCACTGAAGGTAAATATGTCTGTACTTCTGGTGGTGCTTATGCTGTCTGTGTTTATGGTAAATGGTCTGTCACCTCTTGCCCCAGCAACACGCAATGTATTCCTACCACCGATGGTGCTTCCATCTACTGTGGTTACTCTAGTGGCTCCACTACTTGTTCTGCCCTTAGTGCTCGTGACATTTTGCACGCTACTCTCAATAAAGGTGGCGCTGTTCCCAAGCCTTACAAGGCCTCTCAAGTCGAAGCTCAATTTGTCGTTGCCAGTGCCTCTGCTGATTCCTTCAAGGCTGTCATCAATGCTCATCGTACCAACACCAAGCCTTTCGGTCAGACTGTTACTATCGAATTCACAGCACCCAGCAATGTCAAGTTCAGCAGCACTGATGCTGGCTCTGTTAGACAAGTTGGTAACAGTGTTCGTATTCAAGCCAAGAGTGATTTCGACAAAAACATGGCTATTGTTGTCCCTGTTCAAGGTTCTGTCAATTCTGGTGTCTTTGTTGCTCCCAACCCATCTTCTTTGCGTATTAAATAAATACTTAATCCGTCTGGCACGGAAGACATTACTCTTGCTCTATTATTTTTATGAAATAAAAGATTACTATTATAACCACAAATTACATTTTATAGATAGTGTATAAGGGTATGTTGCAGATTTTATTAATGCTTAGAGTTGGGTATTAATTCAATCTTATGTATTGCAATAATCATAGTATAATTACAGTGTTTTCTGTCTCTGTACAATATGTATATAGTTTTTTTTTTGTTTTTTAGAAATGAAGAGATAATGGAGGGCTGGCATGCTTTGTTTTGTTGGCTACAAGAAAGAAGAGACTCCATCAGTGAACGTTCAGGGGCAACGTATCCAATAGCTACTTACGACTATTCAGTTGTTGCTGTTGTTGTTGAGCGGCAGCCATGGCTCTTTGCATAGCGGCTTTGTTACTACCATTCGAGTTGTTGACCACAGCAGCCATATTAGCAGCAATCATACCGTTTGCCATTGCAACAGCTGCTTGCTGTGGCGTCATTTTAGTGCGACTATTTTGGCGTTTGATAGGCACGCTAGCAGATGAATTACCAACGACGGAATTGATAGGATTTGCGTTGGTAGAAGCGTGCTGCTGTAATGGGACACGATTGGCACTGGGATATGAAGCAGATGGAGATACTAAAGAAGCAGATGTCATAGTGGCTGAGGCTGGAGAAGCACGGCCATTTGCATGTTGAGGTTGTTGAGCGTTAGTAACAGCAGCAGCAGCAGAGCGAGCATTGTTGATGCTCATCATGTTCAAAGGAGTCAGGAATGGAATTGTCACCAGGTTTCGCAGCTCATTCTCTGACAGCAATTTCACTCTATGCTGAAGATACAAGCTATCCATCTCGTCTATATCCATTTCATCCGAATGTTCGTCTTCACTGACATCCGAGTCAAACTTATATTGGTTGTGTGTGGGCTGTAACGGAACGCCAGGGCGAGATTTACCTCCTGATTGATGTTGTTCTGAGGAGACAGCGACACCCTTGCGATCAATAAAGATACGGCCATTTCTACCCATACGCTTTCTGTACTTGGGACCTGATTGCTTTGGTTTATCCTTGGGTGTGGCTCCAATCGATTGAAAGAAGTGTTGAGGCGTTGAGAAAGGAAATGGCTGATATGGAGACTAGGGAAAGGAGGAAAAGGTCAATTCACAATTGATCCATACACCATTTATAAACCTTACCTCTGTACAATCCTCGTAGGGCAAGTCCATTTCCTTTTTACGAGCCAATTCTGCTTCAATAGCGAGTTGTGCAGGTGATTTGTCGAGACGGTCTCTACGAAGCTTGTGCAATGGGATCTTGATGGTGGCACTGTATTTGTACAAAATCAGTAAACAGCAAAGAAATGCAGTCAGGCATGTTAGCACTTACCCTGATGAACCTTCCATGAAAATCTTTCTCTTCTTCTTCAATGAAGGCAGTAAGTCTTCATCCTCCTTGATACCCAATGTCTTTTGATACTCTTGCAGAATTCGCTTCTTTTCAAATACAGTGTGTTCCAGTACCAAGCCTTCCTTACGGATCTTCTCTCGACGTACAACCATCTCCATCAAGTTTCTGGCCATCTCCAGCTCTGAGCGCAGCTTTCTCAAGCGTTCCAGAGATTGCTGATCTGTACGTCTCGTTTTACGAACTGGCTTGGTTTCTCTTCGACGGAAACAGACATAGGGATCATTTTCGTTCTTTACTGCTTCTTCAAACTTCAACTGGGGAATGATGGACTTGCCTTGTCTTGCTTCACAACGTTGACGCCAATGCTGAAAGATCATCTGCAAATTGGGGAAAGATTTGAGCTTTGAGTAGTCTGGAATATGCTGATCAAATGACTTGAAATCAGGAATATGAGAAGGGTCTAAATCCAGATGTGGCCAATGTTGACTTGCAATGGACTCAATCTCCCATATGATCTTTTCAAACAAATCCTCAGACAATATCTCACCAGGATGTTCTTTGTTGTATGATTCGAGGTAAGCTTCATCTTGTTCATCCATATAATAAGGACATCCAATCGAGTCCTCAACTGTAGAAGAGAATCGAATCAAAGTGGATGGCTCTTTGTAGTTTTTCTTGTATAGGGAGCGGTATTCCTCCTCAGGAATCAGACAAGAAGCATCTGGAGTGGGAATGTACTTTTCGACAGAGGCACCAGTGGTTACGGCAGCCTGAGCAGCAGAGATGGCAGCTTGTAAATCATGCTAAAATGGAAACAGAAAGGTCAGATGTCGGCTATACATTTAACACGCCAAGCTATCACTTGTTTACACAGAGTAGCATACACACACTACTACTGCGCAACTTTTTTTTTTTTTTTTTTTTTTGAACATGGACCCCATACAGCCAAATAATCATAATATTTGACCATCTAAACCCAAGCAAACACGCTATCAGAATGATAAATTACCTCTTCTTCTTCTTCCTTCTCTACACCAGTCTCTATCTGAGGTACTGATCGTTGGGCATTAGCAGCATCTTGAAGGTCTGGGAGCTGATACTCTTTGAAAATAGGGAGTGGGTGCTTTGGAGAGAGTTTTTTTACTCTGAAACGAGACACCATCTTCTTTGGAGAGAGTTGTTTGTTGAAATTTAGTTTTTGTCGAGATGATCAAGAGGAAAATAACTTACTTTAGTTGAAATTTAGTTTATGAAGATGATTAGAGAGACCTTTTAGATATCTTTTTTGGATAATTTTCTATTTTTCCTTTTTATTTTCTTTTTTGCTAGTGTTTTTTTTTTTATCGACTCGCCCACTATTTTTTGTGTGTCTCTTTCTCCTTTTCCCTTGAGAGATGGGCTAGCTGACGAGGCGATTTTATAATTCATCACAGTGAGCGAATGAAATATCTCAACGTCATCATCATTTTGTCCGGGCTTTCAAGTAGAAACACTGCCAATGCCATGGATGCTTTGTGTATGACAGATTAGACATGATCATGAACTCTGTTTATGTAAATCCCAAGACTGAATCTTTCAAATCAGCTTAAAAATGAATGAGAGTACCTTGAGCATTCTGAGCATTTGATTCATCACAACATTTGGCTTGCATCCGTGCTTTATGAGCGGATTTGAGATCTTTCCAACCATTGGATGTTTGATATTTCCAAGGTAGCACTACTGTTTGAACCTGCTGCATACTTGTTTCCTTCTGTGCATACCGCCCATCATTGTACTGATCTCATTATACAATCTTCATGCCATTATGCAGCAATACGGTGCATTTAGAACCACCGTCTTGTTGTCAGATATGATTGTTTTAGCAACCAACCACCTGAGCAAAAAAAAAAAAAAAACAAAAAAAAACAATAGTAAATCATTAATCCATACGAGTGTTTATGCCTCGGATGGCTCTCTACCTTTGCTTCACTTTGGTAAGAGCCAACCTGCGCAGCAGCAGCTCGCGCTACCAATTGCCCTTGCGTTTCTTATCAAAATACTACTAATTTCATGTTGACCCTCTACTTACACATGAAAACCCTTCATATTATTTGTGGATCTGACTCCTATGTGATACTTTACATCCATATACACATAGCTACTCCATATACGGGTGAGCAGCATACAGATATTATCCCTTTTTAGTCAAGAGTGTGTCTAATACAGCAAAATCTTAGTGCATTTGAGCTGCGTTTTCTTGCGTTCAAGACCCTTTTAGAACGTCAGAATAGCACCAAACAATTGCTCTCGCCTGGTAGTTACTTTCTGACGCCTTTGCTCAACTTTTTGACGATCAAAAAAACATGGCCAAAAATTGACCAAAAAGCATGAGGTACCCCTCATGGTTTTCATCGAAAATCAAACGATCGCGTTTTTCACCTTGATAATGAAGGCTTTTACTATGGTATATATTGAATCAAAATGCTTCTATAGATCCAACGTAGCCCTTGAACTCATGTTTGTGAGACTTTGATATGTAAAATTTCGACTTTTTGGCCAGAAACCTCTTTTCATATTTTCGTAAATTACTCAATAGGTTTATTCAAAACATCTATTTTATTTGCTACCATTGGATGCGCCTTGAAAAGCACTCCAAGAAAGCTTAAGGAAGCACGGGATAATCATTAGATTTTATGTAGTCGGATTTGCCAAAATAGATCGATTGAGTCGAAAACCCTCGAGATTTGGCCAATCTAGAACAGACCAAGAGTCTGAGTTGGAACTAATTTTGGCAGGTGGGGCTGGCTGGCAAGCTTAATGCCCTTCTAATCGTGAAGGGAATAATAAATGCTTCTGAAGCCAATGGAAAGTAGGTGGCAAATTAAATAGCACTACCGTTAGCCATTCTATTTTCTTGAAATCTATAGTTACTAACCCTAGTCTATCCTTTTTGAGGTTTTGAGAGTGTCTAGTAGGGACCATAAGTTTATTACGTTACAATGAGCATTTCGACACTTCGGTTGGTTTCCTGACCTACGCTTCGCTTTGGAAGAAACCAAACTACGTTCAGGTGGCTCGCGCTGCCGTGGGCGTTTGGCTAATATTGAAAAACTAATAATAGCTAAAATGTTAGAAGAAACTTGATTGTTGATTGATAGTAAATTAATATAAAATCTCTAATCATATATGAACCATGCCTGACAAATGCCTAGCAACTCAGTTTCTATATTAAGGCTGTAAAAGTGTCTAGGGACTATTATGTTATAATCCTTGGCTGCCAGGAACCGAATAAATTATGACAGCCCAACTTTAATCACATCTGTTCTCTTTCAACTTCTTCCCCAACAGTTTTTGGTGAGACATCTAGTATAAGGTTCAAAGAGCATGTAACCCTAGATGATATAAAAAGTTAGTGCTGTTGTGTAAAGTCATTTTAAATATACAATAGATACATGCTTGTATGAATTGCATGTGTTTGTACCATCACAGGGGAGGTTCAATTATTACTAGATTTGGACCTTGCAATAACAAAAATCCAGCTTTTGGAGAAATCAATATGCTTTATATGGTGATTACCACTAAATATTAATTATACAATTGCTTTTGTATACCTACCATCTTGATGATGACACGACATTGAACTTGTACATGATTATTTTGGGATTTTTTTTTTCTCAAGGATCAAAATCTGGCGCCATTCTTCCATCAACAAGTCATGGCATTGTTGGTGTGTGTACATTATCTTTGGTTCTACAAAGAACCAAAATTATTGTGATTCGCGAAACACAACATATCTTGCAGATGCAGCACAACTCGTATATTTTAGATCTCATTGTAGTAAGTTTGATGTGGTCTTTACATTTTTGTTTAGGAGGAAACTGATGTGAACAACATTGGAGTTACCATTTACAGAGAAAAAATAATAGAGCGAGCGTCTTTACAGGTTTTTTTTTTTAGTTGATTTACATACAGGATATTGAATGTCTATTCGGAACCATGATCCGGGAACAGAGATGGTACACACTAGAGTATATAAGATGAATAAATCGATCAACCTGTGCACCATCTATATATGAAGCGGTCGATATTGAAACGGGATACGAGGGATGGGCAGTAAAAAAGACACCGGGCGTACCAATACAGATGGTGAATAACAACAACAACAAACGAGGATGATATCAGCATTATGTTGTGGATTATCAACATTTGAACCTTATAACTACTATGGTATATGCTATAGAAAAGCATTCCCAATTTTGGAATTACGATAATTTCTGTGTAATGAAAGACGCTTGTTTTCACAACAACCCGTTAAAATAGACATGAATCAACAACCGAGTTTTGCGCCTGGCTGCTAGAGGCTGTAAAGGAAGATGTCTCGTAATAGCAACGAGCAGCAGATGATCCCTTGATGTAGCAACATTTGACCAGAAATACAGGTATTTTGCAATAAATCTATGCAAATTTATGATATCAACGATGAAGCTTGCTTTTTGGTGTTCATCGCTGTTCTGTCTCCGCCTCGATAACTGCAATGTTGTTATTTACTTTTCAGAACGGCTTTGGGGAACAATAACATGCTATACATGAGTTTGCCTTGATTCTTTGCGAGTAAAAATGCGCAATTCCATCTTGTAGAGTCATCTAGCATAGTGATATGCGCGTTTTATCATAGTGTCTATGTATGATTTACTGCAAAATGAATCAATATATCGAGATTTCGTCCACGTGAGAAATACAAGATGTGTATATATACTCATTGTAATGCTATTGCTTTTCCTTTTACGAAATAGTAACAATCAAGGTACTCCGCAATTGCAATAAATACCAACCCTCTTTGCAGCCATCTCGCTCTCTTCTTGATTACATATACTTTCTTTTCTTCTTTCTCCTCTCTTTCGCATCTATACCCAAAAGTTACTAGAAGACTACCTCCCTAGTTTTATATACCATCCAAATTCATTATTTCATAAACAAACGCCTCCTTTTTTTTATCTCTATCAATCGAAAAAAAATATGCCTTTAACATTGCCCTCGTTTCATTCTATGCAACATCAACAAGATTTCTTTTGCCTTTCACCTTCAGATTCTGCAATGACCGAAAATGACTTTTTCAAAATACGTCCATACCATAACACCAAGAAGCAAATGCCTATTCTCGCCAAGAGCCGTCGAGGCATGAGACCTATGCGATCATCAACCACATCCACTGCATCACAAAAGAACAGAAAGCTTCGTTACTACAGCACGCTTCCTGCTTCTAAACCTGCACTCACTATGAATCATTCGTTTTCTCAACAAGGCCCCAAGAAAGGTAAAAGATGCCTGACTGGTCTAGGTTTTCTTGTTGCTGTTGTTGCTCACACTTTTTACCATAGATTTTATCAGCTTATTACCCTATGAAGTTGCGTCTCAAATCATCTCGCATCTGGATCTTTCCAGCTTATGCCAGGCTTCTACTGTATCTCGTTCCTGGTACTCCATTTCTCGATCTAATGAAATCTGGAGACATTTAGCTTCTCGTTGGAGTCTGAATATTCCGCAACACATCTATCCTCACCAATTAGATTGGTATCATCTGTACAAACAACGCCATATTCTCAACAATCGCTGGGAGAACGGTCGTGTAGCCACTCATTACTTGATCGGCCATATCGACAGCGTGTATTGTCTGCAGTTTGATAAGCAAAAGATTATTACTGGCAGTCGTGATAGAACCATCAAATTCTGGGACCTCAGCACTTACCAATGCGTGCAAACATTGTACGGTCATGAAGGCAGTGTGCTCTGTCTAAACTACAATGATCACATCATGGTGTCTGGCTCTTCTGATACTACATTGATTGTTTGGAACATGAAGACGCTTCAGCCTATCATGCGTCTTCGCGGCCATTCTGCCGGTGTACTTGATGTTTGCTTCGATGATCGCTTCATTATCAGTTGCTCCAAAGACAAAACCATCCGCATTTGGGATATCAACAGCGGCCGTCTCTTGAGAACCATTCTTGCTCATCGTGGCCCCGTTAACGCTATTCAGCTCCAAGGTAACAAGCTGGTGTCTGCTTCTGGTGATGCTCTCATCAAGATGTGGGACATCATGACTGGTGAATGTCTTCACAAATACGCTGGTCATACTCGCGGTCTGGCTTGTGTTCGCTATGATGGAACCAAAATCGTAAGCGGCTCCAACGACAAGACCATCAAAGTATGGGATGCCGAGGTAATTACACACAACAGCTTTGGCAATAGCTTATCATCTAACATTTTCACTTCACCTAGTCTGGAGATTGTCTCATGAGCTGCGAAGGACATACCGATCTTGTGCGAACACTGAACTTTGATAATGATCGCATTGTCAGCGCCAGCTACGATCAAAGCATCCGTGTATGGGATATCAAGACAGGCGCCTGTCTGCTCAACTTTCAGAGTGGCCACACTAGTTGGGTGTTTGATGTTCATTTTGACTCTACTCGCATTGTCAGTGCTAGTCAAGATCAACGAGTGCTTGTCATGGATTTTGCCACAGGCTTAGATACCCAATTCTTGTAACGATACACGCATTTCCTACATTTCATTCTTATAGTCCAATTTTCTCACTATTTGTACATATTCACATATCCACTATTTACAGAGCTCTGCTATTTATACACCCACTGATTTCCTTTAAACCACTGGCTTCTTAATAAACTCAATCCCTTTTTGCATAAACTATATAGCGCCGTTGCCATACACCTATAGAAATTTGTTCAAGTGATTGAAAAGGCAATATTTTTCTGCGTTTCAAATGTTGAAGTGGATCAAAGAGCCTAAATGTACTTGTAATCAAGCTAGAAGAGCACTGTATGCGCTCAAAGCATGGACTACCGTGTACATGATATGCTGCTGCTTTCAATTGCCAAAAGAACGGCCAAATTTATGTATATTTTTAACATCCATTTAAGCAGAGTATACTCATATTGAAATGAAATGGTTGGTAGCGATTTAAATTCAGTGAAATCCTTGATCCTGTAAAAGGTATATTGCTTCCATGGCCCAATAAAAACGATGACTATTGTAAAACCTCTTTTTTTTTTTTTTTTTTTTTTTTTTTTTTTTTTGCAAATGACCGAGACCCTCATTTGTAATGTCGAAATGTATAAGTGGCAAAGACCTCTAGGGTCATAGGCCATAGAAGATCATCAATCTACAGCAACTTGGAGAGAAAAAGGCCCTTTAAAAGTTTAAATCTGTCATACAGAGTATAATAAAACGGCTCAAGTACATTGATTGGCCTTGTTTGCACATGACCCCATAAAATAAAAGGGATTTGTATACGGTCTTCATAAAACGAGACGCTTGTTTCACATTAGAATTTTGTCTCAATTTCTTTGCCATTCTCTCTTTTTTCTTCCTTTTTTTTGTCTGTAACTAACTTTTTAATACATTGTATATATAAACACTCAAGCAGCTTGGTGTTTATTTGTTTAATTCTTACAACTACGAGTTTTTTTTCCATCTGATTGCACGCATAAATTTTGTTGGAGAAAAAAAAAAAAGATCTGTGAAAGAAAATAATGTTTAATAATTTGACAGCACCACCCTCATCAACACAATCATCTATATCACCAGCGCCTGTAGGGGGAGGCCTTCATCAACAACCACCTCCACCGCAGACGGACATCTACGCTCTTTTGTCTACGGACGACGCTGTGCATTTGGATGACGATGATGCCAACATTGACACCGAGGCATTGGTGATGAACATGTTTGACACATCTTTTCCAGATAACAAACATTCATCAGCATCAGCTAATGGAAGCAACAATCAATCATTTCCTACACCTCCTCCTGCTGTATCGAATAGCACAGCAAAGCAGTTTAGTTTTGATCAAGGTAAAAATTTTGATGCTGTATTTTTTTTCCCATCACATATTAATGCCATTTTAGACTTTCTAAACTTGGACCTAACTAGATCGCAACCATCACATCAGCAAGTACAGGAAGCGCAGAGCCAACAGCCTCAATATACCCCTTCATCTGAAATCAGTATAGATTCCTTATTTTCTCTTAATTATCAGCCAGAACCAAATCCAGTGTTCTCGACCCCATTTGCAAGCAACAACATAGATTTTACCAGACGACATTCAGTCGCAGTAAGCGGTGGCATTGCTGACTTCAACCTCCGTAATTTATCTCAAAACATGACATTCAATCAACACCTACAAGCACATCAACCACCACCACAGCAACAGCAGCAACAACCGCAACAGAGGTATCCATCTCATCCAGCACAACAAACTTTCAATAATCAACAACCACCGCCTATTTTTGCTAGAAAAACTCATCAACATTTGGCCACTGTTGTTGAAGGCGAGGCCCCTACTCCTGTCCCTAATATGTCACATAGAGCATCCATGCCAAACATCTTTTTGTCTGAAGAGTCTCGACGCAGATTGACCAGCAGTATCCAGCAGCGAGTTGAATCTCTCTCGGCAAGAACAACCCCTAGTAATACACCGCCTCCAGTGTCCATTAATTTCAATCAAATGCCATGGTCAACACCAACTAATACTACCAATGCTACCGAAAGTAGAAGCAACACAAATTCTCCCAGTCAGCAGTTTCAGGATTGGAACAGAAATCAAGAATTCCTGTCTCCTGTGCCTACACCAGCAGCTGAAGATCGTCCTCTTGTTGGCCGTAAGCGATTTTACTCTCAACAGTTTGATTCGTTTCCTACAAACAATGTTTCTGCTGCCATGAATGTGCCTTTCAATGCAGCTCCTGCGTTCGGCCATCAGTTGCAACAACAGCAGAGTCAACAGCAAATAAGCAGCAATTTATGTCCTTTGCCCATGTCAGGCATCATGAGTAGACGTGCTAGCGTGGCAACGCCGCATGATATCTCTACTTGGAATCGCATGGTCGACTCTAATGATCGTATCACTCTAGATCAGCAGCAAGAAAGAAAGCGCCAAAAGCAGGTTCCCTTGGCTAGAAATGAAGATACAAGCAAGGATGCCTTCTTATACCAACAAATGGGCCACCAGCATCATCAACATGAAGTTGCAGTCAAGCAAGAGGAATACGCCGACAAGTCTGAAAATACTTCACTTAATGGCAGTGTTACCGCAGTGGAAGAAGCTACGCCCACAAAGGCTCCCGCAACATCTGAAGAAGAGGACTATCCAGTGATTACTGAAGCCGATTTGGAAGCAGCCAAGAAGGACGCCAACGCTATTCCTCGTCGTCAAAAGTTGCGTTACGAAGGCGATGAATATACCCCTAAATGGGTTCGATATACAGGTCAATTGAAGGAAGGTTACTGTGATACTTGCAAACCAGGAAAGTGGCTCCAGTTGAAGAACAGCGCGTTCTGGTATCACAAACAGTTTTTCCATGGTATCTCTTCTGTTTCCGGGAAGCCATTCCAAAGACCCTTGGAACAAAGAGCTGGTGAGCATGATGTGATTGAGGGTTTATGTCACCAATGCAAACAATTTGTTCCCATCTGTAATTCGAAACGCAAAAATAGTGTTCTGTGGTACAGACACGCACACAAGGTAGGCTGATTCCGTAAAGATGTGGAAGCAAATGTGCTAATTTTCTCGTATAGTGTCATATTTATGATAAACCTAAGCCAAAAGGCGGAAAAAGAGCTTCAATTTCCGTTGGCTCCTCTAATAAGAAATTTAATACGACTGATCAATTGCAAAAGATTTATTAATCACCATGTAAAATACTAATAAAGCACACAAAAAAAAAAGCACATATTTATGCACCTAGCAAAAGCGATTCCGCGTTCCATGGCATTGTTACATTAAACATTACCGAAACGAGTGTGTCTACGCTTCATATGGCTCTCTACTACTTTCGCTTCGCTTCGTTGAGAACTAACTTGCGCAGCGGCAGCTCGCGCTACCGATTGCCCTAGTCTATCTCATTTTAACTCTCTATTTGCACGAGAACCCTTCATATTATATATGAGTCTAACTTTAATACAATGTTCCGCATACGTATACACGTAGATAATTCATATACGGGCAAACAGCATAATGGTAGTACCCCTTTTTAGTCCTTAGTAGTAGTAGTAGTGTCCCTGATACAGCAAAATCTTAGTGCATTTGAGCTGCGTTTTCTTGCGTTCAAGACCCTTTTAGAACGTCAGAATAGCACCAAACAATTGCTCTCGCCTGGTAGTTACTTTCTGACGCCTTTGCTCAACTTTTTGACGATCAAAAAAACATGGCCAAAAATTGACCAAAAAGCATGAGGTACCCCTCATGGTTTTCATCGAAAATCAAACGATCGCGTTTTTCACCTTGATAATGAAGGCTTTTACTATGGTATATATTGAATCAAAATGCTTCTATAGATCCAACGTAGCCCTTGAACTCATGTTTGTGAGACTTTGATATGTAAAATTTCGACTTTTTGGCCAGAAACTTCTTTTCATATTTTCGTAAGTTACTCAATAGGTTTATTCAAAACATCTATTTTATTTGGTACCATTGGATGCGCCTTGAAAAGCACTCCAAGAAAGCTTAAGGAAGCACGGGATAATCATTAGATTTTATGTAGTCGGATTTGCCAAAATAGATCGATTGAGTCGAAAACCCTCGAGATTTGGCCAATCTAGAACAGACCAAGAGTCTGAGTTGAAATTAATTTTGACAGGTGGGGCTGGCTGGCAAGCTTAATGCCCTTCTAATCGTGAAGGGAATAATAAATGCTTCTGAAGCCAATGGAAAGTAGGTGGCAAATTAAATAGCACTACCGTTAGCTATTCTATTTTCCTTTGAAGCCTCGCATCTGATAACGCCAGTCCACCGAAATACTTGTAAGGTCAATTGCTTTCCTTTTTGAGATTTCGAAAGCGTATAGGGACAAAAGGTTTACAAGCATTTTGTTGGATTGCAGGCCTATTGCTATTAATGAACGTAAAATAATGGTTGACAGTACTACTTTATGTATAACGATTCATCATAATTGTTTTTATAAATAGCTTTGATATAGTTCTATAGCTTGCAACTGCTGGCCATTTCCTTTCCACAAGTGAGAGTAGTGACACGGAACGAATCATCTGTGCTCTCCGAAACCTCGGGCAACCTTATGTCAAAAGTGATCGGTTTCGTAAATGCATTATGACTCAGAGATATAGGAATACAGACCTATAAATGCGCTAGCTATAGAGAAGGGTCCATTTCTTTTTAGCTATTAAAGTGAAAATGTCTCCTTCAGAATATTACGCACGTGAAGTTACTGCCGATGATTTGAAATTCGCACAGCAAGCAACTGATGTAATCAACGCTGCTTACAATACACATGGTACTACTATTTCGATATGGCTGTCAAATGGAGTAGGAAATAATAAATCTTTTTATCATTCTAGATGGTTGGACCACTGAAGCTAGTATTGTAAGCGGCCAATTTACATTGGAAGATACCCAAAACTTCATCAAGCATTCACATCAAGGCGATTTCATTCAATTGTTAGTCTTTAAGCGTGATGAAGAAGGCAAGGATGCAGAGGTTGTTGGTTCACTCTTGATCGTACCTTTTCCAGATTTAGAGGAAAAGCCTACACCTGGTGAAGCCATGATCACTCGATTTGCCATCAGCCCCAGCTACCAATCCAAGGGTCTTGGTCGCTTGCTGATTGAATCCTCATTGAAATCAATGAAATCTGCAGGCTATGAGCGTTGTTCATTGCGAGTCTTTGAGAATAGACCTGAGGTACTCTCCTGGTACTCTAAGTTGGGCTTCAAGGATACATCAGAGCGCCGTGATTATAAGGCACCGTTAGGAAAGAAATTGATCTCCAACGTCCAATTTGTCGTCATGAAGAAAGATCTTTAGAGCATTTATATTTATTCACAATTTCTTCTTTAATAAAGCAAATGGCACATTTTCCAGAATGACAGCCCCTTTTGGAGGGTGGAATGGCGATCGTTCCATGGTATCGACAAAACCAAGCTTTTTACACCAATCCAGAAACTCTGTCCTGTTTTCAAACACAAGCATGGAGCACGTGGAGTAGTTGCAGTCTTTCATCTCTTTAAAGGCTACCTTCATCAGCAAATTACCAAATCCTCGTGAATGATGAGCAATATCCACGGAGAATCTGCCTAGCAATCCATCTCCTTCCGCCAAATCACTGGGTGCACAGGTACATTTTGATTCAATCGTTAATGTACCTGCAACTGCCTTATCATTGCCCAGTGCATCTCTTTGAAATAGAAACAATTGAATCACATTTCCAGCAACACTCTCCCGGATGTAGTTTTCTATATCTTGTCCTGTTGTGTAGTAGCCTCTTACAGTTTTCTTTACAGTTGCCCAACCATCTAGATAACAACTATGATTTCAGAAAGAACCTTAATAATGCAATGTGATATTATGCGTACTATTGTTGGATCCATAGGCTGTATTGAATAAATCAGTTGCTTGTTGAGCATATTTCAGGTCGTCCAAAGTAACCTTGCGTGCGTAGAATTCAGGTAAAGCTGCGACCATGGTGCGAAAGTAGTTTGTTTGCTGAATAAAAGGGTCGAGTATATCCAACAAGCAATTAGCTTTATACTACACAATGGCATGAAAGTATGGGGATACAGGAATCCGGAACTCAAAAAGCTGACTCATAATGAAGACGCCTCATTTTTGAGTCGAAAGCTTAATATAAGCAATCCGTACGAAAAACGGAATCTGAGCAAGGCACGAATGTAGGTTCAGATAGAGTGCATATCTTGAAACCTAATGGACTTTTGAACGGAAGAGAAGTGTAATAATTAATAAAATATACATGCGAAGATTTCGATCACTGAACAGATCGAGAATTGGCAAGCTTGAAAGGGCAATCTTTAGTAATATAAACTTCAAATGGTGTCACACTAGATAATCAATCTTTGTAAAAAGCTGTCTATGCATTGATTTACTACAGTAAATAGTGAAGTTTCATTATTTGATTAATCAGAGCAATGCAATTTTGTTATGACTACCAAGAAAAGCGATATAGATGCACTGTTTGCGCATGGGAAAGAATTATGGAGGCTGAACCATTCATAACAACGATATTTGAGTCGCACCAGGTTGCATTTATATATTGTCATACAATTGCTAGGCCTGTAGACTTGTCACTGCTTATCAAGCATGTGCTTGCACTTTCTATAGAGATTATATCTTTGATTACGATGTGTATTTCTCATGCTTTTCATGAGTTACTGGTTCCTAAATACATCTTTTGGCTAAGGGTATTGCTCGGAGAACGCTGCTCTGAAGTCTACCATCATTGAAAATCGGATATATTTGATAGCATTAGAAAAAGCAGATTCTAGGATAATGATTTGTGGTAAATGGCAAGGATTTATGTATTATTATGCAAAAAAAAAAGATGTGTTTGGTAATGAAATGTCTATAAGTCTATACAATGTTGTAATATATCTACAAATATATTTAGTTGCCAGTGGCGAGCTTGAGAGAGTGCATGTTTTGCTTCTCAAGGCCATCGGCGTATTGGAAAGCATCGCTGTTCTCGTATTCAAACATATCAAGGGCAACAATACAAGATTCAGCAACAACTTTCTCAGGATCGTTCTTGTACTCGTTCAAGATTTCAAATACTTCAGGGCTAGCAACGGAACCAAGAGCCTCAGCAGCTTCATGACGAACCATGTGAACTTCGCTCTTGTCCTTGAGAGATTCGCAAAGAGCAGGAACAGAAGCAGGGTTTTGCAATTGACCGAGAACATAACAGACTTCGTGACGGAAGAGAGCAGAGGAGGTATCCTTCAAGCCTTCGCAGAGAGCAAGAACAGCTTCTTCAGTACCAATTTCACGAAGAGCAAACATAGCTCTGTATCTCTTAAAAAGAGCGAGCTTGGGATCAATCAATTCTTGCATGAGGACCTTGACATCCTTGGTTTCCTTGGATGGAGGAGCAGGATCAAAAGAAGAATAGACACTATCGTGGATATCCTTCTTGTTGGCAGGGTCGTTGAAATAGTTAATTCTGTCAATAGCGAGTTCACAAGTATCGACAATTGCCTTATCTTGATCCTTGATGTATTTGTTGAGGATAGGGAGAAAATCAGTGAAACCAAGAGCACCCATAGCTTCAGCAGCTTCGTGACGAACCATGACATGTTGGCTCTCATCTTGAAGAACGCTCTCAAGGATAGCACTAGCATGACAGTTACCAGTTTGACCGATACAGTAAGCAACTTCGTGCTTTAAAAGATCAGAATCATCGGTGAAGGCTAGAGATGTCAAGAGTTTGTGTTAGTTATATGTAGATTTCACCGAGTTACACACAATATGCAAATGCGTATATCCTGCTTGATAACTTACCCTTGGCAGCAATATCGATTGACTTGTCATCACCAATGTTCTTCAAAGTGAAAAGAGCACGGAAACGCTCAGCAAGAGGAACCTTGCCAGAGGTGTTCAGAAGAGTATCCTCGAGGTATTGATAGTTGATCTTTGATGTATCAAGCATGATTTTTATTAAGATTTATAGTGTAAGAAACGGTTTAAATGAATGAAAGCGTTCTATAGAGGGGAGAGGGCCCTATTTATACTGAAAAACTTTTCTTAATTTTGTACATTTTATCGGATTAAAGCCCCTAAGGTTTCAATGCATCGTATGATGGTTCGAAATTTGCGGAAGCTCAACCAAAACCCTCAGGTAATGGTCTGATACAAGATTACATTATTCAAATGGGGCAGACCAAAGCACTGAAGAGAGGGAGAAATAAGTGGAATATTTTTAATCCGCATGATTATATTGCCTTTTTTCGATATAGCCTAAACACTTGTATGTACGATTTGATGTTTGATTTATATGTGCTGAAAATCTTTATCGGATGCTACAGTTTGGGTTTCTCTAAATTTCAAAGATAGAAAAAAAATTTACCGAATTATCTAGATGCCAGAGTAAAACGGATCAAAGCCTTATTTATGCCTAATATAGCAGAAAGCTGAATCAAGAGATGCATTGGTCTCAAAGCTGATAACCTTGAGTTCACAGGCAAGCGTCAAAATGCCCAAATTTACCAAGAGTCTTATCACGTCTGTTGAGAAGATCAAATTGGTTCACAAACAGCAATCATTGCGCAGATAACACATACTACAGCTCATAATAATTTAGAATACACAATCAACCGAACATGAACAGAATATATTATTTTTTTGAGGATTTTTGATTTATTTTGAATAATTTAAATCCAAAAGCACGCTTTATACAAGGGCTTTTACTATATATTGACAGCAATGGGAAAGAAAAAACTACTAGGTAGCAATTTATTTCTTGGAAGCCTTGGCGGCGGCCTTGGTGACCTTACCAGCCTTGTCAACCTTCTCAACGGACTTGATGACACCGACAGCGACAGTTTGACGCATATCACGGACAGCGAAACGACCGAGAGGAGGATAGTCAGTATAAGCTTCAACACACATGGGCTTGGAGGGAACCATCTTGACGATAGCGGAATCACCAGACTTGACGAACTATTTACAAATATAATTAGTTGTGTTTCAGTTGTATCCTTTCCTTAAAACCAACCTTAGGAGCATCTTCCATCTTCTTACCTATTATAAAAAAGAGACAATTGCAACGTTAGTAAACCACTTTAAACCATCAAGAGACGTCAAAAATTGAAAGAGACATCATTATTTTTTGATCCAGGGGCAAAATCAAAATAATTCAAACCCAGAATCCAAATATGGTAATCGGACTTTCAATTTTGACGGATGCAAGTACTTACCGGAACGACGATCAATCTTCTCAATGAGTTCAGAGAACTTACAGGCGATGTGAGCAGTGTGACAATCGAGAACTGGTGCGTAACCAGCAGAGATTTGACCGGGATGGTTCAAGATAATAACTTGAGCGGTGAAAGAGGCAGATTCCTTAGCGGGATCGTTCTTGGAGTCGGAACAGACGTTACCACGACGGATATCCTTGACGGAGACGTTCTTGACGTTGAAACCGACGTTGTCACCGGGAAGACCTTCAGAGAGGGTTTCGTGGTGCATTTCGACGGACTTGACTTCAGTGGTGACAGCAGCGGGAGCAAAGTTGACAACCATACCAGCCTTAATAGTACCAGTCTCAACACGGCCAACGGGAACTGTACCGATACCACCGATCTTGTAGACATCTTGGAGGGGAAGACGGAGAGGCTTGTCGGAAGGACGGACAGGGGGCTCAATGGCATCGATGGCTTCGAGGAGAGTCTTACCAGTCTTGGAACCGGCCTTGGTCTCCTTGTTCCATCCCTTGAACCAGGGCATGTTGGTGGATTCATCCAACATGTTATCACCGTGCCAGCCAGAAATGGGGACGAAGGGAACAGACTTGGGGTTGAAACCGATCTTCTTGATGAAACCGGAAACTTCCTTGACAATTTCGTTGTAACGATCTTGAGACCACTTGGTGGTATCCATCTTGTTGATAGCAACAATCAATTGACGGACACCCAAGGTGAAAGCAAGAAGAGCGTGCTCACGGGTTTGACCATCCTTGGAGATACCAGCTTCGAACTCACCAGTACCACCAGCAATGATAAGAATAGCACAATCGGCTTGAGAAGTACCAGTAATCATGTTCTTGATGAAATCACGATGGCCGGGAGCATCAATAACGGTGACGTTGTACTTGGGGGTCTCGAACTTCCAGAGGGCAATATCGATAGTGATACCACGCTCACGTTCAGCCTTAAGTTTATCAAGGACCCAGGCGTACTTGAAGGAACCCTTACCGAGTTCGGCAGCTTCCTTCTCGAACTTCTCGATGGTACGCTTATCAATACCACCACACTTGTAAATCAAGTGACCAGTGGTGGTAGATTTACCCTATTAACAAGTCAGGTTAATATACACGAACTGCCAGTGGCTGTCACTAGCCATCTTCCATCTTGCTTCCTAAGAAGTGATGCAAAGTGGCCAAGATCAACATTTGAAACGTTTTTACTTACGGAATCGACGTGACCAATGACGACGACGTTAACGTGAGTCTTCTCTTTACCCATTGCTATAAAAGAACCCGTGTTAGAAGCAAATTCTACTGATGAAAACAAAACATAGCATTATACGCACTGATTAAACTTGTAAATTGATAGAAGGAGAAAAAAAAAAAAGCGAGAAAGTTTTTCTAGATCCATGTTTTTAAATACTACAAAAATTTTTTTGTTACGCAGCTCAAAGCCACTTGTACCCGATGGTCACAGTTACATACATTGATTGGACGTTTTACTATAAAGGAAAGCAGCAAAACTTCTATTAGTGGCTTATGATACAGCACTAACTGCTTTCTCTACCAAAGATCAGTTGATTTAGTCCATATGCTTTGCTAAATTTCGAATAGAAAACACATATTGTTCAAGGATACTTGACAAATTTCGATTGCACATTTTTCAAATATGCTAGTATTTGAAGCATCTCATTCGAGAGTGCATTTTCCTTTCTTCCAGTCTATTCCCACTGAGAAATCGCCGCATGCGGACCCCAAAGCCCTTTCTTTTGAGTTACCTCTTGTTCCGTTTGTGGTCTAATCTAATTGGACATGTTTGCGGTCTACGCGACACAAGAAGCATCTTATTCATGGATTGCATCTACATTGAAAAGGCAAATCATAGATCAAAGTCGAGAAACCAAAACGTTAGGTATGAAGGATAATTGAAATGCGGATCTTCTTGAAAACAATAATGAAATGGACAACGTTTAGTTGATGTCACATTTTATTGAACTAACGTACGATCCGAGACCCTCAAGAAAAAATTTTCAACACAGTTGTACAACGTCGAAAAAGAGGTTTTCCATGTTGATTGAAATGGAGCTGATTGTTCTCATCAAATGCCAGCGCATCTTGAACATGAGTTGCACAGTTTATGCCATTTTGACTTTGGTTTAATATAGTGCTTATCTAAGATTGCATTTTGCAAATGTATTGTTTGTCCAGCTTTGTGTATAGACTCGTCCTACAAGAGAATCGTATGCCGGATAGAGTTAGCTACCCATGCCATTTACTTGACATCCTATCCAACTGTTGGGTGCTTATTCACATCCGATCTAGCTTGGTCTGAGGAGACTTTGAGCGATACGAAAGATCCATCACTTGTTTAAAATAGAGATATTTCATCAAATTTTACTGCCCATCATTAAATGATGAGAAAGTGTATGATATAGAATACAAAGTCCGTTGTCTACATATGAACCTACGAATGGAGCCGAATGTTTGGATTGGAGATACTGCTGTATGCTGAATTGGATAGCATGAGGTAGTTCCCGACAATTGATGATGACAGCATTTGGGGCCCAAGATGAATGCTGCAACACTTGCTCATCATACAAAAGCTGATCCTATGAATTTCGAGTTGATACAAAGCGATGAGAGCCACCTCTTTAAATTTATTAATACATTCGGCACAATGAAGTAAAATATAATCATTATAAATAAGTTAAAAAGTAAGATGCAGATGATGAGAAGGTGAGTGACATGATAATAGTGGTGTGGTGATAACTGTACAGGGAGAAAGAGGTAAAGGAGGAGGTGATGGTAGTTGAAGAGATTACTGTTTATCGGCAGCTGTGGGATCTTCTTCTTTTGGTTCACGCTTCAAACTTTTTGCATAAAACACTTGATCGTCTTGTTCCACTGATTCCAATGTCTTTTTCAGAAACTTTTGAATTTCATCCACCTCGAATAGTTTATAAGAAATCTGGAATTGATCAATTTCGTTCAAGATGCGAGTAACCTTGATGTATTTATCGAAATTGATGAGCTGTTTACCACCAGGAGACATGCGATGATCTGCGTTTCCGTCATCTATAAACGTCATGTCTGTCAAGTAAACACCCAGAAATGGCAAACAGGGTGCAATGGTAGTCTTGAGTCGTTGTCTGTATTCTGCAAAATTTCTTTGAGAATCGGTGGCTCGATAAATGGGCTCCCACATGGCCTTGTATTTCAATGAAATGTATTCCCAGGTTTTTCGTAGTCTGGCGATGCTGGTGGAATCTAATGCGGATCGAATAGCCATCAGCGTGTTGTAATTGTTGAGCTGTAAGCATGCCTAATACAATAGAAAATTAGTCGTTTGAATGACACCATGCAGTATCCTCTACTTACATCGCCCACTTTGATCCAGTATTTTAATATCTGAGCACGCTTTTTGGTATCAGCTTCGTTCAATATGGTATCAGACACCCAGCTTGTAATTTGTGTGCTTCTTTGGATCATGGCCTTGACATGGACTGCTTGGCTTGTGCCCACCTTCTTTTTGAACTCTTGTCCTATCATTTCATTGGGACGAATACGACAAAACAAGCTATTTTCCATGAGAGTCAATTGCCGAGCCAGTTCAGTGGGATCAAAATCATTGACGTGAACTACAGTCAGGCTGTTTTGGCTCAATGCCTTTTTGAGCGTGTTGCGCAATGACTTTCCTAGAATGGACTGAGGGTATCTATCTGTGAATGTAGAGGAATCGGCCTGGTGGTGGTGATCATCAAACAGACCCAAATTCGAAAACATATTGCCAGTGCTGCTGCCAATGGTGGATGATTGTAGACTTGTGGAGTAGGATTTTTGCATAGTGATTCTCGTCTCGTTGTATGAATGCTTACGACCAGCGCAGCTTAGTCCTTTAGATGCGAACTAAATGCCATATTCATTAGCCTACATGCTCCTTTCTCCCTTGCTGTTGTTGTCACTACTTACGGTTCTTGTAATGAGTTCTAGCATGCGTTTTGCAGGACCAGGCATCGCTTTGCTCATTTCAAGAGAAGTAAAATCCACCAGAGATTGCTCTACCGGAGCATCTTGTTCAAAACTGAAGTAGGTCTCCAACCAGGTCTTTATCACATTGTACACTCGCAGTCGAACAGGTATCAACACTCGATTTGTCCACAAGATGAGTTGATCCTCTGGTAATGGCGCAGGTTCTGTAGGAGGCTTCAGTGTGAATCGATCTTTGAGCAGCTGAACGAAATCTGCAGGATTTGTGAATAACCTGAAGTTGTAAAAAAAGGCACGAGTAAAGACCAAGTCTATAATGACATTTGTTAGTTTAAACATAGGTGTTTTTGTTGTCTTTTTCTCAATATCTACCTGGAGATTTCTCGTGTAAGGTCAATTTGCGCACCAATGCCTCAATTGTGGCGCCTGTCACTTCACCATCTGCGTTCAACATCATTTCATCCTCAGTAAACACGCATTGCTCCAAAAAGTCGTATCCGGGTTCATTCTATGTGGGCAACATGTTAGCTATCAGACAGCTTTTGCAAAGCATGTAGCGTCCTACCTTTGATAAGTGCAGCTGTGAAGAGGGCGCAATGTCCAGGCTATTTGCAGACTGATGCTCATGTTTGTCCACTGCATTGCTGCTAATGGACATCCAAGAAGGCAATTTCTGTATTCTCAAGGGTTCAGGAAGACTTTCCATGGATGAGGATGTGGATAAGCTACTTGTAGTGTTGGTGATCCGTTCTGATTTGGATTTATTAATAGAAGGTCGTAACGAGGAGACGCTCAACCCACGAGGACGTCGGGATTTTAGCACTTGATCCTTGGATGGAGGAGCCCCTTTTACCGAGGCAGTATCCTGTTGAGGCGGTGTATTGACAGCAGGAGGAAGTGGAAATGCTGCTGCTGAAACAGATGGTTTAACAATAATGCTATTTTTAGGTGGTAATGGCGGTAGTGGGAGGAACTGAGAAGTGTTGATGGATGCAGCCCTGGGTCTTAGTTTGTTGCGTCTCTGTGGGATCGTTTCAGGGATGATGGTATCTATAGCAGATGCAGATTTTGCTTCCCTGCTGACAGTGGCGTTGCTGACAGAAGCGGGTGTTGCTGGTGTTGGTGAGTTTTTGTTGGGGATCATGGAGTGTGTGCGTATATCATGTCCATTGCACATGTTTTTGAGAGCATTGTTTTCTGCGTTTGTGCTAATTTTAGGTGCTGATTCAATGGCGAGGCCCTCAATATCCTGCTCACTGTGCCCCTCGCCTCCTAGCTTCTCGCACGGATCTGCTTGCTCATGCTGATCTTGATGATAATGCTGAATTGCATGCAAACTGCTGATTTTCCTACCGAGAATGCTTAGATTGTTTTCTGCTTCTGCTGTTGTAGTAGCGTCAGGCCTTGTATCTTGCTGCATAGTGTACATGATTTTATCGTGCTCTTCTTGTTCCTCTTGTTCAGCCTGCAAACAAGCTCGTACACATGCTGCACATTCGTTTGTGGTCCTGACTACATCTTCACAACACACACAGAGTTGGTCAAAATCTTCCTTGATGATGCTTTCGTCTCGCTGTTCTTGCTTCTGAGGGCCAGCCAACACTCTTACAGCTGTCACCAGATTTGTAATGGCACTGTATACGGATTCTTTTGTGATGACCAGCGTCACAAGACAGGGATCTTCTGGAATCATCGAAATACGTCGATTGTAATCCAAATCACCCAAATTCGAGCACACATGTTCTACGACAGCCAAAAAGGTCCTGACAGCCTCTACTGCTTTCCGCGTGGTCTCCAACATTTCAGTGGCTCTGTGTCGATTGACAAGATATCTCTCCAGTGTCATGACTAAACTAGCCATCAGTTCATCGATGCTTGCTTGGTGATCCAAGATATTATGCAGAATGTGCTCTTTATCTGATACAGGTACAGCCTTGGCAATCAGAGAGGCAGTGCTTTGAGTGAATGTGTAGCGTGGATCTGTTGAAGTCGAAATATGGCGTAGAGACGTTGAATTGGAAGTGGTTGATATCACGGAAGAGCGGCCTAGCGACGACACGGATGAGCGAGGGGTATCACAATGAAACATGGAGGAAGGCCGCGTTGTGTCCACTGTGCTGTCAGATACGGATGATTGGCGTGGTATCACCAACAGCAGTTTTTCAAACATTTCCATCTCATTCAAGAGCTGATCTGCAAAATAAGAAGTCTGATCATGCTCGTCTTCTGCTGCTGCTGTTGACTTTTCTTGCTGCTGCTCTGATGGTTGCTGTTCTGCGGTGTCTTGTTGTTGTTGTTGTTGAAGCTCTTTGCCCTTTAAAACCAACCGGCTTAGTGCGCTTAGGACAATCTTTCTTTGTCTTGCCAGTTCTGGATACATTCTAAGCAGCGCGCTTTCTTTATTTACAATGTTGGCTTCTGTGAGCACAGATCTAACGGCCGAGACGACTTGAAATATGATCCATTGAACATTGGGTGACACTGGCTGCTGACAAGCATCCACTAATTCGGCGACTTTGGTAGACACGTCTTGCACTAGTGTCTGCAATTGTGATGACGAGGAAAATGGCGTAGATGGATTGCTGATGATGGACGATGACTTTCTTCTGTCTTCCCTGAGCAGCGCTCTTGCCATCTCAACTCGAGTTTGGATTGTTGAAACCTAGCATGGCATGTTATTTGGAGGCAAGCAAGCAAACAGACAACCCTGTCTTTACCTTTGTGCTGTATTCTTCTAGTGACACGGTGGATGTGCTATTCACATGATGATTCATTCTTTGATGCCATTGCTCCAATTCTTCGCTAGAGTAGTCATCTTCGAAATCAGCGCTGGATCGCTTCAATTCACCAATTCTTCCAACATAGTTGCTTGGGAACCAGCCTCTCACATCACCGCATTGTCCATCCCACCATCCAGAATCGTCTCTATTAAAGACTTCAATGATGGATCCTTTTTTAAAGAACAAGCAGCACACAGACTCGTCTGTGCTGTTGACAGAGGAGGGCAAATAGTCGTGCAATGCCTGGACAAAATGAGAGGTGAGCGTCGATGGAGACGGTGAAGAGGCGATGGGCGATGTAGGTGGCGATAAAGACGTTGGTGGTGATGGCGATGTATTCAAGTGCTGATTTAAAGAAAGTGTCATGGCTGTAGTGTAATCAGGAAATCTTATACATCAATAATGCGCGTTTTGGATGCTTGATGAAGGGTGTGGTGGCGATTTAACAAACAAACAAAGAAACGAGAACAAGAGCAAGAAAAATAAATAAAGGGGAACAAAGAAGAAAAGGGAGTGAAACTGAAATAAATAATTATTGTTCATGTATTTGGAAAGGAGCAACAAGTGTGTAACCCAATATACTAGGAAAACTACTATTACACCTGTCATTTGTAATTGGACTGCAAGTGATACACTCCTATATATCCACTAAAAACACGATCCCCTGTGTAGATCGAGCAGAGTCAATGGCTACTGAGGCTGATGCTGCCAAGATAAGCAACTAAATGCTATTAGCTCTATATGTACTTGAAAATGCACTATTAAATGATGCTGTATTTGTAATGATTATTAACAAGAGTGTCTGTGTTGCTTTCCCAAATACACTTCAGAGCAGTGTTGCATCCGTCTCACTGTATCGCTACCCCGTTGTGTCTCTCCCTCTTTTTCCATGCTCCATGTTATGCTTTGGATCCATCTCGCTGGCTTCACACTACCTAAATCAGCTACAACTGTGTAGACTTACCTTTTGTAACCCATGAAACATCGTGTGTATTACAAAATGCATAAACATTTAATACATTTGTATGACTTGATGCTAAAAATACGTATTGCAAAATAGCTTGTGGGCATATGCCATTTGTGCCAAACGAAATCCTACATTTCATCTCTTTCATTATCATGTGAGGACTTTCCATAAGCAACCTGTAAGTGTGGATCTGGCCCTTCCAGGATGCTCCACGTCCGTACATACGGGAACACTTCACATTAGCGCAACCAACATACTCGCATTACTGCTTATTGCTCAAAATGATGCCAAATACCGCAAAATCTGGATGCATTTGAGGGTCGATTTCTTGTGTTACAAGTGGTTTTAAACCGTCAGAATAGCACCAAACAATTGCTCTTGTCTAGCGCTTACTTTCTGACACCTTTGCTCAACTTTTTGGGGACCAAAAAAAACATGGCCAAAAATCCACCACAATCCATGAGGGATACCTCATGCTTTTTTATCAAAAATCAAGCGATCGCGTTTTTTCATCCCAAAAACAAAGATTTTTTTTTTTTTACTATGGTATATTATAAGTCAAAATGTTTCTCTCGATCCAAAGTAACCCCTAAAACTTTGTTTGTGGGACCTTGATATATAAAACCTCGACATTTTTGCCAAAAACCTCATTTCGTATTTTGAAAGATTACTCAAAAAGCTTGTTTAAACCACCTCTTGTAATTAACACCATCAGATGCGCCATGAAAAGCTCTCCAAGAATGCATTCGAAAGTATGGAATGATCATCACAGTTTACATAGTCGAATCTGGCAAAATAGGTCGAAACGAATCCAAAAAGTTGGAAAATCATCAAATCAGGACATTGCAATGTGTTGTGTAACACCATATCAATGGTATAAAGATCCAAGCATCCACATCAATAAACGTCAGTCTTTCTTCTTCCTATATATTACAGTGGTCCCTTTATTCCTGAACAATACAAATGATAAGTGGAGAATAAAAAAGTGGCTGGCAAACTTCATGCTATGTTTAAATGGTGCTCTCGAAAGCGCATGAGAAAGAGATTGCAAACGAAATAGTATAATCCTTAAAAAAAAAAGTATAAATGTCAAAGCGTCAAGCTTCTCTTAAGCATGTAACAAAGTGTACAAATGTTTCAAATCAAGGAATAGCACCTTTGGCTCAAGAGTATTAGAAGCTAGCCATTTGTATACTATCCACTACAAGCAGTGCTTACTACGAGTAACGTATAGGTTTTCAAAGTATCAGTGTGATAAAGTGACGCTATTCATAACCCTTACTATAAGAACGGGTAGATGATGCCGCAGTAACCTTTTCTCTTTTTCTTTAGCTTTTTCTTCTTGATCTGATCGGTTCTTGACAAGTTGAGCTCCCCGTCAACCATGCCTGGGTTGTATTGATCTCTTTTGGTCATGTCTTGTCTGCCTGATTAATGTCCGGGTTAATTCTAGGGAGATTTCTTCGAAACTAACTCACTCTGCTTTATCGCAGAGGATTCATTGGTAAGATATTGATATGATGCAGTCTTTGGTGTTTCTCTCTGGTAGTCTCTCTCTCTCTGTCTCTCTTGTACCTGCATCATACGCTTTGGCGCACCAATGTAACTCGTAATCCCCTTGAACGAAGCTTATGTGTGTATTGGTTGGCATAAGTGGGATTCTTGGGATCAGATCATCAAGTTGGATTAGCTGGAGGGTCAGAGGATTGGGATTTGGGAGTTGGGACCAAATGTATTTCGACCTGCCTGTTGGTTGGTCCTGCTAATCATGGTTTATCCATGAGAACAGACGGAAATATGCATTTTATACTGTATATTCAACTTTATTCAAGCAACATACACAGAATGCCTTTCCCAATAACCATGTATGAATGAAGTTTATTAAACTACCTAATTAGATAATTCACCACTTGCAACTGTTATCAATTTCATAAAAAAGACTGGCCAGTATGTAAAACAATATGGTACACTTCATTTATTATTATTATGATATTTGAATAGCTGTATTAATAAATGTAGAATATTTATCCACTGAAAACACGAAGAATAAGATACAATGTGGATCCAACGAAACGAATAGCCGCTAGTGCTGCAACAGACCAAAGCACAAAGCCAAGATAGGCTGCACTTCTTGCTTGATATGTACCCAATGTATCATTGAACGTTGTTGTGTTTGTAATAATAACCACCAGGATCAGATTTGAGATGATCCATGAAATGACCAAACGCGTACGGAAAGCTCTATAGTAGTCCTCCTGCTTTGTTTTTGCGTCTCTGTGCTGTTTCTCAGGTATATACTCTTTACTCAGGTCCAAACATGCTTCCTCGTAAATCTCGTTCAAATCCTTTTGCTCTGTAGGCAGCTCGACTTCCACTGTGTGCTCTCCCGTTTCTGAATCCTTCTTGGACTTGACGACACCCAAATCAGTAGCCACTGTGTTATCACCTTTGGTGCCCCACGACACATCGTGTGTGTTACAGAATGCATAGACGTTCAGTACGTTGGTATAGCTTGGCGCCAAGAGGATGTATTGTGCGAAGCTGGTAAACATGTGCCACGGGTCTAAAAACAAGGCACTTGACACTAAATAGAGTACGTAGGTAGAGCACAATGAAATGATGATGTTCCTAAATGTGGTTTGTCCAAGCATGACAGCGATGGAGTTCCCTGAGTCTTCCGCAATAGCTTCAATACCAATGACAGTGATCCAGATAGTAGCAAACATCATGTAAACCATCAATAACGCAAAGAATACCATACAGAACGTGTACGCAATTCTTGATCCCTGAGGTCGATTACCGAGCGCCATGATAAATTGAACAATCAGCAATATGACATAAATGTAGTTGAGTACAGCGTGGATGATATTAGCAGCATCGGCAGAGAACGGCTTTGGATCCAGACTATCAGAGCCCAAGGCGTTGGTCAAGATGAAGAATGTCAAATAAAAGTTGCCCAAAGCAAACCAGGAGAACAGCATGTTGTATGTCGTGTACAAATTCTCGAATATAAAGGCCAGTTTTCGCATAATAGAGTGATCAGAGCTCCACACTTTTCTCCAATGCCAGAGCGCGTAAACACCAGCAAAGAAGGAGCCATTTAACCAACGTCTACGCTGAGAGATGAACTCGTCTACCTTGTCAGGCACATCTGTTTCACCGTACGCACTGGATACATAGTGAAGTACCCAGCTTGCATCTCGTTTTGCCACCAATTCATAACACAAAATACGATCCTCAGCCAGATACATGTTGGCAGTGAAAATATCAGCATCGCCACCATGTTGGGTCTCGCCCAGAAAGTATTTTTCCAACGGACCATGCCCATCCACATCGTTTTGCAATGCCTTGAATCGATAAGCAGAAAAGGCACCTGGCAGCACTGAAATATAGCCAAACACAGATTCAAGCGGTTTATCCAAGATATTGGACATTTTGTATTCAAAGTTCTGAGCAGCGACCAGAGGATTCAACAGGGCAGCACCAAATTTACCTGTCATAGTTCTAATTTCGCCACAAGCACCAGCAATGTTGGCGTGTACGTCAAATGACTTCCATAAGTGATAGATGGATGTGTTGCCAGGACGAGTGCCAACGTCAATCAGTACACAGACATGCGGCTGAATCAAGGGCCCAAATGCTTGGAAAAACCATCGATGTGAATTGATCTTTTTCTGGTTCTTTTCCTTGAGGCAAAACAGCATTTGACATGGCACAATGCCCTTATCTGCGCTCTTGAACTTCATCTTTGGATCGACGGATAATTGGGTTGTATACTGTACGTAATATATTAGCCAATTAATTAGGCAGAGACATTCATATACATACTTCGTAAATATGTGCTGTCACTGGCTTATCCCCGACTATGTTCTTTGCGACACCGTCTTGGTAGACACCCAATGTTGCTAATAAGGACAATGTTCTTTGGTTGATTTTGTTACGGCCGTCAGACACAATACACACTGTTACTTTCTTCCAGCCGTCTGGACCCCATGTACGCGATCTGTCTCTTGTGCACAAATGAGCAATGTTCTTCATAACACCATGCATGGTTCTAGCAAACAAAACCTCGTCTTCCTATGATATATATATATATATATATATATATATAGTGCCCTTTTAGCTCCACATTCAAATATACAAATCCAGCTACATGCCAAAAGAGACACTTACGTTGTACATGGTCAAAACAATAAACAATTCTGTCTCTCTTCCAAGCAATTGTTGACGTAGTGTGTAACCCTCGCTTACAAAGTCTTTAGGATCGCATGTGGCAGCTGTAAACATTCATCCTGTTAGTGTCTCTGCTTGGCACAAACCCCCCCCCCCGGTCTCTTTACCTGTGTATCTCATGTGTGTAAATTCCTTTGTGTCTTTGATGGGCACTGATTGCAGATATCGGGTGGGCACTGGACAATCAAGCACCAAATTACCTCTTGTCAATTTGACTCTTTTGGCTAATAGTGATAAATGGATAAATTGTCTACTATCCATCATAAGCATGAACACACTTACTTGTCTTGTAACGGCGAGGTTGACGTCTTGGAGCACCAGTAAAGTAGAATGGAGGCGATTCATTCTCATTGCCGCCGCCTCCCAAGCCAGTGGGAGCAGCAGGTGTATCAGGATAGCGGTTTTCAGAGAAAGGCTGAGGCATGGGAAGTGGGCTATTCAATAAAGGTTGATTGCTAGTGTCATAGGTAGGCATTGGTGGCTCATGTTGCTCTACAGTGTAGTTTTGCTCAACAGAGGCAGAAAACGGATCTGCGAATGGCGATTGCATGACAGGTCTTTGTTCCACAAAGTTTGTGTCGTTCAATGGGTATTGATCAAGCTCGTCCTGTCCTGTAAGAGATGGAATTGGAGGAGGGCCGTTGGGGCGATACATGGTGTGATGAAAGAGTACAAAGGGAAGAGAAAAAAGGCTATTTTTTCTGTATTGTGATTTTATATATCCCATAGAGGGAGGGAGGTCTCCGCTTGGAATACACCTAAATAGTTTCAAGACATATTCAATAAGCAATGTTTGCCAAGAATAGTATATTGTTCAAGTGCGGTAAATCATCTAGTTTATTAAAAGATATTGGTATATAACTGTCTACAGCTCTAGGCAATCTGAGGTGATGAAGCTTGCTTTTGAATATCATCAATCTTGTCATCAATGGCCTCTGCATTGAGCTGCTTGCCTTGCACTGTTCTGATATCATGAGCCTATGTGTGTGTGTGTGTTACTAAATTTAGTTTGAAATCGTCTTTTTTTTTTTCTGTTTTACCTGGAACATGGCGACAATAAACTCGGTAAGTGGCTTGACCATCCATCGTGTGGGATATTTGATGTGCTCAAACCAGCCAAGATGCCCACCGTAATCTGTGGTGGCAAGAACAACATTGGGATTGGTCTTGATCTCGTCATAAGGGATGCACTCAGCAGCTGCAATGGGATCATCCAACGCATTCAAACACAATAATGGCACTTTGACATGTTCAATGAATCGGCATGAGCTGGCATCTCTGTAGTAGTTGTTGACTGTGGTGTAATCAAACATCTTGCGGGTGCAAGCATCGTCAAATTCTCGCATCGTCTTGGCTGCCATCACCTCTTCAGGATTGATTTTGCCACCCTTTGCTAGAATATCCAAATGTCTATCATATCATGGTGAGTTTTACTGCCTAGTAGATGCGGATAGTACTACTTGCCTTCCAAATGCATTCTTCAGATTATTAGCCATTGTAGCTGAATAGATCTTTCTTCCCACATAGGATTCGTTCAATTTATCCATGGACCTATCACGACCTCTTCTTAGTCTCTCTCTCTCTCTCTCTTGTGATCTCCAGCACAGCGAATTCCTTACATTCTAAAGTCAAAGGGATTGGCAACCGAGACACCTGCCTTGAGTGGTGTCTTTTCCCCTTCCTCGCCAAGATACTAGGACATGGCATCATTTTCGTCAATACCATCATCATTCGTCCTTCCTGATCACATCACATGCTTACCTTGACCAAGATATTTGAACCCAACGAGAAGCCAATACCTACCAAAGGTGTGTTTGGTGGGAGTCTCTTTTGAATATGGGCAAGAACCACTCTCAGATCATCCGTGTAGCCTCCACTGTACATTTGAGGTGTCTTGATCTCTGAATTAGCGCATCCACGGCAGTTCATGACCACAGCACGGTAATTAAAAGGTGGATAAGTAATCTAGATGATAAACAATCAGTTGAAGAATCATCATGCTGACGGATATAGATTACCACTTCCAACAGACAGCGAATGTAAGATTCATGGCTACCGCCTGTCAATCCATGAAGCACAACCAATGTAGGTGTGGCATCGTTCTCCAGACCTTCTTTAGTAGGTGCCCAATCGAGCGCAACACATCCACCATCAGGCGTATCTACAAATTCTCTGCATTCGGTTTGAGTATTGACCTATTTCTACTCTGCTCAAAGCAACAAGCCCTACCTTTCGTAATGAACTGCATTCACAGTGGGTGAATGAGTGTAGTAGGCAGCATATCCAGTTTGTAAATGACCGTTGAATAGATAAGATGTAGGATTATAGACAGCTTTGGGTCCAACCAACGAAGGACAGAATTCAGCAATATATTCTGTCAAGGAGACAGAACGATTGCCTGCATTTTTCAGTTGGATTTGAACGGGATTTGGGCTGTGAAATAGCTTGACTTTGGACATGATGGAACGAACAGTTGAAAAAAATTTGCTTGTCATACACGAGACGCTTTATTTACAGTCTTTTTATAGAGTTTATGAGATAGCACCTACAAAAAGGGCCATTGTGTCATTATACATGACAAATCTTGAATTAGGGCCGGGCATTTAACCATCGGCTGTCGAACCATCCTAGCAGCCCCTCACCTCACTATTGTTTTCGACTTTTAAAACCATTTATCCAGTATTTGGGATTTTTTTTGGATCAATTGCATGTGTCATTTTCATTCTTCATTTCTCGACAGCTCACGCAGGAACACACATTCAAAAGCAATCTCTGTTGTCATGGTAACGTGGGTGACCCAATCCATGATGAATAAGTCGTACAATATTTATTTCTTACTAGGAAAGTTGTAAATCTCGACACCTTCAACACCTTCAACAGGGAATCCAAAGATTCGACCGTAGAACCATTGCTCAAGTTCTACAGTACGTTTGATGTTTTCAGCGCGCTTGAAACCGTGAGCCTCTCCTTGATATAAAACGTAAGCAACAGGCACCTTGTTCTCCTTGAGTGCATTGACCATCACCTCAGACTGAGAAGGAGGAACAACCCTGTCTTCAGAACCTTGGAAGAAGATGACGGGACATTCAATCGCATCTGCCTTGTACAGAGGAGAACGTTCATCGTAAATGGCCTTATCCTTGGGATATTCACCTACGAGACGATCAGTATATCTGGATTCGAATTTGTGTGTTTCCTTGGCTAATAAGCTCATATCTGAGACGCCGTAACGACAACAACCAGCACTGAACACCTTGCGGAAAGCCAAGGAAGCCAATGTAGTGTATCCACCAGCACTGCCGCCTTCGATGGTCAACTTGTTGCGGTCGACTAATCCTTGATCTGCCAAGTAGAGAGCAGCATTGCAACAGTCATCGACATCTACGATACCCCAACTGTATCGCAAACGATTACGATATTCACGGCCGTATCCAGTACTGCCACCATAGTTGACATCAGCAATGGCGAAACCACGAGTTGTCCAATATTGAATCGACCGGCTGTAGCTGTTGTTGGTAGCTGCAGTGGGGCCACCATGGGAGAGAACACGAAGAGGAGGAAGTCCTTCGCCCTTGTAATTGGGATTCTTTGGAGCGTAATAGTAACAGTAAGCTGATATACCATCAGTAGTAGGGAATACGACTTCTTTTCCAACAGATAAATACTCGGGTTCCAAGCGTGAGGCCTCTGACTTTCTGTGAACGTGAGCAATTGTTTGTGTGTTGATATCATATGAGCAAACTTCAGAAGGCTCAGTAGTGGACGACATATCAGCCACCACGTATTCCTTTCCATCCTTGCTCAGATACACACGGATATAGGCAAAGTGGTCGTATTTGCAGTTGAGGTTAGTCATTGTCTTTGACTTGGTGTCAAGAATAGCAAGAGAATCCTTGTTCACCACGATCAGTTTGGAGGCATCTGACTTGAGAGGCGTGTAGTCGGAAGCGTTGAAGCTCCAAGCAGGGCCCACAAATTCCTGTTCCAAAGGCTTCTCCAACAACAAGCTGACATTCTTACCATCGAATGAATACAAGTTCCAGAATAGGGAACGGTCTGAAGCAAAGTAAAGAGTGCCGTCAATGCCGAAGTTGGGTTGCTTATCAAACTACGAGTCAATCACCTTTTCATTCATGGCCCCATCAACTACACTTACCGAGATGCTTTCATCAATCTTATCACCAGCTACACAGGTGAGATCCTTTACGGTCAATTGCTCGTCCTTAAACTCGACTTTAGCATAATAGAGTTCAGTGAAATCCCAAGGCATATTGGGATGACTCCAACACACGTAAGCGAGCTCGTTGTTGGAAGGAGAGAGACGAGGAGACGAGTAGAAATCCTTGCCCTGAGCGATTACAGTTTCCTTACCAGTCTTCAAGTCAATTGAAACGAGAACATTGACCACATCCTTGGGTTCTTCGTTGACAAAATGCTCCTCACGAATACAGACCAAAAAGCGGTTTTGTGTGTCAATGGTAAAATCTGCATAACGGTAGAGTGTGTCGGCTGCGGTCAATGGCTTGATTTCATCATTGATGATAATGTAGATGCGAGAGTCCTTGTTGTTGGAGAAGACGACGAGATCATTAGACACTTTGAAGGAGCCTCTACCATATTCATGAACGCGGGTCATGCAGTTGTAGCCTTCAGGCAAAAGTGCTTGAGGAGGTGTGTTGCTGTCGTTGATGTTTTGCTTGAAAATTTGTCCGCGTCCTTGCTCGGTAGCTACAGTAGAACACCAGTAGACAAAGCCATTATCCACGCATGTATCGTAGGCAGGAGATCCCGAGGACAATGAGTCTGCTGTGATGGGGGATGGCCATGCGCCAAAAGGTTTAATCTCGACCATGCTGATAGAGTTGTTTAAAGATACAAGAAAGTGAAAGAGAGGGGGATATATTGACGTTTTCACGCAGAGGTTTTAAATAACGGGATTCTTTTTAACCGCTCTAATACAGCGCTCTCGCGTAGTATGTGGAAATGGAATAAATTCCTTCTTTAGGCAACCCTGGGATCCCCATCACAGCCAGAGAAGAGAATACCGAATCATCTCTAATCATAGCATTGAGGACTCATAGCTGTATACACATGGTAAATGGCAATCCCCTCATTTAAGGGGATAGATCAAATACAATTCTTTTAAGAGAAAATAATAAAAATCAAGGAGGTTTTATAAAGATTTTGTGTATGCATGTAAGGCAATGCATCAGAGGCCAATCTTTATATAAAGCAGCTGTTTTTTCCTCTTTCCCTGTCTCTATACCCAAAAAATGGCTTCGTCTTGTGCATCATGCCCACCAAAATCCAATCATCGAGTGAATGATAGTAATAGTAATAGTGCAATCAAGAGATCCAAATGTGTGCGTATGATAATAACATCTTACAGCTACAGTGCACTGTAGTGACAATTGTTCCAATGATCATTCTTCAAGAGACGCATGCTGCCCAGACTGTGGAAGCATCAGTGAAAAGAGCAGCCATCTAGCAGCAGACTCCATGTGCAGTGATGCTGAAGCATGTCGCTGCTCATCCTCATTCACATCTTCATCCTCAGATCACTGCCACTCTTATAGCCGATCCCATGCAGAAAGTCTATCATGGAAAGGAGAGCTGAAATCATCATCGACCATCTCTTCTTGCATCCAATACAAACACAATCTACACAACAAGCATTACAACAAACTGCACACATCCACGGCAGTGGGCTATAATACCGTGCTGCCTGCAAGTAATACGGTGAAATCGCTTGCCGCGACAAGTAGCACCAGCCAACAAAATCGCATTCGTCGCCGACCCTGCTGCTGCTGCTGTCGATCTAGGGCGCATTCTAGATTATGCGTGTTTTTCTTCTTCTTTATTTGCGTTTTAGGTGCCATTGCTACCTTTTTTTGCTGGACTCGCACACCGAGAGTGTCCATGGGCGGTGGAGCAGATTCGCTGAGTGGAGCGCCAGATTGGTGGGCAGGTGAAAGACAGCCGCTGCCATCACCCGATACACCGATTCCCTCACGGCCCTCACTGAGAGCTACATGGCAGATCAATGTAACACTTGACAACAGGGATAATTGGATTCCTACGCATATCACCAAATTGGATTTTGTCATTGTGGATAGTTTGACATTAGCAAAATTCGCATGGGCATCGACTTTATCTGGTTTAGAACTAGCACCAGGCATTATATCGCCTATAAGCCTAACCTTTAATGTGAATTATCAGGCTGCAGATCGTACGGATCCGACATTTCAAAACCTGTACAACGCATGTGGTCCATTAAGTGACTCAAAACAGAGACCAGCATTAAATGTATTGTTAAGGGTAACGCTCACTTTTGTTTGTATATATATATATATATATATATATATATGACATTGGTCTCACAGAAAATGCAATGCATAGGTTTCATTTCATATATTTGGTATTGCCTGGACTCCTTTGGTGACAGCTACGCCTTATACAGGAGGTATACTCTGTCCCATCAAATAAAGACATTGATATCGTGCAGCTAATCATGGAAACATGATGATGTTCATTAACAGTCGAAACCGATGATGAAGGGGGGGGGGGAATAAGTGCATTTCGTTTTTATTATAGAAATGAAGCGACATGGGGATATATTTTTATGCGTTAATGTGAAAATGGGATAATGACAAACAGGGAGTTTTTTTTTGATTTTACATGTTGGATGTACAGACCAGGAATCCACTTCTGTTTCGATAGTTGTAGAAAGTATGCACATGCAGATCAGGCTTGCGACGCTGGAATTTCCTCTTGTTCAGCTGCTCTTGCTCCTCTTCTTGCGCTTGCTCTTGTTCAAGCTGCCTCTGTCTTTCTTCTTCTTTGTCCAGCTCATCTAGGCAGGTATCAAACCAGTGCTGTTCCGATTCAGTTGACGGAGAAGAAGGCTCGCGTAGTAAATTTGCAATCAATACATATTTACGTATAGGCAGATCTATACGTGTTTGATCGTACTCTGCCAGCTTTGAATAACTGATGGATTGTATGTGATGATTTTGTCCAACCATTGGGTTGTATGGACCATTCTGATGTTGATTGCTATAATAATGATAGTTTGACATGTTTGAAGTATTTAATTATCCAATTGTTTTCTGTCGTTTCTTGCCACACATGTAATGAAAAGCTATGATAGGATGATAAAGGAAAAGATCATGTAAAAAAAAAAACGGTTGATGTATGGATGAAAGACGTGAGTAGAACAAAAAAAAAACGTGGAAAAGAAAAACGAGAATGAGGATGCTTATATAGAAAATTGAAAAAAGGGAGTGAGAGAGAGAAAGCAAAATGCCAACAAATAACAAAAAGTATAAAAAGATTTAATTAACTCTGTTTGACTTTTTCCCAACTGATTATCAATGTAATACCACTTGTAATTTGTTGTTGTTTTGCTTTGCCTCCCTTCTCTGTTCCAATGCTGCGGTTGTCAAGTGACGTAAAATGAAGAAACAAAATCTACAAAAGCTTATAGCCGTTTGACATTCGGAAATAATGATTGCTCATCAAAAGCACGACATTTTAGTTCCAAATGATCTCGTTTCGAATAACCCAATATGCATTGCAAGTAGAATACTAGAGGCTAGCATGCATTTAAAAAGTGATCATGTTAATAGACTTGGCTGTTGCTATTCTTTCCCGCTAGTTTTGGAGACATCTGGGCCATTCTGACTTCCATACAATCAAAGTAGAGTGTCAGGGCTACTGTTATCTTGAGTCAGGTGATAAATAATCGTAAATAGATTTGCAATATCCACTTTTTGGGATGTAATTGGTCCAAGTTTTACATCTTGCAGCATGAATTTCTGGCCTGAGAAACGAAAATGTCATTGTTAGTGATTGCTGCGGTTATGCTAGAGTTATTTGCGTGATCCCCTATCAATATCAAAGTTGATCGCTGTCAAAACAGTATTCCGGATGTGATACAAAGCAATCAAAGACCTTTGCAAGAGATTTCTAGAGGGGATCGCAGCAGAGAAATCAACAGGTGTCAAAACTGAATGGATGGTTCCTGAATCGGAGTTTATAGTTTTATATTTTCTGATCTGCCATTGTGTCTTTTGGATAGCATCATATAGATGAAGGCAAGGACAGTGTTTAAGTTTTCTTTGAATGAAAGCCCCAGTACATTGATAATAGCTCAGGCATACATTGGAGCGTGCAGTTCCAGTATAAACGTTTTAGAATTGATTTCCATGAACTGCATTTCAGAAGCAACAGTGACCTTGTTTGTGACCAGTTGTTCTAGCAATTTTTTTTGACATTTATTGAGATTGATGAGAGAAACCAACCTGTTACTGTATATTCTCTTTAATCTAAACATAAATCATGTCTGGAGTCACTGCTCAACAAAAGAAGAAAGCACAACCCAGCCGTAAGGGCAAGAAAGCATGGCGCAAAAATGTTGATATCACCGATGTCGAGGAAGCACAAGAGGAGCTCCGTTCAGTGGAGAGAGTGATGTAAGCTTGAATATGAAGATATCAGTATGAATGATTTCAAACCTAACGTACTTCTTGTTATATCAGCGGTAATGCAGATGATTTAAAGGATGAGGATCTTTTCACTATCGATGTTGCCGGTGATACTGGTGGTAGGTTTTCAATTCTAAATGTTGATGAGCGTGGAATCACTTGAGCTCTGACCATGATGTTATTCTTCAGTGAAACGCAAACTAGCTAAAGATAAGCCCCTCCGAGTGGATGAAATTTTGGATCAAAGATCTGCTGTTCCTGCTGTCAAATCAAAGAAGAGTCCATTTAAGAAGCCAGAGATGACTGACAAGGTTGTTTCCAAGCATGAATTGAAGACATTGAAGCGTAAGATTGAGAACAATGCACCTGTTGCACCTAAAAAGAAGACCAAGAAGATTGTTAATCCTGGAAAATCATATGATCTTTGGGATGAAGGTAAAACAAAATCAGTGTTGTGTAGTATTATGTGTTGATGAATGAAATCTATTTATATAGCACCTGTTGAAGAAACACCTGTGAATGATTTCTTGCCCGTGAAGGCCAAATTAAAGGTGCCCAAAACAGTGACAGTGAAGCCTGCAGCACTGGAGCATATTCCCGCTATTGCCACACCTGAAGGTGGCCATTCTTACAATCCCTCTGTGGAAGAGCATCAGCAATTGCTCGCAAAGGCCAATGAGGCTGAAGAAAGAAAGGTGGAGATTCTCAAGAAGCTCCAAGAACAATTGTCTTACCGTGAGGAATTGAAGCTGTTGGCCAGTGAATTGTCCACATCAGAGATTACAGCTGACGGCAAAATTGTTTCTACGGAAGCCGATGATGAAGAGGAGGAGAACGATGAGCTGGCCGATTTACCCACAGATGATAAAGCCACCAAGAAGCGCAAAGCAGCTGAACGCAAAACTCGTCAACAGCGTCAGAAATCACATAGATTGGCCACAGCCGAATTGGAAAAGAAGCAAAAGCAGCAAGAAAAGGCAATCCGCCAACAGATTGATAAGCTCCGTCAAATTGAACAAGAGATTGCTCAAAAAGTTGAAGATTTGGATAATTTGGCTGAGAAGAGGGGCGAACGTCGAAGCGAAGAGGAAAAGAAGGGCTTGAAGAAGATTGGTAAATACACAGTGCCTGAGTTGCCTGTGGATGTTCAGTTAACAGAAGAACTATGTGAAACGCTTCGTCAATTAAAGGTAAGGTGCACCCTCTCGATTTGATCATATCCCGGCGGCTAATTCTCATTCCATGCTAGCCTGAAGGAAACATGTTCCGTGATCGATTCCACAGTATTCAAAAGCGTAATATCATTGAGCCTAGAATACCTGTTAACCCAAGCAGACATTACAAGCTTAAAGAGTATGAGAGAAGAGCCTATAAAAACTACGATCAAGCTGAAGAGATCAAGAGAAAGAGAAAAGTTGCTGCTGCTGCTGCTGCCCTCAAGAAGTAATAGTAAATGATATATAAAAGCAATTTATTTTTTTTTCCCCCAGTAATATGTAAAATAAAGTTAGAAAAGAACCAGTTAACCGTTAATTGACATGGGTGACCTGCTAGGACTAGTTGAATAAAAGCAATACTTGTTGACCAATTCCATGTAAGATTGAGAGTTTAGATCCATGAACGAGGGAGATGAGGCTAAAGGAGAATGACAAGATAAGCCAGTAGGAGATGAGGATACGGTTCTTCTGATTGGAATTGGCATAGCGAATGTTTGTTTGATGGTGGGACTAGGTTGAGATGCGGATGATGATGATGATGATGATGATGTCTGTGTCTGTGTTTGTGCTTGTGCTTGTGTTGCTGATGTTTGTGGTATAATATTTTTGGCTTGACTAAAATCGTATCTAGATTTGAGTGTGTCTTGTGATGCGGCTAATGATGTTGGCTGTGGAAGATCTGATGTAGATTTCACTTGTGATTTTGATGATTTCTTGTTGGTGTTGTTTGGCTTGCTGAGCGAGATATCCACTTGATAATTTCTGCCATCGTTGTTATCCCAATAGTCTTCAGAGCCCACTTTGTAATTGATAGCGAAATACAGGGTAGCGGCATTTGCTGGCACGTGAATTTTGAACGCAAAGATATCATTCTTTTGAGAGCTTTCTTGGTAGGTTGCTTGAATGTTATCCACAGATTCCCAGTAATCAAATGTGTATCGAATCATCACTGTCTTGTGATAGTTTAAATTACGGACAGATACTTTGCCAACAATGAAATCATCATCTTGCAATCGCATTGTGTTTTTATCAACTCTTATGATCTTGTTTTTCCTATCAATGATATCCGATAGGCGGGTTGGCCAGTTTGAGCATTTGATTGACTTTTTGATGGGCTGTTCTTCCTCATCGGAAGAGCCGCTGCTGCTGCTAGTGCTGTCACTATCATCTTCATCATCATTTGCCCAAAAGATGCTCTTTTGACTGATGGCGAGAGGTGTCTGTGCCTTTCTGAATAAGCAAATATCTTCAAGATTTGTTGTGTGAAAGCGTACTGATTTCAAGCCTATGGTAGGGGAGCAAGGTGCGGACGCAGACTTCGGATTCTTCAGGGATGATTTGAGGCGAAATTGCGGTAAATCAATCTTATCTGCGCCATGTTTCTGTTGTGGGGAAGAGATAGAGGATGGAGGTGATGGAGGCAACTGTGTTGACACTCGTGTTTCAATCTGTACCGAGCTAGGCAGAGATAAGGCACTTGCAACCAATTGACGGGTATAATCATTTGGCTCTTGTAACTGCTGCTCTTGGCCTTGGATGTCCTGTCTCAATATGGCATTGTAATCCAGTGACAGTGAGGACGATCTCCTGTTAAGAGATACTCTTTTTCTATTGTTGATCATTTTGTGTAAAAATGTGGGGAAGGTAGCGCTGAAAGAAAATGTATCAATTGAAAAAGATGGAAGAAGAGAACGAAATCAAAGAGAAGAGAGAGAGAGAGAGAGAGAAAACTAAAACATTTTCTTTTTTTATACACCCAGAGTGAAATTTAATATATATATAAAATACATCATTTGCTTATCATGATGCCATGAAAAGTTTGCATTTCCTGATTGGTGTAACAAAATGTGTATAGAATAGCTGTTTCTTTTTCCTTCCATTTTCCAGGCTATTAGGCTCGCGGGCAGACTGTCAATTGTGGTTTTGTTTTGGTTACATTGCATTTTCGCATCTTCTTTCAACATGATTTCTAATCAATTGATCTTCTATTTTCCAGGCATGGATCTTTTTTTTTTTTTAGCCTCCCTCAATCCATGCCCCCATCCCTTTAAATGTTTCCCTTTTATAACGTCAAGATTGACAGTAAAAATCCATATGTGTAGAATATGGAACGACATCTCAGTTTCAAATCTGTTACACATGCAAATAACTATCAATCTTCCCACACAAGAAAAACGAGGGAAACATTGCATTTTTATTATGTTTGATCTTTTGGATAGCACATTTTCCAATTCAATCCAAAAGCCATTCAAAAGAAAGATGACTGCTGCTGTTGTGGTTGGCCATACGCTTGTTGGAAATTGCTTGGTTGCTGCTGTTGCTGTTGCTGATAACCTGTCATCTGTGCTTGTTGATAACCCACATTTTGTGCTGGCTGATATCCAGTCATTTGTGGCTGTTGGAATCCAGTCATTTGAGGTTGTTGATATCCAGTCATTTGAGCCTGCAATTGTTGTTGTTGTTGTTGTTGTTGTTGTTGTTGCAATTTTTGTTCTTGCATCATCTCTAATAAGCTTTTCTGTCCTGAGCGAGGTGTGGTAGGCGTGCTGGCAGAAGAAGTGGCTTGTCCAAATGGATTGCGACTCGGTTGCTGTCCAAATGGCTGCATAAATTAAAAAACAAATGTTAATTCCGCATGACAAATTTGTTATACTGCACACGGTGATACTCACTTGAGAGAATGCTCCATTCTGGCTGTTGGTTGGACTATCGGTTATACTCAAAATATCTTGGTTTTGTGGCACCAATGAGTTTGCAAATCCTGTACCACTATAACAGGGAGAGAAAAAGACGTACGTTTTTAATCATTCCTGTTGTACAGTGCTGTGTTACCCTTTACGATTACTTACTATGGAATACGGTGGTCACCCACATTACCAAAACTATCAGATCCACCTCTAATGAAGCCGAACAAGATATTATTAATAAGAATGATGTAATCATTACATGACAATCAACAAAAACTTACTCTCGATTGGCCAACATGCTATTCAATTTACTATAATGTGGATTCTGAGGCGCTGTAGATGTGGGTGTGGATTGACTCATTGCGGGTAATGCTGTGTGCATAATCTATACGTTCCATCATTTAATGCACGAGCCATATGGTTAGACAAGGGGAAAAAGTATACCTGACTTGGTGTTCCGAACATGCCTGCAGAATTTGCTTGTTGTTGTTGTTGTTGTTGTCCAAATGGATTACCCGTCATTTGTGCTTGCTGAGTATGGAAGATGGGCTGTTGTTGTTGCTGCTGAGGCATGCCTGTCATCTGTGCTTGCAAAGAAGGCGCACCTGTCATTTGTGCTTGAAGGTTAAATTGATTAAAGTTATTGCCTTGTTGGTAAGGATTACTGAATCCGTTATTTTGCTGTTGCTGCTGCTGAATTGGCTCTGCGAATGACATCCCAGTCAAGCCAGTTGATTGTGGCCATTGCTGCTGCTGCTGTAATTGCTGCTGCTGTTGTTGCTGGCCATAAGGATTCAATAATGAATCGAAACTCTGATTAGCTGGGAATGGTTGAAAGCTATGCTGCAAATGTCAATATTATACAGTTAAATGGCAGTTGAGATGGCACTTACGTTTGGAAATTACTGTTGCTGTTGTTGTTGTTGTTGTTGCTGCTGCTAGCATTACCAAACAAATTGTTTTGCGTTTCTCGATCCAGTGCTTCCCTCTTCTTTCTTTCTGCCTCTCTTGCCTCTTGCTCGCTCTCACGAAGAGCTCTTTGCAAATCCTCATCAGTACTAAACAACGTCGCCTTTAGCCAAACTTCAACTCGATCAAAAACCAAACAGTATTACCCTTCTCCTCGTTTTCTGAATTCTTGCTCGGCCATGCGCTTACTCTCCTCGATGGCCCTTTTCAAATCCTTATCCTCGTCCACGTAGCCAGGATGCTGATATACTTGATGATCTTCTCCTCCCGATCCATTTGCTTTGCCTCCCCACATGACATCATTCATGTAATCACCAACACCTGCCATTCTATCTTGCATTTGATGACGGGAACGACGCTCTTCTTTCAATCTTTGATCATCCAACAATAAGCTTGTGATGTCTTTGGCCTTTTGACGAACTATAGTACACGAACAATAAATGCCCTCGTCTTGTCTGTGTTCTGTAAGCTCTCTCGATACTTACCATTAAAACCAACATCTTTCCCAGCGTCGTCGACATGTTGAAACTCCTTTAAAGTCTTTACGACGTAAATGTTTTCCTTAGCATAAAGCACCACATTCTCGGATCCAACGTGTAGACAGTAATCCAGTACAAGTAAAGCCTATTTCTCTCTACGTTAGAAGCAGCAAGCTGTTGTTCAAGCTGTACATACATACCTTGAATACATGACGCCAGTTTTTGCCCTTGTCATTCAATCTTCTGTCGAGCATATCCATAATTTCGATAAAATCTTGTCTATACACATCGTCTAAATTAACCTCTTTGCTCGGATAAAATGCGTCCACGCTTACTCGTTGAATGTCAATTGGGCGATTTCGTTCATCAAGGAGCCGCTGGGACCCCAGGTATCGTTGGATGTAGCCTCTCTTACTTTAATTTGTACGTCTGAAAAGCCTTTAGCATAATTTTTACTAATAGTTTGATCAGTACCTCGCAGACTCGGGCACAACGACTCTATCACTTACATGCTTCTAACAACACCTTTTCCTGCCATATTTTAGTACTGTATATCCTGATAAGAAAAAGGGAAAGAGACGAGAAAAAGAGAATAAACAAATTACAAAATAGAAAAAAGGAAATAGAAAGCGGGAAAAACAAAGATTGTCGGTTTCAAAAAAAGTCCTAGTTATTGTTGGCCTAATTTAAGCACATGTGTGCAACACTCGTTGTGCGTCATAGTCTTGCTTTATGCTATGACAAAGGCTTTCCCTCTGCGAGTTCAGCCTACGAATGCCACCAATTCGTACGTACGCACGTTTGGGATACAAACCACCTTGGAAAGTCAGAGAACATCAGACTATAGTTGGTTTCAGTAATTCAAGGATTTTGGGGATGAAGTCTGATATCAGAAGGTCGTGGATTTCCACACTCGATAGTTGTATCCCATCCATGTGTTACAATAATCTTCACCAAATGCCATGATCTGCTTATTGCCTGACAAACTTTTATCTCTTTCTACTATTGCATTTGTATTATTACATGAATCAATGATCGCATGTAAGGATCACAGGGGTCTTCCGTAACAACCATTATGAAGAAAGAGTTCACTTAACTGATTATCTATATCTATGCAACATCAACCTCCTCATTAAACTTGCTGGATCATTTGGATTTTTATCGTTCGACAGTCGCATTATACCTCCCCCCACACACACACATATATGCTTGAGTAATCGCAAGAGCAAATCCTGTTGTTCCATGTAATGTATACATGAAAACAGCAATATGATTGGAGCCCAAGCCAGGACATCCAATATATGCTTCTAATTTCTCACGGCACATCTCTGGACAAGAGATACTTACTTTCCCCTAAAAATCCATGTCTATGCAGACAGCAGTGAAGGTTTCTCTTAGTAATAAAAGCTAGTGGTTCCCATCCACGGTCACGGAGTATCAGGTCACGATACATTCATCCTTCTAAACGGTAGAGCAAACTAAATATAGGAGATAATTTAGTAAAGCAAAGGCATGGTATTTCAAGTAGCCTAGATTGTGTATCTCAATAACCACATCATCATGTTAATCTTAACAACATTGCTATCTCGCTGTTTTTCAACACTTCAAATGCCAAACATCCTGGGATATACTACACATTTCAAATAGTGGCAAACCTTCTTGTATATATATAGATATTCCCTTAGTGTATCGTAGAACGAGTTGTCATCAAAGGAGGAGTGTATTCCAATTTGGCAGTTTGCTTTCGAAAAAGTTTACAGTTACCATGCGAATTAAGTCGTCTCAAAAGGCTCTTCACGTCAGACTATAAACCAAACTCGTCGCTCGCAAACCTTCTTTCTCTATTTCTTCCTATTTTCTCTTTTTTCTCTTATAATTTCTCTTTGAATTTCGATTTTGAAATTCGAGCGTTGAAGTAGCATGTTCCTATGACAGTTTTTTGCGTAGAAGATGATGGTGCAATTGGATTTTAGATTGGATGTGATGATGATGAGGAAAGCGAGATTTGAGAGATTTACAAAGTTTAGACAGATGCTGTTAGTAAAACTTTTTGATTAGTATATAAACGTGGGTTATATGTCTATTAAAAGTTATAGAGGGTAGTTTGATTGAGTAGAAGATATTTGGCTTGAGGTTATTGAGGACAATGTGGATGAGTAATGATGGAAAATAGTCAAAATGTACGATTTTCAAAGAGCCGTACCGCTTGATTTTACTAAGTGAACGAGAGCTTCAAACTTAATAGCTTCTGTTTCTTTTTCAATTCTCTATACGATGGTATGGTTATTATGGACAAATAAAAAAAAAGTTGAATATCTCCTGCTTGTAGCTCATAAAATATATGATTTTGAGCAAATTCATAAAGGGAACGTACACCTGGTACTTAAAACCGTTATATTATAATGGATATAACGTAGAGCTATTGAATGGTCTTTGTTTTGTGCAAATCCAGCGAGTATTTGTCGAGATATGGTCAGAAAAGAGTATCATGCAAAATCATGGATTTTTCTTCAAAATCTGCCTGTGATAGCAAGCGAAAAATCTGGTGACGATTTTTTGGTCAGGACAATATTTTCAATATTTCATGATAGAGTCATGCCAGAGCTTCTAGCAATAGCTCATTCGATAGGAAACTTTTTGGTCTACAATGTTTAGTAATGCTTAACAAAATGTTCTGATGACCGATACTGATTAATCTTTAGAAAACAGTCAAAAAATCGCAAAAACAATCGTACCAAATATCAGGCAAATAATGTACACCGGAAACTTGATATGGATACCATTGTATTCTCCTTTGAATTCTCTACAAGTTTCATATAAGTTTGAAGGGGTGTCTACTATCAAGAAACGCGTAATTTTAAGGTCGATAGATTTCGGAATTCTATGGATCATCATTAAGAACAATATAAATTGAAGCTCCGTTGACCTTCTGCACGTGTACACGACACAAGTATGAATTTGACCGAGCATTTTAAAAATTGGAGCGTACGAAAAGGGCCATATTAACTTGCTGGTTTCAAGTTATCAATAGATACTTGACATGATGAAGAATCTTGCTTTTAAGATTAGAGAGTTGTAGCTTGCTTTGTTCGATTAAAGTAAGTCTTCCAATTTAAAGTATGTATATTCCCCCGTTTAAAAGTAGCATCTATGATGTTGATTAACTCAAGAAGTAAGCATTTCCAATGTAATGTTCTCCCTTAGAAGTTGCTCCAATATCATTATTCTACAACATATTTCAGTCTTATATGATTCTAAATTTTTTACCTATGAGGACCTGGATGTATAAAATGTTTTTTTTTGATTTTGAGGTTTTCAACTTTTGAACGATCGAACATCGATTTTTGAAAAATTGATGCTAAAGCTTTGAAAGTAGCATATTCCTATGACAGTTTTTTGCGTAGAAGATGATGGTGCAATTGGATTTTAGATTGGATGTGATGATGATGAGAAAAGCGAGATTTGAGAGATTTGCAAAGTTTAGACAGATGCTGTTAGTAAAACTTTTTGATTAGTATATAAACGTGGGTTATATGTCTATTAAAAGTTATAGAGAGTAGTTTGATTGAGTAGAAGTTGTTTGACTTGAGGTTATTGAGGACAATGTGGATGAGTAATGATGGAAAGATTTTAGAATTTATCATTTTCTGACGACGGACTATTATATCTTTGGATCTGTAATAGTCATATGGTAGATTTAAATGTATGTAGATGAAGGAATGAATATAATCGAAAATGTAGTTTATATTTTTATAAACGAAAAGGTTCCGTGGAAAATTTTTGCTTGTCGGACATTTGCTGTACGAACGGCAATTTTTGTTAGAAGTATATAGTAACCAAGCTAAAAGCTGGTCTTCTTTGATCCCGGTAGTGAGCTTTGATACGGATGCTCCCTTACTTGAGGAACAAAAGTTGTGTGTAGCTGTTGTCGTAACTATTTACATCTTTTGTTACACGAGTCAATTAGTATAAATACTAGAGATAACTGTCAAGCTCAATAAACGAGGTCTTCCTAACTTATAACTGATTCATTATATATCTTATATTATTTTTTTTGGAGGTTCCAAAAAAAAAATTGGGTTCCCAGCAAAATTGCAACCCGATTGGAGTGATAACTTTTGTTATAAGCCAATACTTTGTCAAATAACAATTGTTGTGGAATTTGAGGCTTTACAGACTAAAATTCACGGAAAAAAAAGAATAAAAAAAACAGTAATGTCAACTTGATAAAGGTATATTTTATTATCAAACTGACAGGTGTAAAGTAAACTGAAGTCTCTCTACTGGCCAGGTAGATGATCCTTCTTATATACTATAACAATGGATAAAAGTTCTATTAATTGGATTAACAAATAAGTCAACTCAGATCAACTAATGTCTAATCATGCTAAAAGACAACTCCAGCAAGCTAATCATGATTTAGCTTTGCCTGGATGAATAATTAAACTCTCATCCGAGGTACCCTGATCTATCCTTTCTATAAGGATAATTAATATCGATCTAGTAGCATGTATCCGATAGGTACAGTCTTCTTAGTCTATATTAATAGTACATATCTGAGTGTATATCGCTAAGCATACATCTTTAGCATGTATCTGGATATATGGCATGTCTATAGCATATCGTATGCATGTCTATAGCATGTCTCATATACAGTACAAGTCTGTAGTACATATATATTCCAAGTGTGTATATTTGACATTTACATAAAAAATATTAGGATTTAATACATTCTAATGATATGTGCGTTATCCATGGCCTTATCATAAAAAATATATGTACTCTTTTGGTTAATTAACACCTGAAAGAACTTTTTTCGCTTTTAGTTTGTACTTATGTTCCTGAAATTTAATCAGAAACCCACTCTTTCTAGAATTTCAAAGGTATAAAGCTTTTTTTTTCAAAATGAAAACTGTGTGTCTGATCTTTTTGCTTTGTTTATAGAAAAGCAAAAGCTCACCTTGAAGAAAATGAAGTGCCCCATTCATTAATTATTGAAAGATTTGCGCCTGAAGTACAAGAGCAGCTTTCCAGCATCAACCGAAGTATAGCAAATACAATGCGAGAATTGAAAGAACGTCAAAAGAAGTCGGATGAAATCCAGCAGCAAATGCAAAAAGTGTTTGACAATATAGTCACCGGAAAGCAGCAACTGCAACTGTCTTTTAGAATGGACCAAGGGAACCAAGCAGTAGCGACAACAGGCGCTGTCGCAAAAACCTCTGCCTTGCCAAGATCAGAAGATGTATCGCAATCAAAACAATTTTCGGAAGAATCCCAACAAAGCCCACCACCACCAGGTTACAACAACACCGCACTTGCAACTATTTCACTTCCATACAATCAAGAAGGTGTTGCAGTGAAATCAGGTTTAAATAGATTTCACAAAAAAAAAATAAAGCAATAGTAAAATACAATAGAAATCAACTGTATTTTATTTTGTGTATAAAATGAACTGAAGATCCTGGAATTGAGTAAAAAAAAAAAAAAAAAAGAAGAGTATTTATACATTTGCATCTGGCTTGTAGGATTAGTGAT